TCAGGTACAACTCAGAAGAAACACTGACTTGAGTTAAAGGACAAGGACTGATATGCCACACTTACCAATTGAGATCAAAAGAATGCTATGGCTAATTTTCCTGGATTTCAGGAAAGCACTTGACAGAGTCTCTCATGCTTATCTTGTGGAAAAGGTGAAATGGTAGTACTACTGTTAGGTGTATTTAGAATGGAATCATCGACCCAGAGTGGTCATACATAGTTTAATGGCCAACTTGAAAGGCATTTTCTAGTAGACTGTCTTAGGGAAATGTTCTTGGCTCTGCACTGTTTAACTTTTTTTTTTTAATATTGAATTAGACAAAAGCAAAGAAGGCACGATTACCAGATTTGCAGATGACTCAAAGCTAGGAAGAATAGTTAACATGTTGGAATGACAGTCAAGATTCAAAAAGATCTTGATAAGTTAGAACACTGGGCTGAATATAAGAAGATGAAATTTAACAGGGGAAAAATTAAAGTCTTATACTTTAATTGAAAAAAAATCATTTTAACAAATCCAAAAAGAGGGAGGCACGGTTAGACGTGAGTTTGAAAAAATAAGATATGGTGTTTGTATAGAATGAAGGCTTACCATGTGTCAGCAGTGATGTGGCAGCCCAGAAAGCTGATGTGATCTCAGGGAAGCCTTGGGGAGTCTAGGCCTAGGGAGGTGATGATGGTCCTACTGTCTTCTGCCCTGGTCAGATTGTGCCTGAAGTACCTCATTCAGTTCTGGGTACCACATTTTGGAAAAGACATTGATAAGCTTCCAGAGGAAGGGAACTAGCAAGGTGAAGGTCCTCAAGAAAATGGCCTGTGAGGTTTGGTTGAAGCATCTGGGGATGGCTAGCCTGGAGAAGAAAAGAGCTATCCATGCAGAATGAAATGGTTTGCCTTTAGTGGGTTCCACCCCACTAGACATCTAGATTTATTGTGGAGAGGATCCCTATTCTTGTATAGATTGGAATAGGTGTTCTTTGAGGTCTCTGCAACTCTGAGAGTCTGTGACGTTATGTACCCTTGGTTTGAAAAGATGTATCCCTTGCAGCTAGGTGGCGCAGTGGATAGAGCACTGGCCTTGAAGTCAGGAGCACCTGAGTTCAAATATGACCTCAGAACAAACACTTAACACTTACTAGCTGTGTGACCCTGGGCAAGTCACTTAACCCCAACTGCCTAAAAGCAAAAAAATTAAAAAAAGAAAAAAGAAAGAAAAGAAAAGATGTGTCCCTTAAATGGATGGTCCCCAAACAGTGCTGCTGTGATCTAGTTTTTAAAATGTGGGAGAAAGAAATTCGTTGACAACTTGTTTCATGCTCATTGAAAACCAAGTAGTATGTAGACATAGTTAGTGCAAATGGTATTCCCTTTTTTATGGAAGAAATTAAAGCTTACGTACCAAGTGACTTTCCCAAGGTCACAAAAGCAAAACAGAACTAGGAACCAAATTGAGCCCCAAAACACGTGTTAAATTTTAGTCTGCTGTATGCAAGGGGAGGAATTGTGGCATAGTAGAAAGCTGGCCTCAGGACCAAGACCTGGATTCACATCCTACGTTTCATATATAACTGATGCTGGCCCTGGAAAAGTTGCTTTATGTCTTAATGCTCCAGGCCAATTCTCTTAAGACTGTATTTTGCAAAGCAGATTCGTATCTGCAAAGGTACAGGGAATTTCTTTACCAAGAGTTCCCTATACCAATGAAATACGAGGTCTGGTGTCTCCTTTCCCATATCCTCCCCTCACTTCCTCATTTCTAGGGCAAAGCACTGTGCTAGGTAGAGGGGATTCAGATACCAAAATTCAACAGCCTTGTCCTTAATGAGCGTCTATTCTAATGCTTCAGATCTAGGTGATCTGAATTTTAATAGCAGTGGAAAGAAGAACACCACTGAAGATCAAATGAGATAATATCAGACTGCATCTGACTTTACAAACCTTAAAGTACAATATAAATGTTACTGTTACTATTATCATCACATGCTAGGACAGTAGCTCTCAAGCCAGCTTAGTGACGTATAGAGACCTGAGTCTGAATCCCATCTCAGACCCTCTGAAACTAGGTGGGCCTGGGCACCCAACTCCTCAGCTTCAGTGTCCTAAGTGGGAATAATAGCACCTACCTCAGAGCTGCTGTGAGGATCAAATGAAACCGTGCATGTAAAATATTTCACAAACCTCCATGTGATAGAGAATGTTAGCTATTATTACTATTGCTTTTTTTTTTCTTAGGCAGTTGGGGTTAAGTGACTTGCCCAGGGTCACACAGCTAGTAAGTGTCAAGTGTTTAGTATGAGGCTGGATTTGAACTCAGGTCCTCCTGACTTCAGGGCCGGTGCTCTATCTATCCACTGTGCCACCTAGCTGCCCCTATCGCTCCTTTTTAACTGAGGATATCACCAAGTGTAACAGATGAATCCACTCTGGTGTCACAGATGATGCAATACTAACAACATTAGTGGATACTGTGTGACCCCCTGGCAAGCACTCTGGATTGTGAATCAGTGGACCTGACTTTGAATCCTGGCTTCCTGTCTGTGACTCTGTGACCCTTACTTAACCTCTTTGGGTCTCAGTTTCTTTAAATGTAAAATGATGAGATTGGACTAGATGACCTCTTAGGACCCTTCCAGGTCTATCAACTTTCTGTATTGTGTCTCATGCACATAAAATTTTTAAACAACTCCTCACACCTGTGTTGGTTTCATGCTGTTCTGTAACATAGTAAACTTTTGGGGGGCAGAGACTCCATCCTGGCTTTGATATTGTTCATTTCCTTAAACTCTACAGCTCTCTCTTATAGATTTAAACAGTAATTAGCAACTAATAATGAGTCTTTAACACATTTTTAAACAAAAGTGCATACTTGCCTAGGTTCTGATAATGGACAATGCTGTCGCGCTTTCCGTTATCGATGACAGGGCTGTGTGCTTGCTCCCGTGCTTTTTAGCGTGATGTTTTCAGCAACACTATCAGATGCCTTCGTCGAGAGTGAAGATGGCATCGAAGTCAGCTATTACACTGACAATAGATTATTTGACTTAAAAAGGTTACAAGTCAAGACTAAAGTGGATGGAGACTCGGTGGACTTTTTGTTCATAGATGATTATGTACTCATTGCAGCCTCGGAGGCTAAGATACAGCAAAGTGTCGATAGATTCCCTGCTGCTTGCAGTAATTTTGGCTTTAAAATTAACAAGAAAACAGAGGTTCTCCACCAGCCCATGAATGGAACTATCAGTTACAGCAAATGGAGGAATTTTGAACGCTGTGGATAAGTTCATTTACCTTGGCAGTGTCCGGGGATGTACACATAGATGATGAGGTTGATGTACACGTTGCCAGAGCTAGCTCAGTGTTTGGAAGACTCCAAAGCAAAGTATGGGAGAAGAGAGGCATTAGGCTGCTTTCCAAACTGAAGTTCTACAGAGCCACTGTGCTGATCTCATTGTTGTATGCCTGTGGAGGCTGGGCATTATACCAGCACCATGCCAGAAAACTGAATTGTTTCCATTTGAATTGTCTTAGGAAGATTCTGAAGATCACCTGGCAAGATAAGGTATTAGACACTGAGGTCCTCTCAAGCTGAACTGTGAAACATTCAGACTCTACGGCAGAGAATGCAGCTCTGATGGGCTTGGCCATGTTGTCTGAATGCCAAATGCCATTGGCCAAAAAAAGACTATTTTATGGAGAACTCACACAAGCCAAGTGCTCACGTGGAGGTCAGAAGAAGCGATACAAGAACACTTTCCAAGGTCTCTCTGAAGAAGGTGCTGTGGTCTATGAACAAAGCATGATTATGGTAGCTCCAAAGAAAAGCACGATCCACAAATTTAGAGACATCTGTTCCCCAAATGTTCACAGGGATTATTTGTGCCTGACCTGCCTCAGAAGGCAGAGCCTTCTAAGCTTGTCTTGGTCTGATTAGCCACAGCTGGACACACTGTACCTTGACCCTGACATAGTGATTTCATTTTGGTCCTCTTCAAGAGCAAAGGACAGCAATCAACCAACCAGCAGCCGGAGCGAGTAGGTGTGTGTAACTGCTGACCCTCTAGGTCCTCAAGTGTGCCTTTTGACTGAACCAAACTTAACAAACAAATCCCCTTAATAAAAGGATTTGTTCTGTAAAACTTGGGCTCAGGCAAAAGACCACACCCAAGGACCTTGAGGGCCAAATATGGCCTAGAGGCCACAAAGCCCTGCTCTGGTCTTTTAACATTTTTTAATAGAAGCAGTGAATGTCCCTGGCATTAAACTAGAATTGAGAAAAGTAAATATCATAGGATCCTAGATCTAGGGCTGGAAGGGACCTCATAGGCCACCTAGCACAATTCCATTTAACAGGTGAGGAAACTGAGGCCAGAGGAGGTGGTGATTTGCTCAGGGTCACACAGGTAAGTACTGGAGGCAGGATTTAAACCCAGGTTTTCTGACTCTAGAGCCAGTGCTTTTTCCATGGTCCATGGTACCACTTCTTGAGGTTATGCAATAACTCTGTGATGGAGATCTAACTATTTGTTGTTGTTGGGGTTTTTTTTTTTTACAGTCATGTCAGACTCTTTATGACTCCATTTGGGGTTTTCTTGGCAGAGACACTGGGATGTTTGCCATTTTCTTCTCCAGCTCATTTTACAGATGAGGAAACTGAGGCAAACAGCGTTAAGTGACTTGCCTAGGGTCACACAGCTAGTAAGTGAGGCTAGATTTGAACTCAGAAAGATGAGTCTTCTTGACTCCAGGCCCAGCGCTCTATTCACTGTGCTACCTAAATGCCCAGTATGGACTAACCAAGGAGCCGAAAGCACTTTTTGTCTGTCCACAAAACTGTATGTGGATCACCAGAATCCAAGACTCTTGGCTGACAATTCACTTGATCTCTTCTGTGTCATCTGATTATATTGACTCCAATCTGTGATTGCAGAATGATCTGACAATGAAATGAGTTTAAAGTTTACAATCCTCTCCTCTCTCTTCCCCTTCTGTCTCTTCAAGCATTTAAAGACCCTGCGCCATCCCTGCTTACTGCGGTTCCTGTCTTGCACTGTGGACACCAGCGGTGTCCACCTGGTCACTGAAAGAGTGCAGCCTCTCGGTGTGGCTCTGGAAGCGCTGTCTGCCGCCGAGCTCTGTGCTGGCATCTATGATGTGCTGCTGGCTCTCATTTTCCTTCACGACAGAGTGAGTATTAAGCACTTATGAAGTTAGCAGAGCCCCAGCCTTCTGAGAAATGGTCCTTTGGGTGGTATATGACATGCTATTAATAGATCTCTCTCAGGATGCTGTCTAGGTCATTGTTTTTAGAATGATAATATGGTTTCGTGTATTCTACACAGCAAGCAGCTTTTATTTAAAAATACTTATAACTGGGCATTACTTTCTAGACCTTGGTTTTATGCGTGGCAGTCCTCAACGTGCTTTAAGAGAGGAATGGCTGACCATCAGGCCCAGCTGCCTGAGTTGGGTATCAATCCCACCAACCTGGCCAGAGTCAGGTAGCAATCTTGTGGGACTGTAGATTTAGAGTTGGAAGAGACTTTAAAGGTCATTTAGTTTGACAGATAAGAAAATGAAAGTACAGAATTGGTGGCTCGCCCTAAGGTCACACAGGTAGGAAGTGAGCATTCGGAACCTAGGCCCTCTGGCTCCCGATCCAGAGCCCTTTGCACAGCCTCATGGTGCCTTACTTATAATTTCAGATGACTTAATCTTGTGCTCTTTTCACTAGTGATTACTACTGAAGGGGCTCTGTGAAAGTGCTTCTGCTACTTGGTTCTATTTGCTTTGTTATCAGGAGTCTTGCAACACGAAGTTCTTGACAGTTCCTTGCAGTTTCAAACATTATAGGAATCAGATTTTTTAGAGCCAGAACAAACTTCATACTCCATCTAGTTTGGTTCCTTTGTTTTAGCTACCAGTGAGAAAACAGAGATCCAGAGACATTACATGATGTGCTGGTCAGTGTCACGGTCATACATGGCAGAAAGTAGATATGAGATACATCTACACACATCAGACTCTTTTTGACACAGGCATAACCTGTGTGACTTTGGTTCTCCCAGCTGTCATTGTTTTGCAATAACATTATTAATGCATTTGTAGCCAAGTCCTTAGCTAAAGCATAACATCCAGCTGAAATCGGCTGAAATGCATCACTGCTGATAGTGCTTCTCAGGATATTGTCTTTAACACTGTACCTTGCAGAGCCAAGTAATGACATGAAGCAGGCCATCCCTAGATCTGGCTTTCTCTACTACCAGTTAGAGCCATGGCTTTCCTATAATGTCACATCAGGCTTTTGGTGTAAAAGCATGTTTTAAATATGTATTTAAAGAGTTTATGTAACAATGGGGGTTGTTAATGGTCCAGTGGGTGATCATGTCTACTTGAGCAGCTAGGTGGTGCAGTGCTGGGCCTGGAGTCAGAAGACTCATCTTCCTGAGGTCACATCTGACCTCAGAGAGTTACTAGCTGTATAACCCTGGGCAAGTCACTTAACCCTGTTTGCTTCAGTTTCCTCAGCTGTATGACAAACCATTCCAGTGTCTTTGCTAAGAAAACCCCAAATGGGGTTACAGAGAATCAGACACAACTGAAAATAACTGAATAACAACAAAAACATATCTACTGGAATAATTCTAGGTTTTTAAAATGAATATGTTCTTGCTGTATGTTCTTGTCACTTGTCAGTCTATTTGACTTTATTCTTTCTACAATCCTTTAATCCAGTCTTTATCAAACCGCTCTGGTAAACATTTCTAGTCGCCCTTATTATTTCATCTTTCCTGAGGCTTTTGCTCTTTTTTCCCTCTTTGTTGGCCAGGGTCTGTGGTTAGGTGAGAAGGAAAAGAAAGGGGAAAAAGTTGTGAAATGAAAAGCTTTAGAAGAATAACAAAATTTTTCTTTGAATGCATTTGATAATATTGTCTGTGGTGGCCTACAAATAAGCAATAAACATACTCTTGGCTCTTCTGAAAATTAAATAAATCTGTCTGTGGTTATTGAGAAAATCCCTGGTAGTTAAGACTGTCTGTCCAGAGGCTCCTCTCACCAGCAAGGAGCATTTTTCCATTCTTCTTTAGTCAGATATGCAGACATTCAGTTTGACTTTTTGAGGCCATGTCATTGCAGTAGAATAAGGGGGAATTACTGCTGTTTAATAAAAATGCAACACTTTTTAATTGGGCTTAGTGTCATCACTAGCGCTTCTGTAACCTTCACTCAGTGCAGTCATTTGACTGACTTCTACGCATATACTAAGTTAAATGGAGGCAGGCTCATTTCAGAACAGAGGCTCCTTCTGTGATTCTGTTTTCTTTATCATTCGGGTCATTCATTGCACAAATGGCTGTTTCAGTCTTCCATCCTCATGTGCTTTTTTTTAGGGAAACCTAACGCACAACAATGTCTGTTTGTCATCTGTGTTTGTAAGTGAGGATGGGCACTGGAAGCTAGGAGGAATGGAAACAGTCTGTAAGGTCTCTGAAGCCACACCAGAGGTAAGAGCCACAGAATAGACTTTTATGTTGGATTGAGACAAGTAGGCTTCTGGTTGTTAGAGGGTTTTGTACAATTTTGGTTTTTTGTAGTAACAATGATAAGCTTTAGTGGCCTAATTTCCATCCATTGTCTTTCCTTTGGAATTACCAACTACCTGTACCCTTAAGAGGCAGATTTTTTTTTCCTGACCAACTGTTCTTAACCATAGAAGATAATATCATTTTAGACCTAAAAGGACTTTAAAGATAACTTAGTCCATCTGAGAGGTAACCAGTGACCTGCCCAAGGTCACAGAATTGAAACCTGATTCTTGAGCTAGGACTCTTCCGGTAGAACATGCTCTTTCATCTTTTATGGCAACAGCTTTACTCTGGTTCCTCTAGCTATTTTGGCTCTCTGCCTTCATCTCTTCCCTTGTAATTCATTCTGTTGTGAGACTAATCTTCCTAAAGCTATTTTTTCTCATGCCAGTTAGCTGATGGATCCTACAGAGTATTCAGTCTAAATTCCTGTGTGGCTTTCAGGCCCCTCCTGAATGGGCTCTGGCTCTGTATGCAGGTCGGTTCATTTTCCCCAAATAGTCTGTGCTTATTCCTGCATCCTCACCTTTCCTCGTGTCTTCCCTCTCTGCAATGCTCTCTTTTCCTTCTGCTTGCCTAACCTCAACCTCCAGAACTAGTTGTGGGCCTGCTTCCTCCAGGATGGCATTAGCCTGCACCCCTTTCTTTTCTCAGAGCGCCTCTTGCACTCACATTACAACTCCATAGTTTCATAATAAATCATTATATAACTGTTATTATGTATACTGGTTGTTTTTCCCCAGTTAGATAGTGACCTTCGTCACTATATAATCATGTATACGAGTATACAGCCATGCCTGAAACTTCTTTTATATACTCTTACAGGGCCTAGCTTGGTACTAGGAACATCACAGGTACAGAGTAAATTATTAATTTATGAATGAAAGCTTATTGGCAGCCTAGCTTTATGCCGTAAATATCCTTTTACTTCCACAAGGGTAGGATAGGGGTAAGGGTAAATGATATCTTAACCTAATTTATGGGAGAGTGAGATGCAGAGAAGCTTCAATGGCAAAAAATGTCTTTCTCTCCATAGCACCTGGCAAAGTGCCTGGATGCCTGATACTTACTGGTTCATCTCCCAGCCTTGTTGTCTGTGATCCTTGCTGTACTTGGTCACCTGTGGGTACCAAAGGATCAGCTGAATAAGGACCTGTTATGGTCGTGTCTTCAGCTGGTTTTAATTTGAGTGGTTATAGAAGTTGTTGAAGACTCATCATTGCTCCTTGTTTTTTCATTGCTTTACCCACATTTCTTAGCATGAGAACAGGTCTCCAAACATGTCCCTGAGCATTTAAAGTACTGACCCAGATCTATTGGGGTTTTTTTTTCTCTCAGTTTCTGAGAAGCATTCAGTCGTTGAGAGACCAGGCATCTGTGCCTCCTGAAGAAAAGGTATGTTGACTTGTTAGGATTGATGGAAGTCTATTTAGTTAAAAATAACAACAGCAACAAAAATACTTTATACTTCTTATTTCACTTTAATTGGGTTGTTGCTACCTTTTTTCTCTTTGCCTTAAAATAGCTTCTGGGGCCAACTCTTAGGACTAAGGATGAAGAGAAAGGGGATAGGATTTTTTTCTTGATGCCTATATCATGTTTAAATTTAAAAGACCTTGGAGTAGGCTAATTGTTGAACCAAGTCCCTTTGGTACTATCTTATAAAAGGCCACAAATTAGGGAAATTTTCCCAGACCACTTACTACTTGGCTTTCCCCAATCACTCATCTACCTACGTGGGCTTGTTTTTTAGGGACTAATTGTAGATGTATGTGAATAATGGTTGTCATGCTTCCTCTAAGGGGAGTGTTTACCTATAAACTTTTTGCAAAGCTCCTGCCTATATGCTCCTTCATTTATTTGCCCAGCCACCTACCATAGTCCTTGGCATAGAGTAGACACTTAATGAATACTTGTTGGTAATAAGTTTTAAAGCAAATAGTTTTTATGCTGCATTCTTATAATTTCTCTATATAATGCCTATAGAACCCCGCAGGAACATATTCAGGGTATCGAGTAGGCAGTGTAATCCTTTAATTGATTCTGGCTAGCTTTGAAATAAATCAGACTGGTTCTAACATAGGATTTAAAGCAGTATTCTTTTGTAATCAGTAGTGAAAGTACTACAGCAAAAATTTTGTGTCTGATTCATACAAAGCAGACATCCTGGCTTGAGGATCTCTAATACTTTCAGTCTGCAGAATTCAGAACTTTGCTGAAGACAAATGGACATGCCCGAGATGCCTATTCATTTGGAATAATGGTGGAAAATTTGCTCACAATCTTAAGTGAACAAGGTGAGTTGTGATTACATTACGGGTTCCACAAAATAGGTAGGTAGTAATACTATTCTTTATGGGTTTCCAATGAGAGTCTGATCTATAGTCATCATAAGAAACCTTTTATTCTAAAGTATACCCTTTTAGAGTAGAAATTAATAGCATTTTTGATAGTGGGAAGCCATAGGTTTCCTTATTTTGCATATTAGTAAGTAGGAAATATAAACCATGACAACCAAGCTGCTAATGTTGTGGGTGGTTCACACAGTTTGGAGTAGAAAGACCCAAAAACTACAGTCGTGGATTAATACTCAAAATTAACCAGTAAGTGATAATATTAGAGTGAGATAGAAACGTAAAACTTTTAAAACTAAAAAACAAAACAACTCTATAGACCAGGATGAAATTTTCTTGATTTTCCTTCTTACCAAATCCCTTTTTATTTCTTATAGCTATATCTTGCCATTGGTTTTCCTTTTTCTTGTTTCCATCCTTTAGCCTCAGCCATTTAAGGTTATTGTGTTGTCTTCTGTTCCTAGTCTATGAATGTACACTTTAGGGGACACACACACACACACACACACACACACACACACACACACACACACACGCGCGCATGCGCGCGCTCACTGTCTCTCTCTCTCTCCCTCCTTCTTCCACCCCCCCCCCAACTGTTAGTCTGTGTTTTGTCAGTCTCTTCACTGACCTGGGCTTTGTACACACTACCAGAATGGAGTGGTTACTTACTACTCCTACTAATGAGTAGCAGTGCTTCCTAATGTTGCAGGCATCATTACCTAAAACCTTTAAATCATAACATTCCAGTTGTTTAAGGTTTTTGACAGTTCTCAAGTTCACTGACTCTTCTTCTACCTTTTTGTATATAACTGATAGAATGTAAGTGAGATCAGAGAAATTCAGAGTAACACAGTGGTCACAAGAATGGAGGGTGTGTTGTGCTCTAACACAGCCTCTCTTGCTTTAATCCATTTTGCAACATTGAGGCATCTAGCAAAAAGCCAGGACTTTGGTGTTTTGCCACCTATCAGCCTTCAGTTATAGAGGGAGCTATCTACATAGGATGGGGGAGATGGGAATGGAAACTAACTGTGGCTCTGAATTTCAGTTTCAGCGGATAGTCTGTCAGGCTTTCAGCAAACCTTGCGCTCAATGCTCTTGAACCCTGATCCAGAGGTTCGGCCAGCACTCTGTACCTTACTGTCTCATGACTTCTTTAGGTGAGGAAACCTAATTGTACTTGTTGATTGCCTCCTTCCACTAATACCGTTTGGAGACCGTTAAACACACAGGACCAAAATATAATCCTCTTAGCACAGGCCATCAGGGAGCAATGAAAGGGAAAACAGAGCCTCCTACTCAGTTCATTCTACAAAATTAAGGGTTTGGAGAGTTAGCTCTCTTTAACTTAGCAGGTAGCACTACTCTGAGGGTCTGAATTTAAAAAATGCAGGCTGCTTCTCTGGGGTCTCAAATTATGACGGTGCTTGGTCAGTTTGCAGGATAGCTACAGGCAGGTCCTTAAAGAAATAGTTACAAATGAAAAGAAATTTAATGAATAATACTTTGCATTTGTAAAGTGCCTTTCACATGTTTATCTGATCCTTTGCATCAACCCTGTGAAGTAGGCAGAGCAGGTGTTATGATTATTCCATTTTCCAAATAATAAAAATGAGGTTCAGAGAAATAACTTGTATCCGGAAAGTCCTGGCTTTCCTTTCAGTTTCCTTTGTGTTTGTTTTTGATGGGAATTTTCTTCAGCTCCCTAAATACTGGAGGCCCCCTAATCTGAGCTGTAGTGATTACCTGGGAGAAAGATATTGGAACTGATGATTGGTGGTTTCTATTTGGCACCACCCCCAACATAACCTTTCCCTTTCTGGTATGTAGAAATGATTTCCTAGAAGTTGTGAATTTCCTGAAGAGTTTAACATTGAAGAGTGAAGAAGAAAAAACTGAATTTTTCAAGTAAGTAAAAGGAATTAAGATGTTAAAGTCCTTACGTCATGTAGACCAGGGATATTTGAGATGAGATGTAGGTTTTCTGTTATACCTTAAAGCCAGTACTTTAATTATACTCAGTTTTCATATTGGGCTTGTAAAAAAAAAAGAAGTTATAGCCTAATCTAGTCAGATTTGAAGAAGTTTTTTTTTTTTCTAACTAGAAAGTAACCAATTAGGAAGAGAAGGTAACAGTTATTTTTTCCTGTTTCATTTCTGGACTTAAGTGTTTATAAAGGCTAATCTCCTGCTTTGCCTCTAGCAGGCATGTATTTTTTTTTTTAACATAAAGTCCTTAAGGACCAGACTGTTGCTCTTCTACAACTATGTTTCACAGATGGCATCAGGTGGAAGGAGGAAATTTTTAGGTGAAAGCCTAAATGAGTAGAACAAATGTCACCACCTCTTTCTGAAGTCTCTTTTTTTGGTCTGTAGATTTCTGCTCGATAGAGTCAGTGGCTTGTCAGAGGAACTGATAGCTTCCAGGTTGGTCCCTCTACTGCTTAACCAACTGGTGTTTGCAGAACCAGTAGCTGTCAAGAGTTTCCTTCCTCACTTGCTTGGTCCAAAGAAAGGTGAATATTTTAAACATTCTTGATAGGTACAAATTTCAGTGATTATGAGTCTGTAGTTGAGATTTCTGCATGACACTGTAATGCAAACTTGGACTCACAAGTTGGAAGTTGATGACAATTAGTCTCAGTTCTTATATTATTGATGAAAAGTTAATGTCACCTCTAAGTGCCTTTGTCTTCCCTGCCAATGATAATGAATTGCATCTGTACTTGCTGTAAATTTTTTTTAAGTAGGGTGAACTTTGACATAAGGCAAAATTCTTTTTATCTATTAATTACACAAGCACCAAACAGTTGTAGCGTCATTAACAGCAAGTGTGGATACAATAGCCTCATATTGTTGGCAAGGTGGTGATTTTTCATCAATGATAGAAAAACTGGAGCTAATTATCATGAACTTCCAACTTGAAAGTTCAAGATACTTCACAATGTCATGCAAAGCTCAGAAACCAGAACTACATTGTCAGAGAACGCCAAAGAAATTTCAAGTGTAAAAATGAGTAACGTTTAAAGAGTTGCTTTCATAAGATGAATAATGATCATACTGTAATATCAGGATATTTTAACAATAATGGCTAAGACCATTTTCATTTTTTAAGCAGTCTTAAAGATAGACCCCTATTACATGCCAATTTTGAGAGCCAATAACTCCTTTTCCCACATTCTGTAATGACTGAATACTTGTTAGAATTACCCCCAAGAGGGTGAAAGCATTGGCCTTACTAAGGAGAAAAGGCCATCCTACATCTTCATCAGAGATGAAAGGATAATGGAGGATGACAACACAGGATTTTGAGAGCTCGGAAATAAAAAGGTAATCATGGAAAATACTTGTCATTATTGTGAACTTGCACCTTCTGTGACAATCTAGACATGAGCTATAGTGTGAGATTCTCAGGGGAAACTCATAAGTGGAGGCAAAACCAGCCAAAGAACTGTAATTTGGGAGACAGCTTCCAAAGTTTGAACTTGATTTATAGAAGTCCCAAGCTCTGTGGTATGGATCATGGGTTACATATGTCCTGGCTACTGAAAGTTGCTCTTTCTTCCCTACCAGAAGTACACAGACCTTTCTCTCCCCAGAGACAAGGCTTTGATGTCATCCTTCATTATCCTTTCACGTCTGTTGAAGAATGATGATCTTTCTTCTCAACAAGGAGACCTGACAGCAAATGATCTGATTTGCTACTTTCTGCTCTATGCAAAGTCAGAAGCAGGAGCACAGCTGCTAGGCATTAACATCCATTATTTATTTCACAATTGGAAGGAGCATGACCAGGCTAGCCTTAATGGAGGATGGGGAGAAGCCTGTTAGTCCAGCAGAGCCCATTGTCACGTGTATTACAGGAAAGGCAGATTATCTCAGGGAAAAATTTGGACTGTCCTTTATAGTTTGCTTTATTTGTGTAGTTATACTAAGCTCAATAGCTTCTTTTTATTAAAATGAAATGTCTTCCCTTTTGTACCAATCACCCTTTCTTAAAATTATAGATAAGCAGGGAGAAAAACGGACAGGCTGTTTGCTTTCACCAGCTCTCTTTCAAACCCGAGTGATCCCTGTGCTTCTAAAGCTGTTTGAAGTTCATGAAGAACATGTCCGGATGGTGCTTCTGTCTCACATAGATGCATATGCAAAGTACTTCACTCAGGAGCAGCTGAAAAAAGTCATCTTGCCACAGGTCAGGATGAAATCTGTAGGAAATCACTGAATGCAGTGTACTGTTGTTTGAATTAACTTTAGTCTGGAGTGTCCTTAGATAAAAGGAAGAAACTGGAACTGGAAAACAGTGAATTTTATGCAAGGGGCAAAAAGTCTAAATCTCACCTCTGCTATCTGAACTTAAGATGAAAATCATCTGTGTAGGAGAAATTACAGTTTTTCACGGGATGTGCTTTAGGCTAAAGCTTTTTATTTTCAAAGTGTTTTCACAGATGCCAGATTAGTGTACCATTATAAACCAAGACTTAAAGGGAAAAGAGATTGAGAAAGGGGAAGCTCTTAGAAATGAAATAAATTGGGACAGCTAGGTGGCACAGTAGATAGTACACCGGTCCAGGAGTCAGGATGACCTGAGTTCAAATCCAGCCCCAGTCAGACAATACTTCGTAGCTTTGTGACTCTGGGCAAGTCCCTTAACCCCAATTGCTTCACTTAAAAAAAAAAAGAAAGAAATTCTGATGGTGTGAATGATACTGATGAAGAAAAGGAGAATTTTAGTGAATTGAAATTTCAGTTAGATATAGCAGCAGAAGAGTTAATGATATTGGAATACAGCATAAAGGACAGCTTCCAGGAATAAAGAGAAGCTAATTCCTTTATTGTAGTTTGTTTTCTTTTATTAAATACTATGTTCAATTCTGGGAACCAAATAATAGGAAGAATGCTAATAAGTTGGAGAATATCTAGAGGTGGCATAGGATAGTCACAACCTTGTATGAGGATTGGTTCAAGGAACTGGGGATGGTCATCCCAGAGGAAAGATTCAGGGTTCAAGAGAGTTCTACAAGTTATCTGAAGGACTAACTTGGAAGATGGTTAGGGTTTGTTTTGTTTGGCCTCAGAAGGCAGAAAGAACTAAGCAGGAAATGAGAATTTAGGGGACAAATTTAGGATTTAAGTCAGGACAGACTTGCTAATATTGGGCAACCTCAAGAGGTCAGGGGTTCTGCCTCTTTGGCTAGTATGCATAGAACTAGGTACACTGCTAAGGTCCTTTCCAATTCTGTGATTCTTTGAAGAGGGAGGCATCAGAGGAAAGATAATTGTAAATTCACCTATCTTCAGATGGACTGGAAACAATGGAATGCAGGGGCCAAAAATCTGGTGAAGGGAGGAAATGAGGAAGAGAACCATTGCAATCCTTTTCCTTTCTTTTGTGTGTACATAAAAATACTTTTTATATACTAACATTTGGATTCTGCCTTAGGTTTTGCTGGGCCTGCGTGATACCAACGATTCTATTGTAGCCATAACCCTTCACAGCCTGGCCGTGCTGGTTTCTCTACTTGGACCAGAGGTGGTCGTGGGAGGAGAAAGAACCAAGATATTCAAATGCACAGCACCAAGTTTCAAAAAAACAGCTGATGTTTCTTCAGAAGGTAATAAATGAAAGATAATATGGAGTGGAGTCCTTAGAAGGTCCATAGTGTCTTTACGCTAAATGTTCTTGAGGAAAAAAGCACTCCTTGTGTAGCTGCCTTTGGCTTCCCTCAGGAAGGTTAAGAAAACTGCTTTCAACTCCTTGGTGTCAACGGACTATGGTTCAAGTGAAAACTTAATACTTTAAAGAACAACCATTGTCTTCTGCCCTAAAATACAGACAGGTTTTGGGATGATGAGAAATACTTGAGATGATTCCCCAATACGTATCAAAAGCGTACTCTTGTCCGCCACTGTTCACTTGAGCAGTCACCTCTTACATAGGAGAAACACCACCAGTCTGCTCTCATTCTTGATGACTGACCTTGGACAATTTACTGAACTTCTTGATGAACTTCAGTTTCCCTTCTCTGTAAAAAGGAAGTGACACTGCTTCTGATAGTGGGCTGATTCCATTAGACTGGGGCTTTTTTTAAGGGATCACAGGAATAAGCAGAAAGGAGTCTGTAAACCTGACAAGCGTACAAATGTCAGCTGTCACTTGTTAGGATTCCTTACTTACTCAAAGAGCAAAGACATACATAGTTCTTTAATTGACCAGGATTGCTTTTAGAGGTCCTGGCTATGTTGTTCTAAAATTTTAGGCTTATAACAGTCAAGAATAACACTCTACAAAAGTGTGAAGGTTTTCTAATTTATGGACTACACATTTTTTAAAAAGTGTAGTTTCCTATTTCTGCTTGTTACCCTTTTTAGAATCATACTACGCCCTCAGAAAAGAACCCTCAAAATATTTTTACTGAATGACCTCAGTGTCTAGCTCACTGCCTTTTTTTTCCAGCATGCCATGGTAATGGTGGTAATAAAGGAACTTACAAGCTGGTATGTAGGTTAAATTTATTTTTATAGCTGTTTAGCATTTAGGCAAGAAAAAGAGAACATCCTAATTGCTCAGTTATTAGACAGTTTTCTTTCTTTCCCAAAGGTACAGAGGACATCCATAAAGCCATTTCCCTATAATTTGCAAGGAGACTAGATCTGTATTCATTTATAGGATGCTCTTGAACTGGGTATTTTATTATCGTACTATTTCATTAGAACACAGAATTAAGGACTTTGAAGCTCCACATCCCTCATTTGCAGACAAGGAAACAACAGAAATTAACTTACTTAGCCATAGGCAATATGAAGTAAAGCTGGAATTTGAACCTGGGATTGTGCCATACTCCTTGTAGTTGCATTCATGCTGCCTCTTTTTTTTTTTGTGAGGTAATCAAGGTTAAGTGACTTGCTCAGGGTTACACAGTGTCAAGTGTTTGAGGTCGAATTTGAACTCAGATCTTCCTGACTTCAAAGCTGGAGCTTTATCCACTGTGCCACCTAGCTGCCCCTGCCTCTCCTTTTTCCAGGCAGCTTCTTCAGCTGCAGCATTGAGAGTAGGTCTGTTGCCAGAACAGCTTCTAGCATCAGATATGAACTACTCTTATACTTTTCCTTGTAAAGAAACCCTTGACACATACTCTCATTTAAAGCCAAACCTGGGTTACCTTTATAATTGTATTTCTCCCACAGGTGAAGAGGCATCTCAGCCTATTCAGCTCTCCATAAATGGAGTCCCACCAATAAGAAGTGCTTCAGGTGATGGTACAAACTCTCCCTCAAATTCTAAAAAATCAGGAGAGGAATGGCCAGACTGGAGTGAGCCTGAAGAGCCCTCTGAGAACCAGATGGTCAGCATACAGATGTGGCCTGTAGAATCATGTGAGGATCCGAGGCCTCATTTTACTAATTTGACTCCGGAGGAGAGTTGGGATAATTTTGAGCCTACTGATCCTAAAGCATCTCCAGGGAATGGCCTTAGCACAGCAAGGCCCAATACTGCAAGAGAGCAGAAGCAAGATCCTGTTGTCCTTCCTCTAGACAAAGAAGAGACCAAGACTCTAAAAGTGAACCCACCCCTAAAGGCTGACCCCACGGGAAGCTGGGATGATTTAAAACTAACAAAATTGCCACAAGAGAGGTCCCTTAAAGCTCCATCAGAGTTTGGTTTAGGAGAAGAATACACTATTCAGGTGAAAAGAAAACCAATACAAGATCCTGAGTTGGACTGGTTTGCTGATATGATCCCAGAAATTAAGCCTTCAGAAGCTTTCCTAATCTTACCTGAACTGAGGACAGAGAGGAGAGCTCCCAACAATGACATCTCACCTACTCTGCAATTTTCATCAAAATTTGCTGCAACTGAAGCTACTGAGGTGAGGTTTGTTTCCTCTTAAGTTATATAGGGTGTTGGAAGGAAATTCTCCTCTAACCCTTTTGGTAAAACAAGCTGTACTCAACTTTACTGGTCCAGGATTCTCACACCAGGTGTGCATACATGAACTGATTTAAACCAACTTTGCTGTTAGAATCAATGGTTTGAGCCAAGTGGGTGGGAGTTTGCTTTTTATGTTAATGGAGAAAACAAACTGAATTTAGGAATTAAAAGAAGGAACACTGAAGACTTAAAATATGGAAAGAGTTGTCAGCATGGTATGATCCAGTTATCAACCAGAATGCAATGATTTTCTTGTTCATTCATTCTCCATAGCAGCTCAAGCCAGTCTGCTTTGGTATCCATAAATGTCTGCATGAAAAGACACTCATCGAATGATAGTTAGCTTTTTTATAGATCAAGTGGTCAAAGATAACAAAATGGGCTTGATTTATCCTAGGCCAGGAAAGGACTAAATAATTAAAGAGATATGCTTTTGTCATTAGTAAGTTTACTATTGCAGCTCATTAATCAATGTGCTTGAGATAAGTTGATCAGAAAGTAAAACTAGTCTCTAAAATTAAGTTTACATACCTTGTTATTTTTTCAGGTTTAGTGGTATTATTAACCTTGGAAAGAGACAAAGGTTTCAGAGTTTCAGTCCTAGTTGTTAAGGTTTATCTTGTTTTTATACAATGTCAAGTTATATTTTGCCTCCAAAATATAAGAGTAAAGTGTGGCCCATTCAGTTCTTCTGAAAGTACTTAATTTCACGTGTTCTCGTTGCAGGGAGAAGCTGAAGGCTGGGGAGAAGAAGACGAATTAAATTGGGAAGAAGATGATAGTAGCTGGTGACAACTAGCATGATGTGGACTCCAGAAATATTTTCTGTATTGGTTTTACAACTTATTACCTCAACAGCAGGCACCTAACAGAGAGGTCATGATGACCCAAACAGCCTATTTTTCCTGTACCAGGAAGCCTTTTTCCCAGTTTGTGCCAACTGCTGTGGAGAAACTGAGACCTATGCTAAAAGCCATGGGTGAAAATAAAGTTCACACCACTGGATTCCAGGAGAAAGGACCTATTGTATCTGAGGCCAGATTCCCTGAAGATCAAGTGGCTGTGGAAAGTAAAGGTTGTATTTTTTATTTTTCCAGGACAATTCTAGAAAACTGAAGATAATAAATACAAAAATTTTAGTTTCTAACTTAATTTTGTGCCATTTTTTTTTTCCTATAGCCAGAAGAATAAGTCCCACTGTTAATGGCTCCCTTAGAGCTTGGATGAATTATTTCAGATAATTGGGCAACTTATTTATTTATATGTACAGCTATATGATGAGGTCCTATGTGAACCTGGCCCTTTTGTGGACTGTTCTAAAAGACACCAAAGTTCTTAATGAGAACATCACTTCTATTCTTTAAACGTGACCAATAAATAATATTTTCAAGTCTATTTTCAGCTGCGTATTATAAAACACATACATAATTACATCCACAATACAATCAAGATAATACTCATTTTACATGATCTGAATGTTAAAGTCCTACCTGTGCACAACTTTTTAATGTATTTATCTTCGTTTGTAGCTCCTCTAGTTTCACTGTTAGCCAGTCAGGGGCAGGAGATCTTTGCAGCAATAACTGGACTGCTTCTAAGGCGCCTTCTGCTGTTTGCAGTGTTGACCTGAACTCGTCTTCCAGGGGAAACTCCTGCCGTATTCTCTTGGCACAGGGCTGTGAATGAGGATTATCATATCTATCTATTCATTTTAGAATGCAGCTTCATTATAATAAAAGTCAAAGCCTGTTTATTAATAGTGTAGAGGAGAGAGAACTTAACTTTCCTTGGAGCTAGGAAGACTTGGATTCAAGTCTTGCCTTAGCCAATATTTGTCAAAGTGACCTAAGAAGGCAAGTAAGTTACAGAGAAGGTGCCAATCTACCTTAAGAGAGGGAATTCCTTAATCCCAATGAAATCACAGGTCCAGTCCTTACCCCTCTCCTAAATGCTTTTACAATTATAACAAAAATGTCATATTCAAACTTCAGCCAATGATCCACTTTTCTCAAGCCATAAATAGTAAAATCAGTGAAGTTAAGCATTTATTAAACACTGGGCTGCCCTCAAGGAGTTCACATTTTTTTTTTAATATAAATTTATTTATTTTTAGTTTTCAACATTTACTTCCACAAGATTTTGAGTTCCAAATTTTCTCCTCATCTTGTCCCTCCCTGCACCCCAAGATGGCATGCATTCTTAATACCCCTTTCCCTAGTCTGCCCTCTCTTCTATCTCTTCCCCCCTTCTATTTTCCTGCAGGGCAGGATAGACTTCTGTACCCCATTTCCTGTATTTCTCAGTTGCATGTGAAAACATTTTTTTAAAACATGTTTTAAAAACTTTGGGTTCCAAATTTTCTCCCTCCCCACCCACCCTCACTGAAAAGGCAAGCAACTCAATATAGGTTGTACATGTGCAGTTATGCAAAACACTTCCATAGTAGACATGTTGTGAAAAACTAACTCTATTTCCCTTAATCCTATCCTGCCCCCCCCTTTATTCTATTCTTTCGTTTGACCCTGTCCCTCCTCAGAAGTATTTGCTTGTGATTACCCCCTTTCCCAATCTGCCCTCCTCTCTATCATCCCCCTGCTCTCTTGTCCCCTTCTCCCCCTATTTTTCTGTAGGGTAAGACAGATTTCCATACCCAACTGAATGTGTATGTTATTCCCTCCTTAAGCCAAATCTGATGAGAATAAGATTCACTCATTCCCTCTCACCTTCCCCCATTTCCCCTCCACTGTAAGAGCCTTTTCTTTTCTGTTTTTTTGTGAGATAATTTACCCCATTCTACCTCTCCCTTTCTTCTTCTCCTAGTATAATCTTCTCTCATCCCTTAATTTTATTCTCCAGATATGACCCCTTAAACTTCAACTCACCTCAGCCCTCTATCTATCTATCTATCTATCTATCTATCTATCTATCTATCTATCTATCTATCTATCTATCTATCTATCTATCTATACATACATATAATTTTTTTCCCTCCAACTACCCTAATACTAACAAAGTTCTCATGAGTTATAAATATCATCTTTCCGTGCAGGAATGTAAACAGAAGGAGTTCACATTCTAATGAGGGAAACATACACATTATATACAGCAAAAGGCTCAGAGGTGGGGAGTGTCTGAGGAATAAGTAGTCCAGTATTAATAAGGGCTTTAAAAGCCTAAGAGAAGTGTACTGATCCTAAAGATAATAGGGAGCTCTTACTGAGTAGGACAGTGAGATGGTTAGCCCTACACTTTAGGAAAATCATTTTGGCAGCTGAATGGTAGGTTAAACAAGCAGGAGAACTCGGACAATGTGTCATTAAAACCTAGAAAGGAGAAATTATCCAGGAAATTAGGATTAATAGTGTCTGTGGTTGCAACTGAGGTCAAGAATGATGAAGACTGAAAAAGGCCATTAGAACTGGCAATTCAGAGGTTAATAGCACCTTGGAGACAGGCTTGTAAAATTTATTGTGATAAGATTTGATCCCGATCCAATCCCATTGCTTTATAGTGGCACAACCAACTGGGTAATCCTGTTTTCAATAGTTTTACTCACTTGGCTCTAACTGACCTTAATATTTCAAAAAAGTATTAAAATTTAATTCATATAAGCTATAATTTAACTTTGGACAGTGAAACATTAGAAGCAAAATTACAGCTGGTTTGGTCATTTATATATACAATATATTATATATGAATATAAGCAGCATCAATATATAAAAAATACTACACAGTTTATCTTTGAAAGCCAAAGAAATAAGCTATCTTAGATTTTTCCTATAAAAGATATTTTTTCAAAGATTGTGCAAAATTTTAATTAGAATAATGGTAGACTGATAATATATAACTACTTATTGACATCAGTATGTAAAAAAATATTCACTATAGTGAGCGTGGGGAAGTTTCATGTTCCCTATAGCACTGTAGATGGGAAGTACAATGATTAAACTTTTTAGTGCTTGATGGTAAGGAAGTATGATTAAAAAGGTTCCACTATAATAAGTACAGGAGTATTTTATAACTCTCATTTAAAAAAAATCACAGACTAAGGAGCCTGAACTGCTAAGTCATGCTTAAGAAGCTCTTCTTTGTCGCTAAACTATATAAAAATGCTCTACGTGAAGAGCAGCAAGTGAAAGGGTCTGTGGCTAGTGAAACAGATCTGCTACCTTTTTTACTGTTTAGCACCATTAGTGGTACTTGTCCTTGTTCAAAATTTTTACATCCTCTGACCAATGAAAAGTTTGAATGAAGAAGCACATACCTGTAAAGTTGAGAAACATCTTTCTCTTTCAACTTTTACTTTAACAAAGTGTCCATTTAAGACTTGCTTTTCCTGCTTCATCCTGTACACTCTCTCACGTGCTGTTTCATCTACCATTCTAGTCTGCGGGAAAGACCACAAAGACCCACCATAAGCACATATAGCCTGTTACAGGAACCATTCAATGTAAGAGTCAAACAATAAAAGATAAGGTTTTAATATACATACATGTATGTTTATTTTTAATGGTGCCGAATGAAATGACAAAGGATGGAAGAAAAGTTAACTACATTATCAAGGTGCCTGGTGCAATGCATCACACACAGCAAGTATCATATCACCAACTGTCAGAGATTAGGGGTGATTCAAGCTTGAGAAAAAGGGGCTGAACTAGATGATCTCTGAAGTGACTATGATTGTGTAAGACCTTGTCAGATGGGACTCAAAACTAAAAAAACAAAAAACAGTTTAAGAAGATCAGAGATAGCAGAAGGGTTGTAGAAGAATGCACTATGTCAAAACCAGAAACATGGCTATCCATGACTTTGCAAAAGCGGTCTGCATCTCTTTCACTCCTGTGGCTCCCTCCCAGATCAGAGTCTCATTAGCTCTGCCCCTCCAGTTGTCTAACTACTCTCCTTATTTCCAGTCTCTCCCTCTCTTAGTCAATCCTCCACAGAGCTGCCAGTTTGACAGCCCTTCAGTCACTCACTGGGACTCTGAGGTAAATTCCTGTTTGGCATTTAAAATCTTCATGAGCTGCCTCTAGTCCATCTGTTTAGACTTTAGTGCTATTACTTCCCCTCACACACTTTATGCAGCTGGGCCTCCTTGCTGTTTCTTGTATGTGATACTCCATCTCAGACTACCTGACTTCAAGGAAGGGAATCTGAGCATAGTCAAATGTGTCATCCTAATGTCAAGGTAGAAGGTAGGGTTGTTATACGGAAGACGACTCAAGCCTGTCCTGCTCTAATCCTAATGACCAAACAGCCAATGGTTCAGGGAAACATATTTTGACTCAATCTGAGGAAAAACCTTCTAAATGTTAAGAACTGTTTGGAAATGGAATGGGCTGCCTCATAAGGGGAGACACGTTCCCCATTACTTAAGGTCTTTAAGCAGCGGCTGGATGGCCATTTGTTAGAGCAATAGACATTAGACTGGTGTTTTCTCAAAATTTGGACTGGGTGACTTTGAGGGCCTTCCTAGCACTGAGTTTCAACATTCTTTAAATTTTGGGAAAGCAGATATTTATAAATTCAGAAGAACTGTGAAAGTCTTAGAAATGAAAGTTTGAAAACTAAGCTGTAAAAAATACCGAAGAGGAAGAAAAGGAGAAAGCATCTAAGGAGACTGTAGGTCTTAGTGAAAGGTCACCAATGAGCTAAGATGAAAACTTTATGTACAAAAGAAGGGGAATACATAATGAAGGTATATACAAAAGAAAGGTACTGGATGGGTAAAAATATTATCATGAAGATTAAAGCCTGGGCTGAATTTAGATTTGTAAAAAATTATAAGGATGAAAAAAATTGCATTAATAGGCATATTTGGACCAAGAAGAATACAGAAGAGATAGAGGTATTGCTTTGTTGCCATGAGAATATCTGGTATTCCAGAAATCCAGACCAAATAATTTTCAGTAATTTCTTCTAAAGCTGTATTAAGAAAATGTCTATAGATTATTAAATGCATTTTATATAATACATTCTTGGGGCGGGGGGGAAACAGACACTATAGACACAAAGGAAAAGAACTAGGCATGTTACATTTCGGATACAAGTAAAAAAGGATTATTTTTTCATACCTACTCATCTTTCATGCTTACCCACATTATGGTATCATACAACTTAAGAGTATGTCTTCAACCAGAAAAGTTTTCAGGACAACCCAAGTACAAATTACATGAAATCTATTCTTTCACCACACTTACCTTCAAAATCAAATTGGTCTCTCATTATTCAATACAATGAATAATTTATTAAGTGCCTATTATGCATGAGACACTGATAGGCATAAGGGATACACAGACAAAAATGAAACTATCTTGATTTTCTTCCTAAGGAGAAAAAAAAACACCTCTACACAGAAAAACATTGTTACAAGGGAATATAACTCTAGGAGGGAAAGAAGATTAACAGCTGGGTGAGGGAGAACATGGCAGAGATCAAGGAAAGCATCACTGAGAAAACGGGACTTCCTTGAGTTGACCTGAGCCTAGAAAAATGAAAGAAGACAGCTTTTGTCAATGCTCAGAGGCACCATCTTGAATGCTGAGTGTATGAAGGAGAATGTGAAATAAGCCTAGAAAGGTGGGTTGGAGGGTCATTAAGACACTGGACTTTTTTGACCAAGGGTACTTTTTTGATCAGATCTTTGCCTTAGGAAGACTATATTGAAAGTTGAGTGGAGAACTGATTGGAAAGGGGAAAAACTGACAGAGGAGAGACTGATTATAAAGCTATTACAATAGTTTGGGCAGGAGGCAATAAGACTTGAACCAAGGTAGTGGTCATGAAAGTAGAAAGAACTGGAAAGATAGAAGAGACATTGTGGAAGAAGATTTGACAAAGCCTGGCAGCTGATTGGATTATGGGGGTGAGAGAGAAAGAAGAGTTATAGATCATGACATAAAATTATGATTATAAACTGGGATAAAGGAGAGAAATGTGGAGGAGGGGAGATTTTGGTGAGTAAGCTGAGGAAATCCATTTGAAATATTTATAAGACATGGAGTGTTCCAGCAGGCAACTGGAAATGCAAGAATGGAGGGAATTCAGGAAAGAGATTAGGGCTGGATACATAGGGATAAGAATCAACTGACAGGCATTAAGATAACGGAAGCCTATCTTATCAGGCACCCTATTTTGTAACCCTAGGGTCAATCCTTGACTCCTTCCTATCTCTTATCTCCCACAGCCAATAAGCTGCCATGCCTTGCTGAAAGAAGGAACAAATGACACTGGAAAAAGAGACTATGGATGAGCTATTTTCCAGAAAAAGTAAAATTATTATGAACATAAGAAAATGGAAAGAATACAAGAAGCAATCTAGAACAAAGAAGAGTCTAATAATATTTGGGGATTTCAAAGAAAAACTCATTTTTTTTGTTTTTTTTTTTTTTAAAATATGGTCCTATAAAATAGAATACAAATAAAGTGGTAAGCAGGCATACATTATACCAACAAAAATTTAACTTTTAGGAAACCTTCAAGCTATTACATTTATAATATTTCACAGAAAGTTTATATAAAAGTGAACACAAAATAGGCCTATATTTTGACTCTATAAATATAATACCTTCTCTAGAAAGCATATAACCTTGTTCTTGGTTTCTTCAGAATTAAGACACTGTGGAACTGTATCTTCATGATTTGTTCCCTGTTGATAAATATTTTAAATAAGTTATCAGTACCCTTATCATTGTATTACAACAAATCATAAGAAACAGCATGGAATAATACATAAAAAGGAAATCAGGAAGCCCTGGGTTCAAGGCCCATCACTAGTGGATACCAGTTCTGTGGCCATATTAAATAGGAACACCTGCCTAACAGCATCAACTGGAGAAATAAAGACACATTGGGGAAATAATGTTACAAGGGTCACTGAGCTCTTTAAAAAAATGCTATAAACAAAAAAAGCAGACTGACACATAGGACAATTAACACTATCAGGGGTTCAAGTGTTAGCGTTCAATTTGTAATTCAGGTAATTGTTCATGTCACACTAAGGATCTGTAATCTCATTGGTTATAAAACTGTTTTCATAATACAATTTTGAAATTACTTGTGTTGGGGGGACATCATGTCTAAAAAGGCCTTGAAACGGTGCAATAACCCCTTTTCTATAAATGTCTTTCCCTTTTTATTTACATATTGCATATGACTTCATATAAGCTATTTGACATCAGAAACTTTGCTGCCTTTGTATTCTTAACATCTAGCAAAGGCCCTGATACACAGAAAGCAACTAATAAATGCTTACTGAATGAACGTCTTTCTCATTCTTTCTCTTCATTCAAACACCACTTACTAAGTTTTCCTTGTGTGCACTGTTGATGCTATAAGATTTATAAAGACACTAATTTAAGGTTCCACCTCTGCTTTCAAGGAAGTTCTTCGGTTCCTTTTTACCTCCCTTTTGTGACATAAATGACATGTGGAAATAAATGTATTATTTGATGCACATTTGAATAATTTTACATTACACAACCTTTCAACTAAATGGCACCTCATCAATTAAGCTGCTGTTTCCTTGCACAGGGCCTTTAATGTGTGTCAGTGGTTCTGTAGAATCCAGGCTCTCTATTCCTGCATCAGGCAGCTGGGTGGCACAGTAGATAGAGCACTTGGCCTGGAATCCAGAAGACTCATCTTCCTAAGTTCAAATCCAGCCTCAGACACTTACTAGCTGTGGGACCCCAGCAAGTCACTTAACCCGGTTTGCCTCAATTTCTTCAGCTGTAAAATGAGCTGAAGAAGGAAATGGCAAAACAGTCCAGAATCTTTGCCAAGAAAGCCTCAAATGGGGTCATGAAGAGTTGGACACAACTGAAATGACTGAATAACAACATCCTTGCATTAAATGAACAATGGATGGTCTTAAAGCTAGTAAAATTTGAAGGAGAATAATAAAACTTACAATGTTTCCATTTGAAAAGCAATCTATTCCAAGATAAAATAATTTCACTAGTCAATCATTATTGGAACATGCTCTTTTTTAACATATAATAAAAGTTGATATTTATATCTCGCTTTTTAAAAAAAAATAACTTTCAGTTCCAACTTCTCATCTGCCCTCCACCCCCTCTGCCACTCAGTGAGAAGGCAAGCAATATATAATACCCATTATACATAGGAAGTCATGCAACCCAGAACCAGATAATGGTTAAGGGAGTTGCCAAATGTAGTCAAGTCTTGTGCCCACTTTCTGATCAGGTGTTCAATCCCCTTGCCATTTCTGCACGCCGAGTGCTCCTAGTACTGCTCCTGCTGCTGTTACTGCTTCCAACTCCAAGGCCCACTGCTGGGGTCACTTCTGGCCAGCCTCCACTTCCATGCTGCAGACCTCTCTTTCTATCCTTCTAAGTTGTCCTGGGTTGGAAAAATGGCTCACTCTGGCTTGTTTATTATGCTGCTTAGAATTCGATTTGATATAGTTTTTAAAGTTGTTTAGAGGGGAATGTAAGGAGAGGTTGGAAAAAATATTCCCTTTACTCAGCCCTCTTGGCTCTGCCCCATCAAAATTGTTCTTCTTAAGGGGATAAAGTTGCTATTGGCTAATCATATTCACACCTCTGGTAGCCTTTATGGACAAAAGTTTTTATATGCAAGAAGCCTTGCAATCTGTGGCCATGGAACAATATTTATCTCAGAAAGTGAACCAGACCTAACTAATGACAACTTTAGTCTAATTAGCGCTATGCTCTAAATGAAGGAGCAGAAACTGGTACTGCTAAGGTTCATGCACAGCCCAGCAGTTACTGAAGACAGAAAGTTCTCATACATTACAGTAATTATTTTTTGGTTTAATAAAAAATAATAGTGAATTCACCCAATTAGACTAGTCTTATAGTTACCTCTGCAAAGTCTGTAAATGCCTCCAAGGTATGCTGTTCTATCAGCCAACTCTTATCAGTTAGCAGCAAGGTAAAAATGGAAGGCAAACTCGGTAAAACTTTTTCCTGCAAGAAGAGAGGAGCTTATTACACAAAGGGATTAAAAAGACCTCAGCTAATGTAAGATCAACAATGGATTATGTTTTATTATTTTTATTTTCAAAAGGCATGAAGGGCCAGAGTAAACTGCAACATTTTCAAACAAGAGATTCCAAAGTAGCAGAGTAAAGGGATGTCATCAAAGAAATATATGAGGGAAAAAGATGGACTGGTCATGTGATAAGGATAACCTGTGGAAATGCATACCACTAGTATTCTTGTAATGTGTAGAGAAATCAAGGAAGGTTCCCTAGCTCTTTTGGAAGATTCCCAATGACAAACTTACAGGCAGGCAAGACCAAAAGTTGCACAGGATGGCCCGGCAGTAAAGCCTTGTGATTGGAATCTCTGCAGGGAACACCACTACACATTGACAAAGTAAAACATCCAATGTAAGTATGTAATTAATTGTACTTTATAAGCTTAATTCTTACGCTGGCTAAAAATACTAAAATCTTTTAAAATATTCTATAATTCATTTTCTCACTATTCCAAACTTTTAACATAAACATCTAATAACCCAGAATCATAGAGAATTTTGTGCCCTGATGAATTTTTACCTTCACTAGAAACAAATAAAATAAACAAATAATAACAAATAAAAAAATTTTGGGGAAAAAAAATCTGTTGCTTTTTTGAAACAAAGATATTCCTCTTCAATTATAAGAATAAAGTACAACTGCCTCAGATGATAATGAGATCTACCAAATTCTATGCAACATTAGAAAAACATCCCTAGAGCCTCAACTTCAAATTTATTTTCTTTAATAATAACTCACAACTTACAGTACGTTTGAAGGCTCTTCAAAGCCCTTTATACACTCTCACTCACTCACTCACACTCTCTCTCTCACTGACACATTTAGAGCATTTGGATTAAAGGTGAAACAAATAATTTTTTTAGTCAAATATGTTGACAGCTATGCATGGATATAAACTTTGGAATTCACATCTTTTCAATTCTGGTCTTAGGGATTGAAGAGTACCTTAAATCAAATAAATTAGGTCAAGTGAAAGTGAAATTAGGTCAAGACAAGGTGAGAAAAATATTTTTCATCCAACACAGACTCTTTACCTGTTTCATTTCTAAGGACCTACAAAAAAACAGGTTGTCAAAGGGACCAGCATCTGCCAGTCAACCAGGCTTGCAACTGGACGTTAATCCTGACTCCTCACTCTTCTTACCCATATCCAATCTAGTGCTAAGGCCTATAATTTTTACCTTTGTAACAGCTCTTGTATATACCCCCTTCTCTCTTCTGAAACCATTAGCGCCTTGGTGAAGGCCCTCACCACCTGCCTGGACAACTCCCACTGCCTTCAAGTCGTCTCCTGTCCGAAATTTCTCCTTACTACAGTCTTCCACTCAGACGTGAAACTGGTCTTTCTAAAGCCCAGATCACCCTTCCATTCAATCAACTCCAGTGGCTCCCTATGACCTCCAGGATTAAATATACAGAGTTCTGGCTTCTAAAGCCCTTTATAACTAGGTGTCTTCCTACTTTCCATTCTCTTTATATCTTACATCCCTCCAAAAACTCAGTGATCCAGTGAAACTGGCCTTCCTTCTGTTTTTTCCACAAGACACTCCATCTCCTAAAGGGCATTTTCATAGGCTGGAATTCTCTCCCTCCTCACATCTGCCTCCTGGCTTCTTTCAAGTCCCAGGTAAAATCCAACCTTTTATAAGAAGGCTTTACCATTCCCCCTTAATACTAGTACCTTTTCTTTGTGCTGACCTCCAATTTATCCTTCACCTAGCTTGATTTGTACATAGTTGTTGGCAGGTTGTCCTCGTTAGACTGTAAGCTCCTTGAGGGCAAAAAACTGTTTTGTTTTTTTGCTTCTCTTTGTAGCTCCAATAATTGGCATAGTATGTGGACCACACAAGGCACTTAATAAATGCTTGCTCATTTGATATAATACATTATACTAAAGAAAAAGAAATTTACTCGGGGCAGCTAGGTGGCCCAGCAGACAGAGCACCAGCCCTGCAGTTAGGAGGACCTGAGTTCAAATAGGGCCTCAGACACATAACACTTACTAGCTGTGTGAACCTGGGCAAGTCACTTAACCCCACTGCCCAGCCAAAGAAAAAAAAAAAAAGAAATTTACTCTATTCCAATAAGGTGACTTTTGCATCCAAAAACACATTTAATTATCCAAAGCCCAGAATGTGCTAGGGTCCTAGAAGTTAAGTCAATAGACACTATTAAATTATTCATTCTTTTAGATACATTCTGCACTAAGAAAATAACTGTTAACCCTTTGCTTCTTTCCCAGGCCATCACTATTACATTGGCTGAACACTCTTCCCTTCCCCATCTTGACCCTTTGATGAACTAATTCAACTTGGCCCTGTCTACTTTTCTTGACTCCCTTGTCCTCTTACCCTACTGTCTATCCTGCCATGCTGAGGGGCTTTAAATTATACAATCTGCTGCCTTTGCTTCTACTTACTCTCTGCTGAATAATATTGGGGGGAAAAAATAACAAAACCTTGCTGACCAGGTCCATTACAATTTCATGTTACATAACTTGCACCTAGGACCTCACTGGTGTAAGGCAATCCTTGTATACCTCCCTAAGTAACTGACTATTCCACTAACTACAATGTCTTTTTCAAGCCTTCTCATCCCTCCTCAAACCTTATACGGCTTGCCCTACCCCCACCTTCATATCTGACTGAAAACATTCAGGCCACTGACTGAGGACTCCCACTCCTTTCCTTCCCTTATCTCACATCACTCATACGCCTTGTGCCACATCTCATCCTTCACCTATGTATGACATGAAAAGGCGGCCCTTCTTGCCAAAGCAAACCCCTCTACAGGCAAAGGAATTCCCATCCCCTCTTCTCCAGCTACCTACTATCAATCCCACTCTTTCAACAATCTTCAATCTCTCCCTGGCTACATCCCTACTGCCTACAAATAGCTAGGAGGCAGCTGGTGGTACAGTGAATAGATCAGCTGGACCTCAGACTTGAGTTCAAAATCAGCCCCAAACATTTATGGTCTATGTAACTCTGGGAAAATCACTTAACCTCTCTGTCTGCCTCAGTTTTCTCATCTGTGAAATGAGAACAGTAGTACCTACCTCCCAGATTTGTTGTGAGGTTCAAATGAGATAATTTTTAAAAACTGCTTTGCAAACTTCAAAGTGCCATGAAAATGCTAGCTATAATTATAATTAATTATTAACAAGCTCACATCTCCCCTATCCTCAAAAATCTCTCCTTGATCCAGTAATCCCCACTAGCTAACATGTTATATCTCTCATCACTTTTGTGGTTAAACTTGTGAAGGTCTTCTATAATTGGTATTTCCAACTGTCTTCTCAGTTATCTGCCATTTGGTGATCTCATCAGCTCCTAGGGATGGGTGAAATAGTTACCTCTATGTAAATGACTCTCAGGTCTACTTATCAGGCTTTTTTTGTATCCCTTTCATTTAGTACAATGTTCAGCATACAGTACGCTCTTACTAATTCTTGCTGATTTGACTTAAGTTTTAATATTTCCTTTAAAAATGTATTTGTTTCTCTGAAAGGCTTAAGAACAATGATTAATGTAACGGAAAATTTAAGGTTTAATAACACAGAAATAATAGAGCTGTAGAGCTGTAGAGTATTACCTGGATAGCTTGCGGAATAAAAATTCTCCCTAAAGAAGACACAAAATCCAGAATTGCCAAACGGACATAGTCAGGAGGATCCAATTTAAGTAAAGAAGCCTGCAGAGTTACCACCTTAAAAAAAAAAAAGACCTAAGAATACTTACATACTGAAACCTTAGATGGTCACAGACCACTCAAGACTTGAAACAATCAATTCTAAACTTAACATCTGTTTTATGAAGTCTGACAAAATTATAGAACAATTATTAATAATTTTATAATGTATATATGTATATATATGTATATATATGTATATATATGTATATATGTATAATATATAATATATATGTATAATGTATATATATATGTAATTATACAGCTTTAAACAATAATATATACACACATATATGACATATATTATGTACATTATGCTAGTTATATACAGCTTCTCAGATGTAGATAACTGAATTGTTTTAAATCATATTTTAAATATACTAAGGGAATATGATGTTTAAGTAAATTCAGGAAGTAAATCTTGAAAAACAAAAGGTCTCTTGGTGATAGAAATACTTCTAGTAAATATGGATTTCATCTTGTTATTTTAAGTAGTAGTACTCTATAAAACTCCTGTCCCTAATCATAAAATTTTAGAGATGTTTATATAAATATACTGTGTATTTTTTACCATATTCAACATAAAAAGAACCTACTATACACTCCTGTAACCAGCTTTATTTCTTGCATATTATACCTTTGGATTGTATAATGATTTTTCCTTTTTCCAGGGAATTTTAAAATCATTGTTCTTGAAGACAGAATGCCTCAAGATAATTTAAAAATCACAGATATCTCAGAAGAACATGACAAATTCAAAAATCTGAACACCTTCATGAAGGAAATAAAACTGCCCCGATTTTCTGAATACAGAAAACAAAGCACCAATCAAAAGAATCCATACAATGCCTTCAAAAAAAAGACCCTAAGGTTCAAATGCCAAGACATATAGTGGGATTAATTTAACACTTCCAATCACAACAAATTCTGCAGGTGGATAGGAAAAAGACCTTCAAATATGAAGGATATTCAAATAACATAAGACTATCACTATTCTGCACCCACAAGAAACTGCAGAAGTGAAGGAATAATGTATTTTGAGGCACAAGAGTTCAAAATGTGACACAAAAGCATAAATCCTGCAAACCTGAGCCTAATCAATGAAAAAAACATCAACATTCAGTTTTTTTTTTTAAAAAAGAGGCATTTCAAGCACTGGGGTGGATGAGGGGAAGAGAAGGCTAGAGGTGGGAAGGGGGAGAGAAGCCTGATGGGAGCAGATGATTCCATCTGAAAATACTTCTAACACAAAAAAGGTAAATAAATACAACTACCAAGGAAAGTAAAGAAAAAGAAAGACTGACATACAAACAACAGGACATTTAAATGATTTCTTAAAAAGCACACAAAGGGATAAAGATGAAGGCAAAATTTAAAGAAGTAGGAGAAGAGACAAAGGCATAAAAGGTCTAGACCAAGGACTAAACCTCATAACCCCTTAAGTGAATCAATGTATTTTGCGGGACGAAATCACAGTATCAGAGGATGGATATGTGGGAAGAGGAGAGATAGAAGATTAGAGGAATGTGTGACATACCATAATCAAGTCCATATGTTAACAATGAAGGGAAGATAACTCTGGTAGTCTCTAGTAAACAAAAGGAGGGACTAGAGGACAATGTGAGAGATGGCAAAAGGGAGGGACTCAAACAGGGGTAATAAAATGGGAGATCTCATCCCAATGTGGGAAGTGTGTCCTACTGAAGAGCACTGCCATGCAAGAAGCAGTAGATGTGTGTAATGAAAGATAAAGACTTAGAATGAGATTAGGCTACAGAGGGAGATCTTTTTCTCAGAGAAAGCTGTGCTTCCATGAACAACATTTGACCATAGAAGAATGGAAATCAGAGTTCCTGGGGCAACCAGAACAAAATATTTGGAGGACACAGAGAGGAGATATTATGTGGCAAACAGGGGATAGAATAAAACAACATGCTGTCGGGCACATGGCAATTTCTTCCATTGGGCAATGGTTCTATCCTCACCATTTCCTTCATGAATTGATATTTCTAAGAATGAAGTACAACAGAAAAAAAAAGGGGGATGATGGAGAAAGACCTACAAAGGTAATATTGGAGAAAATGGTTAGAACTGGTTAGAGAGCTCAAACTTCAGAGGACCACAAAGAGATTAGAGAAGGAATAAATTAGTGAATCAACTATGAATCAAAGAATAGTTCTGAATATAGAAAAGGGAATAGATTTAATGAAGAGAATAAGGTAAATAAGTGCATCTTAGAAAAAGGTGCAGACAAAGAAAGAAAAACCAACAGATTAAGTAAAACTCCGAGACTATGTAAAGGTTTAACAAATTGGAGGGAAGGGGTAGAAGAGAAGGAGGGAGAAGAAAGTCTGTGAGAATAAAGTTGCATCAAAGCAGATTAAGCACAATCAACTGTAGAGACAAAGTCCTGATTTAAAAGAGGAAGGGGAACAAAAAACCCCTAATTTAAAAAAAAAATAGACAGCAAAAGGAGAAAACATAAATTTAACTCAGAATTTCAAATGTAAATGGATTAAATAATCCAATAAAAAGAGCAAGAAAACAAAACCTCATAATTGTTGTCTTTAAGAAACACATTTAAAATCAATATAAGGCCAGAACAAAATTTACAATGCATCAGGTGAAAAAAGCAGAAGTTGCAATCATGCTACCTGACAAAGAAGAAATAAAATTTCACAATACAAACAGAGATATAGATGGAAATTACATTATGCTAAAAGGAACTATATAGCATAACCAACATAAATATTAAACCTATACACTCCAAATGGCATAGCATCCAAATTCAAAAAGGAAAAATTAAATGAACTACAAAAAGACATAGACAGTAATATAATAATAATAATACTAGAAGACCTTAATGTTCCTCTCTGAGTTGCACAAATCTAATAAAAGAATAAACAAAATGGAAAATATGGAATTGAACCAACTGATGGAGAATTTAAAGCTAAAAGACTCATGGTGCCTTTTAGTTACATCTAAATACGTATGTATATAGACACTTTCAGCATCATATGGCACATTTAATCAAACTGGCCACTTGATAGGGTACAGAGAAATTGTAAATAAATATGAAAAGACTAAAACGCTATATAACATTTTTCCATGAAAATTCATTCTTACTTAATTTGAGATGCCCAGAATTTATCTACAATGACCTCTACAAGCATTAGGAACAGAGAAGGGTAAAGGGAGTTCCTGCAAGTACTGGGCCATGCTGTTGTTTGTATGTACAGAAGCTGAGTTGGAAATTTCCTGTATTCTAATTATAATCCAGATATTATAATGATAATTCTCTACTAACCAGAGTATAAAGATACTAAATTAAGACATACTAGTTGAGAAAAAGAATCTACTCCATTTGGACAAGTGAGAGAATGGACCATGCATAAACTATGTAGGAAAAAAGGTTTTTTTTTTTTATTATGTGTAATAATTGAAGACAGAAACCTCAATGTACTGAAGAGAGCTGACCTTGGAATTAGGAGAGACTTAATTTTGCATTCTGCCTCTGATGTTCCTTATCTATATGAATATTAACAAGTCATTTAATTTATTATCTAGAAAAGGGTGTCAGGTTTTAAAAAGAGCTAAGAAAGCGGCCTTCATAAAGAACAAATCATGTTAGACAAGCACAATTTTTTTTCCCGACAAGATTACTAAAATTGTAGATGAGAGGAAAGCTGCAGTTAGTTTAACCTGTATTTCATTAAAGTGCTTTAAAGTATTCTATATTTTTGTGTAGGAGAAGAAGCTGGCCTCGATGATATGGCAATTAGATGAATTCAGAACTGGCTGAATGACCAGAATTAAAGAGATGTTTTTAATGGTTCAATGTTAACATGGCAGGTGATCAGTGGAATGCTGCTGTAGGGTGCTGGGTCTGGATCAGGGCTGTTTAACATTTTTGTCAATTACTTGAATAAAGGCACAGATGATACATTTGTCAAATTTGCAAACTGACAAAAAGCTGGGAGGTATAGCTAATACACTAGATGACAGAATCAGGATCCAATTAAGATCCTGACAAACTAGAACACTGGGATGAATTTAATAAGATGAAATGCAATAGAAATAAAGTGTTATACTTAGGTTCCAAAAACCAACTTCACAAGTATGGGAAAGGCATGATTCAACAACAGCTTATATAAAAGTGACGAGAGGGTTTTAGTGGACAAGTTGACTATGAATCAGTGGTTGACGTAGCAGACAAAAATCTAATGCAATCTTGGACTGCAGTGAGAGGCATCATTTTCAGAAAAGGTCCTAGTCCTTCTGTGTTGTTGTTCAGTCACGTCTAACTCTTTGTGACCCCATTTGGGGTTTTCTTGGCAAACACAATGGAGTGGTTTGCCATTTCCTTCTCCAGCTCCTTTTATAGATGAGGAAATTGAGGCAAACGGGATTAAGTGACTTGCCCAGGGTTACACAGCAAGTGTGTCTGAGGCCAGATCTGAGCTCAGTTCTTCCTGACTCCAGGCCCAGCACTCTATTCACTGCACCCTCTGTACTCTGCCTTAATAAGATCATATCTAGAGTAATATGTTCAATTCTAGGTACCATAATTATGGAAGGACATTGATAGGCTGGAGAATATACAGGGGACTGTAACCAGGATGGTGAGTGGCCATGTCATATGATGAATAACTAAAGGAAGCCCTGGGGAAGAGATGAATAAGGAGGAGCATGATAGTTATCATCTTGTACCTAAAGGGCAAACTGAAGAGGGATCAATCTTACTCTGTCTGGCTCATGAGAACAGAACCGGGAATAATGGGTGGAAGATACGAAGAGGAAAACTTAGGCCTGGTGTTGGGAAAACTCGACAACAATTAGAGCTGTCTAAAAATGGAAGAGGCTGTCTTGGGAAATAGTGGGTTCCTCTTCATTGGAGTTCTTTAAACAGAGGCTAGATGATAACTGTAGGGTTACATTACAGTAGGAACTCCTTTCAGGTATGGGCTGGACTAGATGGCAGCTGAGGTCCCTCCTCACTCTTAAAAATTCTATGATTCTGTGAACTTCCCTGGTTCTATTTCCTCATTCTTAAAACAGGGACAATACCTATATTTACTTCATAGGGATGCTGTGAAGATCAAATAAGGTATGTATGAGGCTTTGCAATATATGTAATTTTCTATATAATTATCAGCTATTATCCTTTTCAATTAAAGCCCACAGGTAAATTTCCTATTGTAACTTAGTCATTAGTTTCAACTACATAGAAAAAAAACCTATAACCAAAGCTACAAGTAATAAAATAACTTATCTTCATCTTTTTCTTCCCCAATATATGTGTCAGCATGAAACAAGCAATAATTGGCCTCTCCAGAAGATATCTTGTGTCTCACTATTTTATTAAATACTAAGGTACAGTCCTTTAACCATATAAGCTACTTCTTGTCTCTCCTAGGTGGTGGAAGATTTCAGTTTTGGCTTTGGCAAGCCTCATTTAGGTTACTCACTGAAGGATTATCTATTCTAGGTTCAAACCAGATCCTGATCTAGTGGGACAGATTTCTATGTGTGTGTCAATTGGTTCTAAGGCCCTTTTGTACTTTCTAAATCATACCTTGCAGAGATCCTGCAAGGTCTGGGCCCCTCTCATAACCTCCCTTATAATCTCCCACAGCTTAAAACCACCAGATGGCAATAGAATTTATCCACTTCTACAAGGATTCCCCAGAAGAAATAGCCATTTAAGCCCTGAAATCTCTCTACCCCTACTGTACCCTATTAACTATGAGAGAAACAAGTCACCTACATCCAATTTGATCTTATTCCAGACCATAGCACAGAAGTTGCCCCAGATTATAGGTAAATGACCTGCAACCTCTGACTGCTAGGTCGTGGGGGAAAAAAGTGACAGCTGACTTGGGATTGCTTTTGGGAGATGAGACATTCACAGAACTATGTAGAAAATGGTTCTTTGTGAAGTTGCTTCAAGACTTGCAGAAAAGAGAAGGGAAAATTAAAAAAAGGATAATTAACCTCTGAATAAGCAAGGCAACCATAATTTGAGGAATAAGTCTCCATGCAGTTTATACATAGTTCAATAATGGTATAACCAAATAAAGTGAAAAACAAATCCTTCAAAATAACCCTTGTTAAATTAGTAGAAGCCAAAATAATTCCCTAGAAATATTCTAGGTATGAGAAGCTCAATTTATTCAGGAATAATTTTCTTACCTGACTTATCAGCTGAGGTTCTATAGCTTGTATGAAAAATCCCAAGAGTGGAAGTAAAAGGCTGAGGGTCCACTGAACATAAGGCTGACTTGAGACCTTAGCAAATACCAGAATGCAACAGTATTGATTACAGCATTTCCAGCTAATCGAGAAGAAAAGTTATTCATACTTCACTTCACATTTAATCTGGTTTCACCAGGGAAAAGCCATAAAAAAACTAAAATGTAAGAAGGCAGAACAGTCAAATAAACTCTCTTTTTAAAGCAGTAGTGTCTTGAGATTAAAAGATTTTTTTAAATATCCAATTAGGTTAAAATCTATCATTAATTTTTCTGTCAGATTCAGCTCTCTACTGCAACTCAACAGAGAATCACAGTATCTCAATTGAATATCACCAAAAGTGACCTCTCTTAACATGGTTGGCTTTGTGTTTTAAAAAAAAAAAATCAAAGGCTTATCTTTTTCCATAAGAAACCACACAAAAACACATACACAATAGGAAAGAAGGCAAAACTGTAAAGTAAATAAACATACTAAATAAATAAAGTAAATTCTCAAGTATAAAAGTATGTCTTGTCTGCCACTTGGCAATATTATCTTTTCTCTTTAAAATTCTATTTTTCTTCTCTACAAGTATGTTATATGTCTCATGAAGAATAGAGGCATCAATGTAAAGCAGGAACTGAAGCTTATGGACTTCTCAGAATATTCTGAAATGAATAAAATACATAGGATTACAAAGGAAACCAATTATACTGAAGTACAGTTATTATTATATTTCTGAAAATTAGTCCATGCTCCCAGGTTAAGAACCCTGGTGTGTAAGGTGTTTTTAGGAACCAAAAAATGCTATATTAGGAAAATACCGAAATATCTGAAATTTTAAAATATTAATGCAAGAATGTCCTAACAGCAGCCTGTTCAGCAGCATCACAAAATATGGCTATCCAGGTTCTCAAATTTATTTTAATTCACAAAGGTTTTCTTAACAAAAACACATCACAAAATACAATTCTCAAGCCTACAAACAAGTAAAGTAAGTTGGCTCTGCTCTCCTCAAGCACAGGTGGTCTTGGTAGTCTTTTGGATTTGCAGGGGGGGAAGTGGGAGGGCAAGTTGACTATCCTTTCCCTTCTTCTCCCCAAGCCTGGTCAGTACCTGGCAAAGTCTACTGTTAGAAAGCCACCAGCCTAGCGAAGATCTAACCTAGCAAATGACAAAATTGGCATAAGGAAGCAAAAATTCAACACAATTGTTCTTTCAGAACTGAAGTTTGTTTAATTATCCAAGGAAATGCTAAGTTGTTTCCTTACCTGTTTAACATGTAAGATTGTCCAGAGCGGACTCACAGCTTCCAGGACTCCTGCTTGCTGGCCCATCTCCAAAGCTTCACTTGTGGAATTACATACAGTAAACAAAGCAGAGAGTGCAACGTTCTAAGAAAGGACAGCATAACAGCATTAGGTTTACAAGTCAAAGCCTCGTAAGAATCCCAGAAGCCTCATCACCTTGGCATCAGAGGCACCACCTCAAATAACACTCCAAAAATACCCACGTATGTCCCCCCAAACAGGCTGCCAAAATACTTTACAAAACTTCATAATTATTATTAAGAGGGAATTCTGATAACTATTTCAACATAACTGGTTTCTTTTGTAATTCTATGTATTTTATTTTATTCATTTAGGAACATTTTTCTGAGAAGGCTGCCCCAGATCACCAAAGGAGTCCATGGTATGAAAAAAAGTGAAGAACCCCTGATCTAGAGGCAATAAAAACAACCAAGCATGTTTTTCAGTCACTTCTTTGATAAAATTATCCATTTCTGAAAACACAAAACCCTTGTTTCATGTTCCTAAACAAAAACCATATTTCTCTATTAGTATGAAATTAAGAAGACTAGATAAATAGCTAGAGATGGCATGCATTTTAAGATGGTTCATAAACCTCAAGCCTCTCTTTAGAAACAAGCATAAGAAATTCCAAGCAGGCTCTAACTTATAAACAGGTTGTATTACATTAGTTCGTTTGGAATTCAGCTATTTGGAAATCAGGAGTCATTTTTCCACATAACCACTGATACATGGATGTGGTGGTTGGTTTCCTAGGCTTGTGCACAAGAGACTACTTAACAGACAATGTACATGAAGTATGATTCTCGGAAGTAGAATGCTTGCAACCCACTGAGTGAGGCCAGCAATCCATGGAACCTGGGCAGGTGCTTTCAGATGGACAAATGATATAGACACAGAATTAAGGGGAGGAAAGGAGACTGGATTCTTTTTGGTAAAATTAATTAAATTTTCAGTGATCTCAAGTTGTCCCTTGGGACAAAAGCCCATATTTCAAAACCAATATTTTCAGTGATGTTCTATGCCTGCTAATCACAGAGCTCTGAAGAATCAAAATTACAGGTAACCCAAAAGGGCAACAGAGAGATACATAGTACATTACACCATATTAACAACAATGACTTGTGCTCAAGAAATGACACAGAAGACATAGTTACTAATATGTATAGTCATAAAAAGAGATGGGCTGGTCATATATCAAGAATGTGGATAATGTCTGAGTGTTATACTGGCATTCGTGAAATATGGAGTGACCTAAAGGAGAGCCTCCAGCTCATTACATAGTTCCTCTATAGAGGATTTATGGGAAACTACAGACAAGAATTACACAGGAGTGAGAAAACATAGATGTTGAACCAGTTGAGGAAATAGCTACAATGATAAGATCATAAATTGCAATCACTGAAGCACTGAAATGCCTATAGTACTACTAAAGAAACTAACCACAACATATAACCATATTCCATATGAAAAAAAACTCAAAACTCCAATTTACCCGCATTCAGATATAAGTAAAGAGGCTAGTCTAAAAATGATCTTTAATGTCTCTTCTGAGAGAATGTAAGCTCCCTGAGAGCAGGAGCTATATCATATTTAGCTTTGTATTCCCAGTGCCTGGCATATAGTAGACACTTAATATATCTTTGCTGACTGATTGACTCAATCTCTTAAGATGTATGACTGTATATTACAACTATGCTATGAAAAGGTAATTGAGAGATAAAAGATGGAAATGTAGCAAATGCAGCAATGACTTTTGCACAATACACTTTGATCACTTATATTAGCAGATACTATAATTAACAAAATGTTTTTCAAGTTAAAATTTTGAGTGCATCTTTATTATATTGATTATCTCTACAATGATTTTCCATTTCTACAGGAAAAAATACTTCCAAGTCACCAGCTGGTTAGACTTTTTGGTCTTAACCCAAACATTTTTAGTTTTAGAAAACCAGAGTACACAGTCACTAGAAGGAACCTACCCATCATGTTTTAATCATAGGAATTTTGGTCAACAAATGAAAAATTAGATAAATTTAAATCTTTTTTAATTAGATGACAAAAAGTTTACTCTAAAATAAAGGAAGAACTTAACATTTTTTTCAATAAAGCAAGTACTTTTAATTGTGCCCCAACCCATGACTTGCTGGAATTACATATAAAGAGAGCAATGAACAATTAACAAACACACCAACTAAATATGTTTACTGAATACTATATAATTTCTGTTATGTTCCTAGGAAATTCTAAAAATTGAAATGTGTATTATATTAAATTACAAGTTAAACATTTGTATGGTACTATATAACACACAGTGCTTAATAATTTTTTGTTAAATGATTTTGAGTAGCATCTTCTTCTGAGAAGAGCTACCTACAATTGTATTGTCTCAATGATCTCCCTTTAATGCCCCTTATTTTATGAGGTGATATCCTAAAAAGCTACAGACTTGAAGGAAGATGCAGTTAAGTCAAACCCACCAGTCACCTTAGGTCCACTGTTCAATGATCATTTGTTAAATTTTTAAAAAGAGTGGTGACTGTGGGGTGAATAACCAAGTATCCACAATCAAAAATTTTCACAGAATAAACTGTGTTAAATTTATTTTTATCTTGTATCTGTGTCAATGGCAAAAAGAGAGCATAATTTACATTTAACAAGAGAACAGCAAATACATGAATTTCTTAATAATCTAAGATGCTGAAGAGTAATTTCAATCACTTTCTAGCTCTTTTCTTACCACAGATTCAAGTTCTCCCAAAGTATGCCTGCTGCTTAGCCATTTCTTACACTGTGCAATTCCCACCATGGTGACTTCATTTGCTATTTGGCTTTTAAGTTCAGGAGAAAAAGCCTTGAAGGAAATATGCTGCCACAAAGGCAGATTTTCTGCTTCTTTAGGGGAAAATTTCTGGATAAACTCCATCTGAAATAAATTGTTATAAAGATGAATAACAACCTAGTCAATAAATTCTCTTATTATATGTATGTACTTACTGTTTAGCATTTCTAAAACTCCTTTTAAAGCATGAAAATTTATAATAAAGAAAGACCAGTCTTTCCTCACAAACTTTGTGAAGCAGGAAGACAAATATCGTTCTCTTTTTCACATGTATGCCTCCAAAAAATGCAAAAAAGCAGTTTAAGGATAATTTTTTGTAAATTCACTGGGAAATTTTAAATGCAAGCATTAAACTAACTGTCACACAAGGTGTTAAATGGGACAGGAATAAGAACTTTCAGAGTGTTTCTGAACTCTTTTCCAGGTATGATACAGACATAATATTAAAGTATACTAACAGGAAAAGGATAATCAGTTAAACATCACAGTCAGTTAGTTCAGTTGGCTTGGGCAAAGTGTTTAATGAAAAACTAGGTCAAAAGCTTGATACTGAAATAGTCCAATTAACTTTTTCTCTAGCCTATGAAGCTAGTAATTATATCACAAATGCACAGCTTCCTCATATAAGGAAGCATCAATGGCAAATCTATTCTACTAGTGAATAAGCTACCCAATGTATATTTTCTATTCAACAGTGATGGTAAAACACGTTCACATGCACATTCAATAGACCTGAAGAACTTACAAACAGGAAGCAAATATTGAAGTAACTCGGATTTTTTTTTCTTATTATGACAGAAACAGTAAACCTAAAATGCTCAATTATAAAATACATCTACATCAGACCCATGTGTACAGTAACTTCCATTTTTTAGAAAATGGTATGTAATTTGAATGCATATTGAGATCTTAGGTCTGCTTTATACAATTATTCCTTTATTTAAAACATGGTGTGGGGGCAGCTAGGTGGCACAGTGGATAGAGCACTGGCCCTGGATTCAGGAGGACCTGAGTTCAAATCCGGCCTCAGACACATAATACTTACTAGCTGTGTGACCCTGGGCAAATCACTTAACCCCACTGCATAGCAAAAAAACCCAAAAAACAAAAAACCTCCCAAAAAAACCAAAATAAAACATGGTGCCCAACTGACATAAAGCTGGTAAGTGATTGTGAGGCAAAAAAGTATATGTTCTGGTCTTAAACTAAGTTTTCTCTTTCACAGATATTTTTTAGACAGTCCCTCCTTTTGTCTCAAAGATTTTGCTAACACAATACATTGTGGGAGTGATTTTGCTCTAATGGCAAGGCAGCCCTAACACCTGCTACTTCCAGAAGGATAATTCCTCCAGTAGGCAGCATTACACTCGTTAGCACCAACTGTCTCCTCCAGAAAACATTTCTACTATTACTGTTGAGGTTACTGCCATCCTCCCCATCACCTCCATTTCCCAACCTACATGCCAGTCTCAGCTCCTTACTGGCACTCACCACATATCTAATCTGTGGCTAAGACTTGTTTCTGCCTTTGAAACCTCTCTTGCATATCCCTTTCTCCATTCCACCATGGTGTAGGCCCATATCACTCACAGCTTAATTACAGTATCAGTTTGTTTGTTGGCTTCCCTGCCCCGAGTCACTCTGCAGGCCATCCTCAACAACTCTACCTAAGTGATCCTCCTAAAGTACAGGTCTGACCATGTCACTCCTCTACTCAATAAACTCACTGCTACTCCTAGATCAGACAGAAAATCCTTTGTTTGGCTTTAAAAGCCCTTCACAACCTGGCTCCTCCTGCCTTTCCAGTCATCTTACATTTTATTGCCCTCCATGTACAATGCAGTGACATGGGCTTCCTTGCTTTTTCTTACAGAAGATGATCTATGTCCCAGCTCCTTGCCTTTTTCACTGGCCATTCTCTATCCCTGGAACACTCTTACTTCTCAATTCCACCTCTTGGCTTCCCTGTTCCCTCTGTCCTCCTAACCCCACTTACCCCAGTCAGTGGCTTTTCGTGCATCATCTCTCCTGTTTGTATGTAGTAATTTGCACGTTGTCTCCCCCATTAGAATCTAAGCTCTTTTGAAGGCAGGACCTGATTGCCTTTTTCTGTATCCTCAGAGCTTAGTGATAGTAACTGACTTATTAAATGCTTGTAAACTAAGTAACTTTATTCATTAAAGAGTCTGAAGGGGCTTTGCCTTTCTATTTTACACAAAACTCTAATAAGTTTTGCTCTCTGATTTTCCAGCCCACAGAAGATCTGAAGGCACAAATTAAAGTGGAGTTCAGGATGGCACACAGACAATAAAAAATGGGAAATGACAGTATGACAATGGAGCACACAGAAAAAACAATTACATAAAATTTTTTTTAAAACTCTCAAGGAACAATAATCTGAATCCATTTAATACAGGGATAAATAAACTTACAAACACATCTCAAAAGCCCAAGGACAGCTACTATATTGTAGCACACAGCAATGCCCCTGTCATCAAGAAAAAGTTAATGATTTTAAATTGCTGTTTAAGCTAAGTAAAGATGTAATATGTTGCAAATGAATTTCCATGAAAGATGCTTTAGGCACCTTAGAAATCTGTGGACTGAGAATCCTCAAAAATAGTGGATAAATAAGGTGTTATCATATGTAAGTTTTACTCTAAAGCTCAATTCAAGCAGCAGAAAAATTTGAGATGCCATCATATGCATAAATCCAACTTGACCTAATATTATCTTCTAAAACGCAAGTTACTTTAAATAACTTTAATTTTGATAAATATTTTCAAATTATCTTACCTGTACATAAAATGAAGGGTAGAGATTTTAAGCGGGCTTTAAAAAAAAGTTATTAAAATAATAACAACTTGTAATTAACAAACCAATATCCACACTTAGCTATGTGTTTTCTTTAAACAAAACATTATACTCAAAATTCATAGCCAAGGCACTTCAAGACTGAATTTATACCTAAATTTAAAAAAACAGGAATCATTTAAATGAAATCTAGTTTGACTTCAAAGCAGTGTGTTGGAAGACAAAAGAGGGCAGGAGCATTCTTGCCTGATGGTCTGTATCCATGAGGAATAATAGTCGCCTTAGCAGAACCGACAAATTAGTGAGCTGGTAACATTCTCCAGGGCAAGACTTAATCTGTAAAATAAAAAAGGAAAAATCATATCTCAGTTGTTGCCACTACCAAATTTCTATATGGCATAGAAGGCCCTACATGAAATGTAAATTAACTATTAATAACCTTCACATAAGTCAGCTAAAATACTATCTTGTGCAGGGAGGCTTTCTCTGTCTTCCTTCCCTCTTAAGATTATCTCTAATTCACCTCATATATATATATTCTTACAGATCTATCCACAGATCTATCTATCCATCTCTCTCTGTATATGTCTATATATATCTGTATGTATCTCATGAGTGAGGAGTGAGAGTATCCCAGGCATAGCTAGTGAAAAATGCAAGGAGTTGGGAGACAGATGGTCTTCTGCAAGAAATAGTAATGGGGCCAGATATGTATAACATACCTGATGGAAAACATATATATCTTGCTTGTACACATTTGCTTCCATGCTGTCTCCCCCATTAGACTGTGAGCTCCTTGAAAAGAGGCTAATTTTCCCCCCTTTCTCCACATCTTAAGCACTCAGCACAGTGCCTGGCAAGTCTGCTGCCTTGCTGACTTGTTGACTAACAGGTAAGGTTCAAAGGCAAGTAAGTTAAAAGTGATTCACTCAAAACCATATTCCAAATGAATTAAAAGAATTCCTTATTTAAAAGATCCTTGAAGAACTACCACTGTCATTTATTAAGCACTTAACATATAAAGAGAACTATGCTAAGTACTAGGAGACATAATCTTTAAATAAAATAGTGTCTCTGCCCTAAAGGAACAAACAGTCTTCTTCCATATTTTCATGGCTCTATGATCTTACTGATAGGGAACTATGGCTAAGGACACATCATAACTGATCCACAGCCTTGCATATTCTAGGCCTGCTGTCAATCACCTTGACTATTTACTCCATGGTGGTCCACTCAACATGCTGGGAGCTGTTCTCTAGTTTCCCTGACATTATGTGGATACTAAAGCAATATGCTGATGCACATTGATTACTCTTCTCTTGCCACATGACTTGGATCTATCTTTTCTAGTCATAAACTTCTCTGAAGACATTCTTTATTGATAATGTATATCCACCATGAGCCTCTCCATTTCTCTTTGGAGACCTTCAACTTTAACTCTTTGGAGATCAGTATTGTAAAATTTGTAGCCACACTGCATCTCTGGAAGACTCCTGTTATTAAAAAGGTAGTCATTTGTTTCAGGGAGAAGTTTTGGGGTCCCAAAGAAAATTCAGACATTGTACTATTCAGTTCTGGGCATCGCTCACCGCCCTTGCATGTGTAGTGTCTATCCAAGATACATGTACTAATGGACCATCATTCAAATGCACGTTCTGTTATGGACAACAAACATTCTTCTTATATTTGTTTTTTTTTCCTAGGATAGACAGGCTATAGTTCTTTTGAATAATTAAGGATCTCCTAGAGAAGCCTTTTCAGTGTCTAAGTGCTTGGTGTAATCAGCACAACAGAGTATAAGAGCATCTTAAGGATCTTACTGTCAATAAAGAATGCCTGTTCCACTTGGACTCGGTGCTGGGCATCTTTTGCAACAGCGACTTTTGTGCCTCACTTAATATTTAAGATCAGAGTGGTGAACAAAATTATATACTGTTATGTTTCAAGGACTTACGTGACTGACCTGTGCATGGGAGACAGGTCCATGAATCAAATGTTTTTTTTTCTTCTAGCAGTTAATAAACAATCAAGACAGTGGAATCTTGTATTCTCTTTATGTCAGTCAGTTGTATGACTGTAAAGACAGGGTCTGTTGTATAATATTCCTTGGGAAAATCTTTCTATTGCTTTTTCACAACTTCATCAAAGAGGTCTTTGATTCCTGCATGGATTATTCTCTTAAAAATTTTGTACAGATAGCATGAATGGCTACTTTTGGGAAGGGAGGAGGTAACAATATGGTTCTAGATTTTTTTCAAACTCTGGTTGCTTTCTTTCTTTCAGATACTCTAAGGATTGATTGCTCAGCACCTTCAAAATTATGTCTTCTGAAGTATGGACCTCCTCTTTTATATTTGGTATAGTCTAACTGATATCATCTTTGTTTTCTTTAATGCTCTTTCTAATTCCTCATGTAAAATATTAGGAACTTTGATGTAGCGGTATGAATACGGTGGTTCTATTATCTGGATGGAGGAAAGAATTTGATATAAAAATATTTACATAGCTTTTTCTATCTCACATTTTGGTTACCTTTAAGTTTCATTCTTAAATGTCCTCAGAATGATTTTGTTTTAAATGGTTCTGTAACCAAGTTTTCTGCAAAATTGTTTTCCCTGCATTGCTTCTGTTTTATGAACAGAAACCTCTCATAATCTTATACAGCTCTCCTCTATCATTTCTTACAAATTAGTTAATATTCTAAATTGTTGTTGCCTTTTGAGTGGAATATCTCTCACTTAGCAGGATTCAAGGGTTTGTTGACTGAAGAATTTTCTAAGTTCTACTGGTCCTCTCATCATGGAAATTTTTTTATCAGGTAAATTTCCTTACAAAACGTTAATAACACATCAATATATGTGTTTTATTTTTTAAACCATCTGTGAACATCAAAAACCTAAGTAGGTCAGATCCGAATTGCACAACATGTCTTCTCGTTTGGAGTCTTTCTTCAAGTTGTGTACTGACTGATGTCTGCCTGACCAGTCAGTAATCTGACTTGTAACAAGGGTAGCAAAGAATGTCTAAACAACAATAAGCCTTCAGAAACACTATAAGCAAGTAGAATTAAATGCTGAAGAAAAAAACAAATGCTGTACGTTAAGTAAGCCTTATTCTAATAGATTTACTCAGGTAGTTTTCAAAAATTTTCACCTGTTTCCAAAAAGATAAATATGGGTTTTTAGTATCAAAGAAATCAAAATATTTAAACTATAAATTAAATAAACAAGCAGTTACTTCTGAAATTCTGTCCAGGCCCCAACTAAATTCTAATAACAAAGAGAAGCCACGTTTAAAAAAAATATTTCAACTGGTAACACAGGAAACAGGGTGGTGCGCTGGGAGACAAGATCACCTGAGTTCAAATTTGACCTCAGACACTTACTAGCTATGAGATTTTGGGCAAATCATCTATGTAAGTTTCCTCAACTCTAAAATGGGATAATAATAGCTACCTCTCAGGACTGCTGTGAGGATTAAATGAGATCACAATTGTAATGCGTTTAGCATGGTGCCTGGCACATAGTAGGCACTATGTAAAGGCTAATTATATTACCGTTATTATTACTGTTGTTGCAATCTTCGCTTAGGATGAAAACATTTGCTTGTTCCTATAGCTATTCAGGAAACAAAAGCTAAAACATAAAGCTATGAAGATACTATTAATTTCATGGAGAAATAATTCCTGCCTTCAAAACAAACTATTTCGAGTAGGGACTATTTTTATTCTCCTTAGACATTTTTCATAAATCCAGTTGCTTTTCCTGAAAACACATTAATTCTCTTCCAAAACTATGTATTATTACATCTTTTAAAATGTTATCAAAGTCCACAATTTACTTTCCATTTGAGTAGTTTAATAGTAATCATTATGGCAAGTTCAGAGATGACGTCCAAAATACTGCTATTTGGCAAGAGACACTATTATCATAAATTTGAAAATTATTGTCACTTTCAATTTATGCAGCATGCCAAATTATACTGCAACACATTCAATTCTCATACAAGCAGAAGTATGACAAATGCTATTGTATTTTGAACTGAAACATTGTACACAAAGTAAATACATTTAATTTACACTTCTAGTGACCTATGTAACATTCATAATGTCACATCTGTCTTCTTACAACAGATTTTTTAATTTAACCAAATGCAATGAGTGAAGAATTCACCCTGCACAAACAAAACTGGCCTGGATTTTCCCCCCACAGTATCCACAGGCTATAGGATCTTGGATGTAGAGTTGGAATAGACCTCAGAGGCCGTCTAATTCAACCCCTTCATTTTACAAATTAGGAAACTGAAGCTGAGAGAAGTCAGATGATCTGATATCACACAGGCTGTAACAGAGGCAGGATTTAAACCCAGATTCTTTGACTCACATGGATTTGTGAAGGAATTTTTGGTTGCATGTTTGTGAAACTGCTGAAATACTCCTCAGACCAATTAGAAACATAACAAATTCCTCAGTTAAAGTAGGTGGACTTGGCCACCAGGCCCCAGCTGAATCCTCAGTCAGATCTTTCAGGCCTCTTCTTTCCTTGGTGAGTTCTTCTCCTAGGTTCCATTTTGTGGAAGGGCCCAGATCAGCCATTCCTAATTTTCTGCTCTTAGCCACCATGTCCCTTCATTGATACCTACTTTCCCTCACTTCTCAGTTTCCCTTTTATGAATTGTCTTGTCCCACTAGATAAAATATAAGTTTCTCAAAGAAAGGAACAGTCTTTTTGCTTGTATTTCTTTCCACAGCACTCAGCAAGTGCCTGGCAAACAGTAAAGCACTCAACACATGTTTGCTGACTAATTTTTGTTAAATTATTGATGAAGAGATTGCTCTTATAATTTTCTCAGATTATCAAGAATAGCTTCTGGCAAACCTCCAGAGAAATATTTTGCTTGCTGCCTTTATTTTTTTTTGCTAGGCAATAGGGTCAAGTAACTTGCCCAGGGTCACACAGCTAGTATGTGTCAAGTGTCTAAGGCTGGATCTGAACTCAGGTCCTCAGGTCTCCAGGGCCGGTGCTCTACTCACTGTGCCACCTAGCTGTCCCCTATTGCTGCCTTTATTTTTAAGGGTCATTAATTCAAAAACAACCTATTTCTTTGTCTTCTAAATTTCTTTGAGTTTTTCATAATTCCATTATAATCTCTCATTCTGTACTGATGAAATGTAGATGTATTGAGGATCATCAGTGTTTAGAACACTGTCATATTCTTTTTTTTTTCTTTTAGGCAATTGGGGTTAAGTGACTTGCCCAGGATCACACAGCTAGTAAGTGTCAAGTGCTTGGTCTGAGGCCAGGATTTGAACTCAGGTCCTCCTGACTTCAGGGCCAATGCTCTATCCACTGCACCACCTAGCTGCCCCCAACACTGTCATATTCTTGAGGAAAATCATTCGGAAAATAAACTGTATAGTTTCTGTTTAAATTTAAGCTTATTTTCTATTTTCTGAAATTTGAGTAACATGATATTCAGCACATTTTCTCCTAAGTTTCTTACTGAACTGTAAGTTTCTTAAGCAAGGAACTGGGAGGGTTGAGATAATGTACCTTCCCAGACATCTTCTACAGGCATAGCTGGTTGGCTCTCTTAGACAGAAAAAGACAAATGATTTCCATGATACTTTGTACTTTCTTCAAAGAAGAGCAGTGAAGAAGAACTAGACATTCAAGCAAGGGCAGCAGAACATATTTGTGGAGATCAGAATGGCTCATTTTCACCACCTGCTCTTTGGGATCCTTGAAGTCACTAAGTATTAAAGCATATGCTGATTGAATGAGGAGAATCTTACAGAATTCTTCAGTCTTCTCTAAATCCTGATCCCTTGCAACAGATGTTGTGCATAAAACTGATATTATTATCACGGAGGTTTTCTTGGAAATACTTGTCATGGGCACTACTACATGAGTTGATTAAATATCCCATTAATCTGTAACCAACTCCACCAACTTCTTCATTTGCCTCTCCCAAAGAGTCATCTCTTCCATCTAGCCACCACTTCTTTTTGTCTTCGGATTTCTTTTATTGTAAGAATGTCTAGGTTAAAAGATTCAGTTATTCCATCTATATGCACTTGGTCACTGGACAAGGATCTCAAATCTGGATTATCAGAAGCTTCTATTTAGGCAGTCTAAAAACTATGTGACACTTAGCACCGTATGCTATTTTTCTTCCAGTCTGCTACCATCACTGCTGAAGTGGAAAAGTGGGGTAGGAGAGTATGTAATGGACTCAGAAATATTTTGTACTTTTCTTGATTTCAGAGGCTGATGTGGTGAAAGAATTCATCACCAAGGAACAAGCCTACTGGTGACGAGGCTCTTCATATTCAGCTAGGCTGATCTTCAGAAAGCAAATGTATTCTGCTGCTGGGACCATTATCTATGAGCTTTTCCAGCAAGTGAGAGAACCCACCAAAGTCTGTGCTTTTCTGGCAAAGCCTTTAAGAACCTAAGGTTACCTCCATTCCAGGATGAGGGATCAGAGTAGGACCTTGTGGAGAACCATATAGTCAAGTACAAGAAAATGCTTTTATAATACAAAAATTATTCCTTAATTATCAGTCCAGTTAAAATTTCCAAACAAGGTACCAATAGAAAAAGAATAGCCTGTCCACTGAAAAGCTTCACAGAGTGTCCAAAATTTCTCAGGATTTAAAATGGACTTTACTCCCTCAATCTATTTCCTTCTCAGCTGAAACAAACACCAGCATAACTTTTATTTTTTTCCCCCTTTTTTGAACTTTTTTTTTTAATAAACAAAGACAAAGACAGAAATCACTTTTAGATTCATTTCCATTTGGTGGTGTCAGTCAGTCATTTGAGTCGTGTCTACCTCTTCATGATTCCATCTGGGGTTTTCTTGGCAAAGATCCTGGAGTGGCTTGCCATTTCCTTCTCCAGCTCATTTTACAGATGAGGAAACTGATGCAAACAGGATTAAGTAATTTACTCGGGGTCACACAGCTAACTAAGTGTCAGAGGCCAAATCTGAACTCAGAAGAGAAGTCCTTCCTGATTCCAGCCCTGGTACGCTACGCACTATGGCACCACATAGTGTCCATTTCTATAAGCAGTCTGAGGCCACTATGAAAGTTAGATTAAGTCTTATTTGAATCAGATGAAAACCTTTTTTTGACATGCATAATATCTGATTTCCACTTTACATTCAATTTTAAGTTCCTTTTCATTTAAAAAATTCATTTTATCCACATCCAATTCGTTCTGAGTGTAAGATTTTCTCAACGTAACAATTTCCTCAGTCTTCAATGATTATTATTTCTAATTCTTTTTTCTGAAAAGTATCAAATTAATCACAAAAGATACGAACTCTACTTCCCACTTCTAGCACTCTCTAAGATAAAAGTAGAGAACAGAATGTGCATATCTAAGTACAGTAATGGACTTTAGGCCAAGTTATCCTACTCACCAGATGTGCTATTATGAACACATGATGGGCACAGAGTTCAGCAGTCCCATACCTGAGATGCAAAAGAGAAGTAATTCAGGCTCATGTACTTACGAAGACAAGTAAGGAAATGAGTTCTAGTAAGGCAAAAAATATTTTTTAAAAGAAATGCAAACTTCAATCATTTCCAAGATGACAGAAAATAAACTAAGAAATGTTAGTCTGGGCTTCACAAAGATGATCTAAAATGATTCTCTGATTTGCAACACTACTACTCTTCCTATACAAAAGATTAAACCTGCAGCCAAAATACCTTTGAACTGACAATTAATCATTGCTATTTATTCCGAACAAATCAATGTAAAGATATATCAAACAACAATTTTAGGTTATACCTTACCGGGCCAGGAAGCACCATGTATCCATAGCTAATAAGGAGGTGATCATTCCAGAACTAAGTACAGCATTCAATAATGTGACATCCTGATAAAAACAGAAATTCATATTTAAAAATTATATCTATACACACACACACACACACCACCCCCTATAAAACGTAAGATTCTTGATGGCAGGAATTTTCCTTTTTGTCCTTTTTTCTCTAGCACCTAATATAGTGCCTGCACAAACAAATACATGTCTGTTGACTGAAAGGCTGGTGCCAGACTGTGAAGGGATAGAAATGCCAAAACAGAGGAATATATATTTTGTTATGGAGGATAAAAGGATTCACTGATGCTTCCTGAACAGGAGAATGACATGGTCAGACTGGTGTTCTAAGATGATAGAGAATGGACTGAAGAAGGAAGAGGATGGATGTAGGGAGATTTATTTGGGTGGGCTTGAACTGCAATACTTCTGGTGCGAATGGAGAAAAGCAGCATCAAAAGATGTAGTGGAGGTATGACTCATCAAAGTCAGCAAGTGATTGACTATGGGAAATGAGTGAGAATGAAGGCTTGAGGATGATTTTTATGACAGTCAAAATAAAGTAAGCCAAGGCACACAGTTCCAAGCATGATCAATTTAATTTTTCTCCCTCTCTCTCTGCCCTCCCTTCCCAAAGATGGCAATCTTATATAGGTTGTACATGTGTAATCACATTATACATATTTCCACACTTGCTGGTGTAAAGATATTAGACCAGACTCCCTGGTGTCCGCCTGCATCCCTCAAGGATAACAGATTTCCTTGAGGTGAGAACAGAACAATGATTATGAGGAGAACTGGATTTCTAAATTTAAATCATTATAGGCCAGCTGAATTTCTGAACTAAGTTCAGAGACAAAGAATCACGATACAGACAGTTACAGGACAAACTCAACTAACTGTAAATAGAATCAATTAAAAAATGATACAGGGGCAGCCAGGTGGCACAGTGGATGGAGCACTGACCCTGGAGTCAGGAGGACCTGAGTTCAAATCTGGCCTCAGACACTTTACACTTACTAGCTGTGTGACCCTGGGCAAGTCACTTAACCCCACTGCCTAGCCAAAAAAAAGAAAAAGAAAAAAATGATACAGAATCAATCTAATTATTTCCCTATACAATCACAAACCAGAGTGACCAAAAGAATGGTGATACACTTGACAGAAACAGGGAAATTGAGCAGAGGCATGGATTTATGAGGAAAGAAAATGAGTTCCGTTTTTGACATATTGATTTTGAGATGCCTATGGGACATGGAAATGGAAGAGTTGGGCTTCCAGAGAGCACTGGATATGCAGATTTACAGAGATGACAGGAGTCATTTACATAGAGATGACAGTTGAATGAATGTAAACTGATGCGATCACCAAGAGAGTTCAGAGAGAGAAGGGGGCCCAGGACAGAGTCTGAGATTACACAAAAGTAAGATGAGCATATTCAGTTTCATTGTGAGTACAGTATTTAATCCTCAATGAGAAGTGTTACAGCAACTGAAACCTCCCCCTGCAGTCTGATATTTCTTGTATGCTAATCCAGTGATTCAAACATGCTCCCAGTATTAATGATTTTCTATATATGTCCTAATTTAAAGCAGACACCATCACTTCACTAGTGCATTGTCAAAAACAATCGTTTTCCCCAGAAATTCTGGTGGAGTTTTACACTTTTTTTTTAGATGATGGGATGGGAGGACAGTGCAAAGAGGGACTACATGGAATAACAGATAATAGGTTTTTTTTTTTTCAAGCATAGTCTTGAATTCAACTTCATTTAAAAAATTAAATCTTAGTGTCTAAGGTTTATAAAGGACCAAATTTTACATATAATTCAATTTTAAATGAACCAATAGAGAACAAAATTTTAAGTATTATGCTCCTTCTCTCCTCATGTAGGATTACAGATTTAAACTCTATCCACTATGCCTCTCACTCCCCCCTCCACTTTCCTCCCCATCCCCACCTCTAAAAAGATGAAATAAATGTACCTAGTTATGATTAGCATAAACATCCATTTTCTAGGATGAATATTAAATAAAGGTGAGGGAAAAATAAAATATTAAAGAAGAATGACTGTCAAGAAGACTATATAGAAATATTCTTTCCATTTACTCCACAATTTTTCTCCTCAATTTCTATGTTTCATAATTTCAGTGGAAAAACAGTAGGAGTTATATCTATTAGTTTTCACTGACAAATTTTTCCCAAAATTTTACCATAGCTTACCAGTTCAGGGAACAGTGATGGGTGAAACGAAGCAACGAAGTTGCACAAGTGGACACAGACATACTGATATAAGGTGACAGACACTTCAGCTTGTCCTTTAGTCATAACTTCTGGCAAATTAGCAGGTAAAGAAAGCTCCCCCGAACACTGCTCAAAACTGTAGAAAATGGCTTCAAGCAAAGACATTCTAGAGAAAGCAAGAACACTGAAGCCAATATGGTTAGCATTTAATTCTCAAACATACGATTGTAATAATAACACATATGAGGGTTATATAGGCCAAGAAATGTTTTAAAAGATATTACAAAGATACCTGACACATGACAAAAGGGATAATTTCAGAGAAGCCTGGGAAGACTTACATGAAGTGATGCAGGGTAAAGTGAGCAGAACCTAGAGAACTATTTATACATTGACAACAATGTCAAATAAAAACAATTTTGAAAGACTTAAGAACTCTGATGAATGTAATGATTCCACAATTCCAGAGTACTGCCCAACTCCTGACAGAGAAGTGACAGACTCAAGATACAGTTTGAGACATACATATTTGGGGACATTACCAATGTGGGAATTTGTTTTGCTTAACTAAGCATATGTTACAAAGGCTTCACTTCTTTTTTCTTTAGATTGGTGACAGGAACGTGGGTTAAGGTTAGAGTAGGATGAGGATAGAGTTCCAAAAAAAAAAAAAAAGAGAGAGAGAGAGAGAGAGAATAGAAGAAAAGCCAGGAGGAGTAACAGAAAAGCTAGACAGCCTTGATAAGTACATATTGATAGTTACATGAATTTATCATATACTTAAAAAGATAAGCAAGCTATAATAACAAATTCACAGTTTCATGAGCAATCCCCTCTTGTTGTGCAACGAATATATAAATTCTCATTTTATTTGTGTTTAAGTTTGGAATTTTAAAAAATAACTGACAAGTGCACATGCATGTGTGCGATTATGTAGCTATAAAAGACATGGTAGTAGAAAGGAAAGAACACTCAACTATTAGAAAATAAGCTTAAGATGAAGTTTTACCATTAATTAGATGAATGACCTTGAACAAGCCATTTAACTTCAAAGCCTTGTTTCCTCATCTGTAAAATGGGGATAATATTTGCACTACTATCTTATGGGGTTACTGTGAAGATTATTATTGTTTGTCCTTCGCTCTCACAGAAGACCATGACATCAGGAAGGTGAGGCCGTGACTTGCAAGTGAATTGGATTTAAGTGAGATAAAATGAGACAGAACACAATGCAGTGAGAAGAGCACTGGATCCAGAGTCAAAGTACCTAGGTTTGAATTGTAGCTTTGACATTGACAACCCATGTGACTTTGTGCAAAACACTAGTCAGTCAAATAATCATTTATTAAGTGCCTACTCTGTGTCTGGCACAAATACAAAAAAATAAACTATTCTTACTCTCAATGTATTTATATTTTAACAAACAAGACACTATGTACATATAAGTATATAGAGAATAAATACAAAATAGCTAAATACAAAGTCATTAAAGAGGGAGGGTACTAACAATTGATGGGGAGTGAGTGATCAGCAAAGACTATGAAACAAAAGTGAGGAAAGAGTGCATTCCACAAATGAGGGATGGCTGGTGCACAGGTAAGGACTTGGATACTGTGTGAAGAACAGAGAGAAAGCCAGATTGGCTGGACGACAGAGAGTGGGAAGGGGGAGGAAGTATAATGAGGCTGGATAGATATGATGGAACCTGACAGAGGAATTTAAGTTTTATCCTAGAGGCAACAAGGAGCTACTGGAATTTATGGTAGTGGCATGATCAGAGCTGCACTTAAAAACGGTTTCTTTATCTGTTAAATGAAACTATTTTGACATATAGGGTTGTAGGTATGATTCTATGTCAAAGTACTTTGTAACTATGAATACTACAAATACGTAAACTATTATTAGTAGATCCCCTACAAAAATCCTACTCTAATGACCCACTGGGATGAGGAAATATCACTGAGTTCAAAGCTTTGGCAATGAAGTACAAACTGTGCTACGTTCTTCCACGATGGAAAAAATGTAGGTATCATTGTGGAAATAAGGCAGTGTCTACTATTTGTTGACCAACCTAGATACTATATAAGAAGATGATCACCACCAGAATTATGATCCCCATTTTACAGTTGAGGAAACTGAGGCAGATAGGTTAAGTAACTTGCCCAGGGTCACACAACTAGCAAGTGGCACAGAAAAGACATGAACGCATGAAATAGAGTGTTATTTAGGGGAACAAGAAGAAGCCAGTTCGAGTGTACCACCCTCCACATAACCATTAAAATGATTTCTCTTAAAGTACAAGTCTGACATGTTACCACCCTATTCAACAAATTTCACTGGCTCCATGAAGCAAGCAGAAGCAGCTAAGTACCACAGAGGGATAGAGTGCTGAGCCTGGAGGCAGAACGACCTGAGCTCAAATACGGCCTCAGATACTTATTAGCTATGTGACCCTGGGCAAGTCACTTAATCTGTATGCCTCAGTTTCCTCAACTATAAAATGGAGATCATAATAATACCTATCTCCCAGAGTTATCAAATAAGATATGCTTAGTATAGTGTCTGGCACATAGCAGGCACTTAATACATCCTTTCTTTTCTTATTTCCTTTTTTCCTTCCTTCTTTCCTTCCTCCCTCCATCCCCCTTATCTTTAGGATCAAATACAAAATCTTATCTGACTATTTCACCTTTTCATCCACCCTTTCTAGTCCTCTTATACCTTCTTCCCTGCACATATTCTGTGATCCAGTGACACCGGCCTCCTTGCTGCTCCGTGCCCACATTACTCACCTCCTGACTGTGCACTTTCACAGACTGTCTTCCATGTCTGGACCTCTCCCATTCCCTAGCTCCTTCTCTTGGCTTCTCTGGTTCCCTTCAAGTCTCAGCTAATGTCGCACCTTCTGCAAGAAGCCTTTCTTGGTCTTCCTTGATCTTAGCACCTTCTCTCTGAGATTATCACCAATATTTATCCCGTCTTTCTATAACTTGTTTTTATACAGTTGTCTGCATGTCTTTCCCCCTCTGACTGTGAACTCCTTGAAAGTAGGGACTGTTTCTGCCTTTTTTAAAAAAATATCCTGAGAGTTTAGCATAGATCCTGACACACTGTAGAGGTTTAACAAATGTTTGTTGACTAATCTTGACCACAAGATGTGGGAAGGAAAATAATGCCAAGTTGCAAAGGTTTTTTAAAGCTAAACAGAGGAGTTTACATTTGTTCCTAAGGGCAACAGGTGGTCAGAAGAGTTTATTAAATAGGGGTACTGATGTGGTCAGAACTGTGCTCTAAGAGAATTATTTCAGCAAAGAGTGGAAGAAGGATTATAATGGGAAAAGATGAGGTAAGCAGACCAATTAAGACTACTGCAATAGTTCAAGCAAGAAGTGATGAGAGAGAAGCAAGCTACTCACCTCATAATAGAGAGGTAATGTCTCTAAGACACATACTTTTCGGACATAGACAAGAATTTGGTTAGCTTGATTATGCTTATTTGTTATAAGAGTTTTCTTCTTTTTATTAATAATGAGGAGGAGTACAAGGGAAAGAAAAATCAATTTTTGGTTATTGCAAAAAAAAAATTTTAATTAAAAAAAAGTTATGAAAGCCTGAACTATGGTGGTGAGAAAGGAGAGGATGGATGGGGAAGCAAAAAGTACAAGATCTGACAACTGACTATGTGGGGTGAGAGTGAGGACAATGCTGAGGCTTTGAACCTGGGAGGTTAGAAGCACAGTAGAGCCTGCCACAGAAATCAGAAAGTTTAGAAGAGGGGTGGATTATAAGGGGGAAATAATGAATTCTGTTCTGAACATGCTGAGTTTGAGGTGCCCAAAAAATATCCAGTTCAAAATACTCAAAAGAATTGGACAGGTGCAACTGGAGGCTCAAAGGAAACTAGGGATGAATACAAATCTCAGTCACCTGTATAGAGATGATAATTAAACTCGTGGGAGCTCATAAGATTACCAAGTGAGAGAATGTCAAGAGCAAAAAGGAGAGGACCACAGACAGATCCTTGGAGCCCACATAATAGGAGGTGTGATGAGACATAAAACACGGCAATCCAAAGTGCTACAGGTGTTCCAATCGATGTGGGCTGGAACCAGTAAGTAAAGCTTCATGGAAGATTTCACTTGGGTATCTGACAGGAATGAGTTTACATAGTGATATCCTTATAAGTACTGGAGGACATTATGAACAAAAGCCCAGAGGGAACTGCACTATATATTCAGGGACATTCAGGAAACCTCACTGTGTGGCATGTCTGCATAGAACAGGATTAGATAAAACTGGTTAGGGGCCAGACTGGAGAAGAACTAAAATGCCAAGCTGAAGTTTATGGATTATGTCCTTTAGAAAGTAGATAACAATTAAATGTCTTTGAGCAGGAGAATAAGAAAGCAATGCATTAGGAAGATTAATCTGGTAACTTGTACTACAAAGAGTTTAGAAGAGAGAGTTTAGAGAAGCGCCAATTAAGAGACTGAAATAACAAAAGTATGAAGTGATAAAGGCATATTAAGGTATTATCAGAAGAAATGGAAAGGCTGAACAACTTGTGGTATACACATATAATGTAATATTATTATATCATAAGAGAAATTTAATATAAAAACTTTTAGAGAAATGTAAAAAGACTCACATGACCTGTGCAGAACCAGGAAAACAAAACACACAGTGACAATGATTCAAATAAAAAGACAAAAATGAAGCCCATATTGTATAACTGAAATGACAAATTCTGGCACTGAGAAAAGATGAAGAAGTGTACCTTCCTCTTTTCCTATGTGCTATCAGACATGGTCATTTTGTCAGCTGGTCAGCTGATTTTGCTAATTTGTTTTTCTTTGTTATAATGGAAAGCTCACTAGATAGGGAAAAGTTATAAGGAGGCTGTCTGGAAATAACTGTAATATAAAAACCAAAAGTATCAACAAAACTTTAAAAAAGAAATCTTATTTAAAGACGTGATAGTCAGGATTTTTACACGTCATGAAAACGTCCAAATTGAAAGATCAAATGTACGATCTAGCATTTTAAAAAAGAGACAACATCCAATTAATTTCTGAATTACAAAGATTTAATCATGCTGACAATGGTTTTAGTGTTAAATTGTCATCATATTTTAATTCTCTGAAAATCGGTAATCCATATATGGAAAAAAAAGCAACTCACTACTGATCAGAACATTTGATTCGAGAGGGCACCATATCAAATAACAGAGTTTACAGTAGGTCCATCTATAATGTTTTATATTTAATAAAAACATTCTTGTTACCTGGGTTTATGTTCAGGAAATTGGCTTCTCTCACACCAAAGACTCTGTACATTTTCAGGCTGAGAAGGTAGTTTATCCATTATGTTAACCAGGAGGAGACACTGTGGAAGCTGTAGCTCAGAAGACAGGTCTTAAAGGTGACAAACAAATGAGAGAATAATATGATACACATGTTTGTAAACATACAAATCACACTATTTCAATTAAAATCAAATTCTGGTGATTGAAACATATGTAACTTTTTAGGGCATTGGTATGACTTAAATTAAATCAGCAGCAAATGCAGGGGGAAACAGAATCAGGAGTTGTAGAAATGGGAAATAATGCATTACCTACACAAAAATATCATTCTGTGCACAGCAAGATATGATGATTATTCTATATAATCCAAGAAATATTTACTAAATAGCCACTCTGTATGCAGACACTGCACTAGGCACTGGTGATAAGACAAAGATCTACTTTCAAAGAATTTATAATCTTCCCTTATTGGGAAGACGGGGGGAGACAGATACATATATAAAACTATGACAAAAAGGAAAGAGTAATAAATGTATAAGAAGTCCAGGAAAAGTGCTTTGAGAAATTTCAGTAGGAAGAGAGATCATTCTCATCTAGAAGAAGTTTAAGGAAAGTCTTCATGAAAGAAGAAGTATCTTACTCCTTCAACAAGAGGAAATGAGACTGCAGGGGTGGGAGAGAAGGGAGTGAGAAGAGGGTAACCCATTCCAACAATGGGGATAGTATGAACATCGGCATGGAGACTGGAGGAGGCAGAATGAAAACAAGGGACAGGGAACTGCCCACTTTGAATGGAATGCTGAATACACCAAGAAGAAGAGTGTGATACAAAGCTGGAAAAGTATATTGGAGTAAAAATGTGGCAGGAATTGAATGGTTTAATGGTGCACAGGATTTTTATATTTTATTTGGTAGACAATGGGCAAAACACTAAACTATTTTTCATAGAAGAATGACATAATCGCAACAGTTCTATAGGAAATATCACTTCAAATTAATTCTGCTTTGGAGCTTACCTAATTTGTCTCCTAATACTGCCTCCACAAAAGGGGTGAATGATAAAAGCTGACTGATGAGTGGATCCAGAGTCACTAGAAATACACCTAATATTTCCTTTTCTTGTGTCTTAGGAATCATTGTAGCATACAGACTTGGAGGAAACTTACTACGAAAGGAAAAAAAAACTTTGTTAGTGATCTCTAAGCAGTACCAAATTCTATATCAACAGATAGCAGAATAGGTTAAATCAATATAGAAAATCCTAATGGCTAAAATTATTTAAGAATTTTATCCAGAGGCCATGTGGTGACAAGAATAGTGTTGGTGTCAGACCCAGAAAGGCCTGAGCTTAAGCTTTGCCTCTGCTACACCCTGGCTGTAGAACCTTTGGCAAGTTGCTATCAGTTTTCTGGGCAATGCCCTAAGATTATAATTTGCTATCTGTACTGGTAAAGGGAATTTTCTTACAGGGAGTTCTACATACCAATAAAATTGCAGGTCTAAACCAAAAAATGAAGTTAAATAAAACTCTTAACTTCTAAACTAAATATCAAGGACAACACTTTGAATATTTCTTTCTTACCCGTGAGATAAATACTTGGTACAGCATTGTACCATTCTGTAACAATGATAAACATACTGACAATACAGAGAATATCAATCAGTAACATAAGAAAATTATTTTTGTTAAGTGTTTCGGTAATAGTAGAATGTTGAAACTATAGTTAATGGAATGGTCAGTTTGAAAATTTCAAAGCTTTACAAAGTATACTACAGTACTAAAAATAAACTAGGAGGTAAAGGTTAGGTATCAATTATTATGCTATGCACTGAAGATACAAATACAAAAGGAAATCAATTTTTGCCCTCAAGGAGCTTACATTCTAAAGAAGGGCGGAAGATACAATACAATCGCAGCTAAGTAAATGTAGATTATATACAGAATAAATTCATAGTGATTGAGATAGTTTGTGCAAAGGCAATGAGGTAGGAGATGCAAAGTCCTTTATGAGAAGCAACAAGCAGGCCCATTTCACTGGAACATACAATGTTAAGAAGAATACTATACAATCTGCCTGGAAGCATAACATGGAGTCAGATTGTGAAGGACATTAAATGCTAAAGAGAGGAGTTAGCATTTTATCCTAAACACCTCCCACACACACATCCCAAAGCTGCCTCTTATACAACTGTGACATAGACTTATACTTGAGGACTCATTAATCAACTAATAAGTATTTATTAAATGTCTTTCTATGTGTTGGGCAATGTGGATATAAGTACAAAGAATGAAACAGTCTCTATTCACAAGTAGATTACAGTGTAATGAGAGAGACAAGTACACGTAAAAATATATATAAAGTACAAACACCAAGTTAATAAATACAACTACATACACACACATATATGTATGTGTGTATATATGTGTGTATATATGCACACACATATACACACATATATAAATTGTGGACTTCCAGGACATATGAGCAATAAAATGATGGAGTACATATTTTCTCTGGTCCCCATGACCTCTCAAACCTCTCCAAAATAGAAATTATACACCAAAGATACAGCAACTTAAGCTGTCTCCAAGATCTAGTATGTCCAAAATGCAAAAGGCGGCTTTAAAAAAAAAACCCAGGGACTGACACCAACTCTGAGCTCACTCAGCACCTGTCTCACACCTCCCACAGTATCAACAGCAAGGCTGCACTAGCAGACCCAAGGACACAACACAGGCTTACGTCAAAACTCACTCCTGCACTCTAGCCACCCTTCCCTCTTTCCAGTGCCAGGCAATCACCACTGCCAGGTTATGGAAGTGTGCTCAGGCCTTGACAGCCTGCTTGGCAACAGCCATTCAGGAGCTTACTGGGGAGTTACAACCTGAAAAAAACCAGTGCTGCAAAGCTCTGAACTGGAGATGCCAGGAAAAACAGGTTCTGAATTGCAGATGTTGGGTCACAGAAGTGAGGAACAAAGGAAGGATAGGTCACCAGGACAAGACATTGTGTGCATGTGCGTGTATGTTTGGTGATGGGGGTGGTGGGAGGAAGACTGTAAAGCACTCTACCAAGAACGACAGGCCAATTCTGACCACTCAAAAGTCAGCTGAGGAAGAGATCTAGGCTGATGAACTGCGAATTGCCTACTGTGGGAGTAGGTTGAGATGCTTTGAAAGCCAGACCCCAAGGAAATCACAATCAGAAGGGGGAGTCAGGAAATAAGTGATAAGGAAAATGGGGGGGGGAGTAAGAAACAGGACCAAAAGTACCAAAGGTTTCAGGAAGAAGATAATGAAATATAAGGTAGTTTGGAAGGAATAACATTAGTAGACGGAGGGTTATCAGGAAATACTTCAGTAAGCTGACGGTGCTTGATCTATGCCTTAAAGGAAGTGAGACAGAGGTAAGAAGGGAGTGCACTTTAGGCCTAGGGATCACCAGTAGAGAAACATGGAGACAGGAGGAGTATACTAGGGAGTAACAAAGAGAAAGAAGTCCAGTTTAGCTAGATCACAAACTGCAGGAGTGGGGAATAATATCTAGTGAGGCTAGAAATTTAGGTTGAAGTTAGGCTGTAAGGCTCTTTAAAATCTAAAAAAGGTTTATATTTTATCCTAATGCCAATAACTAATGTCACTGGAGTTTACTGAGTTGGAGAGGACAAGGAGAATTGGGGGGGGGAGTGTCACATAGTCAGATATATACTTAAGTAGAATAACTTTGACAGCAGTCTGTAAGATGAACTGGAATGGAGAGAAACTTGAGGCAACAAGACCAATTAGAAGGCTGTAGCAATAATCTGGCAAAAAGTGATAAGATCCTGAATTAACATATCTTTATGAGAAAAGAGAAGGACTAGAAAAATGAGAAATTGTAAAGGAAGAAATGGCAAGATCTGGCAATTGATTACGACTGTGGCATGAGAGAGTGAGAAGTCAAGAGAAAGCCCAGGCTACAAATACTGGGCTAGGTGGCGCAGTGGACAGAATGCTGGATTTGGTGTCAGGAAGACTCATCTTCCTGAGTTCCAATCTGGCCTCATAGATACTTCCTACCTGTGTGACCCTGGACACTTTACTTAACCCTGTTTGCCTCAGTTTCCTCATCTGTAAAATAAGCTGGAGAAGGAAATGGCAAACCATTCCAGTATCTTTGCCAAGAAAACCCCAAATGGGATCACAAAGAGTCAGACATGACTGAACAACAACAAAAACAAACTCTGGAAATTGGAAAGATGGTGGTGCCTTTGATGTAAACAGGTAAGTTTGGGAAAGACCAGGGTTTGGGGAGAAAGATTACGAGTTGTTTTGAACATGTTAGATCTGAAATGTATCTGAGCTATCCAACTGGAAATACCCAACAGAAAATTGGTGATGCAGGACTGAAATTCAGAGGACATATATCTGGGAGTTATCAGCATGGTGACAACTAAACTCACAGGAGGTAATGAGGTCACTGAAAGACTATATAGAAAGAACTGTAGGAAGCCTTGGAAAAAGCTTTGTGGTATAATCACAGTTAGGAAGTAAGACATGAATAATGAACCAGAAAACAAATATTAATTTGGCAGCTGTGTGGAAGCTAAAAAGGAGAAAGACCAAATGCATGGAAACCTATTAGTAGGCAATTACAACTGTCCAGGCAAGAGATGATGAGGACTTAATTTGGGTGACTATGGTGTAAGTATAAAGAAAAGGACAAATGAGAGATGTTGAGAAGGTGGGGTCCACAAAACTTGGCAACTGTTTTGAAGCAGGGGAGAGGAATGTGAATACAAAGATGAGGATGACTCCAAGGTTGCAAACCTGGATGTTGGGAACAATAGTGTTGTCCTTGATAGAAATAGGGAAGTTAGCAGGAGAGCACCTGCACTGAATGAGAATGCAATTGATTTTATTTAGAGAATAAATGTTGACCCTGGAATCAGGGAAAGCAGATTGAAATTGAGGTAAAAATTAATTCATCCACCAATATTCTATTTGGACTAGTCCAGGGACAAGTGATGGGATATGTGAGAGGAACTAAAGTGAAAGGTGGGATTCTGAATGTGTATAGATAAGTTTTCTCAAGCGCCAAGCTGAGAATCAGATGGGACCCTTTTGAAATAGATCATTATTTGGATAATGTGGTCCTGAGCCAACATTCTATAGATACAGGAAGGAACCACAGAGGCAAACAATGGGGATGAAAAATTAGAGGAAATGGTGGAATAAAGGCTAAATAGGGAGAAGTGTAAAGTAAAAGATGCCAAATATACTCTACTACAATATAAATGGAATCTTTTACTTTTGGTCACTGGAATTACAAATTGTTTTTTAAATAAAATCTACGTGAAATCAGATTTTTAACTTAATCGCCTTTTTAAAAAATTAATTTATTTTTAGTTTTCAAAAATCACTTCCATAAGCTTTTGAGTTTTAAATTTTCTCCTCCTCCTCCCCCAGGATGGCATGCAATCTGATATAGGCTCTACATAAACATTCCTATTAAACATATTTTCACATTAGTCGTGTCGTGAAGAAGAATTAGAACCAACAGGAAGAACCACAAGAAAGAAGAAACAAAACAGAAGAAAAAAAAGGGCAAATAGTTTGCTTCGATCCGCATTCAGACTCCAAAGTTCTTTCTCTGGATGTGGACAGCATTTTCCATCATGAGACTTTTGGAGATGTCTTAGATCCTTGCATTGCTGAGAGGAGCTAGGTCTATCAAAGTTTTAATCACCTCTTTTTTAAAAAGTTATTTTAACTGTGATGTCCCTAACAGTACTGAGAAGTCAGTCTACTGTACGACAACAGAAACAAAGAAACATTTGAGATCAATAAAGTTGTCAATGTCTAATTTTAGGTAATATAGCTCAACTAATCTGGGCTTTGATTACCCAAAAAAAAAAAAAACTGATTTGAATTTTTTTTTTCAGTTAATCGACTCATTTTTTTCATGAGCTGGTTATTTTGGTTATCAAGTGGACAGACTGTCAAAACTCAGTACTCTACTCATCAGATGTTACTAAGGATAAATTCTTAGGCAAACAACCTTACATCTCTGAAATCTAAGTTTTCCTTCTATTAAGTGGGGATAACATAACACTTGACATCATTAAAGATAAATTAAAAACTACTAGACTATAACACAAATTGCAAATATTAATTGTTTATATAATACTACATAGTATTTCTGATTTTGGTCATACCATCTTTGTACAATTTATTAAGGACTGTCACATGCCTATCATTGAACCCAATGCAAAAGACTTAGTAAAATCCAACAGAGAAACATTGAGAAACTTACAAATCCCATTATTTGAGGCAAATAAAATTTACTGAAAAGATAACAGGAAAAAAATAAGATTACAGTGGCTAATTTCAAATGATGCACAGTGGTTTTGAAGCCAAATCTAAGTTTGGCTACTTCTTACGGTAATGGGATCATAGATTTAAAGATGAAAAGGAACTTACTGGTCACAAAGTTAATACAAATGAGGAAACTGAGGGCCACTTTTAAAATGGTACATCTGTATTTTAATAATTATGCGATTTTTCTCTGCCTTACCTGTGTATCTGAAGATAAAGCTGATGTAGTGTACAGCAGGAATCAGAGAGAAAAGGAAGAAATTCCTAAAATTTAAAAAATAACCTATTCATTTTCAATATTTACATATTTAATACATATGAATGATAGCAACATACACATTAAAATCAAAATGCGAAGTAAAATTCAGTCACTGATTTGTTACATAATAAAAAACAGAGCCAGAGAAAAGAGACTAAGAAACAAGAATTCTTAACTAGATACAAAATAAGGAACAATTTTTCCATTTCAATACATTGTAACAGATATATTTATGTCTCAAATTTTAAAAAAAGATTAACTAAAAATAAAGACAATCATGGGCAACTTTTTAGGTGTTGTCATCATTACTATTTTTCTAAATACTAAACTGCTAACAAAGTGGGGACATCAGGGACTGTAGTATATTAGGTTCAGTGGTAGTAGTTTTTCTGACCTTATAGTATCTTCTCCCAAAGGTCCCAGTTACTGGAACTGAGACAACGTGCCCAGAATGCTAAACATAAATACATTATGTGATCCTCTCTGGCAAGCGTTCAGGGGTTTCCAACTCCAAAAGAGAATATAGAAAGGAAGTATACTGGCATTAATTATCAAACAGTTATTCTTTCCTCATGAGTAAAGAGTAACAGGAAAAGTAAATCAAGAGAGACAATAATTAAGCTGAAGAAACAGCACTAAAACAATCTCCTGCACAAAATGACATTTTGCACTACGGTTCCTCTTTACCTTCCCGGCTTCCTAAGTGAGAGGACCCCCAAAAGCTCCACCATTGGTTGCTATTCTTCCCTAGACAGACAGACAGACAGATAGAAGGGCAGGCAGACAGATGAGGATATATGTTTTGTGGACCCCACCTCTTTAACATCTCTATCTCTCTCAAGTATGTTTCCCTATCTGCCTATATATCCATATCTATCTCTCTATCTATTGAGAAAGAGAAAGAGATGTAGAGGAGATGGGGTCCATAAAATTTGGCAACTAGGTAGGTTGAGAGAGGGGTTGGCACAGCAGGGATTAATGGAAGTGAAAAGTTGAAGATGATTCTAAGGCTATATGTGTGTGGGTGTGTATATACACAAAAATGAGATATCTTAGAGAGAAAACACACATACACCCATACCCACTGATGAGATATCGAAGGGAAAGAGGGAAAGAGAGTTTGATTCATACTATAAAAGTATATATGAATGTATATATGTATGTGTGTGTGTGTACATATAATATGTACACATACATATATGTATACACACACATATGTATACACACACATATGTATACACACACAGAGCCATTTCTTCCTTTAGAGATCTCATCTTTTCTCATGGTTTCAATGATCACTTCTACTCTGATGTCACTTACCCCTTCATTTCCACTGCCATCACCCTAAACTGGGACCTCTTAATACCTCACAATTAGATTAACAGAATGGTCTCTGAGCAGCTCTCTTTGGCTCTAGGTTCTCCCATCCCATCTACCCTTCAATATGGCAGCCAGAAACCTGTGGTGTTCCTAAAACACTACTCTCATCATGTCACTCCTCTGCTTAATAAGCCACATTCTATTTTCCCTATTTCCTAAAGCATTACTGAAATGCTTGCGTTTAGCTTTCATGCTCATTCCTAAAAATCTAACCTGTTGTTGTTATTAAGTCATTTTTCAGTTGTGTCCAACTCTTCGTGACCCTGTTTGGGGTTTTCCTGGTAGAGATACTAGAGTGATTTGCCATTTCCTTCTCCAGCTCATTTTACAGATGAGGAAACTGAGGCAAACAGGGTTAAGTGACTTGCCCAGAATCACACAGCTAGTGTCTGAGACCATATTTGAACTCGTGTCTTCTTCATTCTATCCACTGTACCACCTACTTGCCCAACACTTTAGCTTTCCAACTTTATTTTCTACTACTCCCTAGCACACAGTCTCTATTCTATTAATGTTCCACAGTCACTGTGCCATGGTCATTATCTCCAAGATGTCACTTAGGTTATTCTTTTACCCTAAATCAACTCAATTCAAATTTTTCCTATCCTTCAAGCTTTTCCTGACTATTCCAGTACTCATTTTTCCTTCTGAACTTTCACTATATTTAGTTTTATTATTATACAACCTATCACAATTGCAGTTGTTTCATATTGTTTCTTCCACCAAGCCCTTTCTATCTATCTCATCATAGGTGAAGACCTGGTTCTTAAAAGGAATATGTCTGCAGAGTGAAAGCTCTGGTAGGTTTTACCATTCCAGGAATCTTTGAATATAATCCTAAGAACAGATTGTTCCAACCTGGCTAAACACAAAGAAGTTGTGTTTAATTTTTTTTAATTTTTCAGGCAGTTGGGGATAAGTGACTTGCCCAGGGTCACACAGCTAGTAAGTATCAAGTGTTTGGTGTGAGGCCACATTGAACTCAGGTCCTCCTGAGTTCAGGGCTGGTGCTCTATCCACTGTGCCACCTAGCTGTCCCCAAAGAAGTTGTGTTTAGCTAACTTCGAAATAATCTGGTTATTTGGTGATGAATTCTTTAACCATGTCAACTCAATATGCAAAGACACATAAAAAAAGACCCCCTGTTCCATGTGAATCCCTTCTGTTGCTGTAGTGACAGTGACAGAGGGACAGAAAAGGGGGGAAAGGGTGCTAAGAATCACTTTTTAAACCATCTTCTGTTGAATGTATTTTTTCATGTATGTTAAATCTTGTCTCCCCAACCAGGCCACAGGTTCCCTGAAGGCAGAAATGTCTTTTTATTTCCTCTACAAAAAAAGTTTTATATCTGACACAACACAGAATATAAAAGCATATGATAGTCACAGAGTTATAGATTTAGAATGGGAAGGAACACTATCTTAGGACTGCTGAATCTAGGTCAGGGGCGGAGAACCTGCGGCCTTGAGGCCCCATGTGGCCCTCTAGGTCCTCAAGTGCAGCCCTTTGACTGAATCCCAAACTTCACAAAACAAATCCCCTTAATAAAAGGATTTACTGTGAAGTTTGGGATTCAGTCAAAGGGCTGCATTTGAGGACCTAGAGGGCCACATGGGGCCTGGAAACCAAAGGTTTCCCACCCCTGGTCTAGGTCCTTCATTTTACAGATGAAAGAGGGTAAGAGTCTTGACCAGGAAACACAAACCCATTAAGTATCTGAGACAGGATTTGAACCCAGGTCTTCCTAATTCCAAGTCCAGTGCTTTATCCACTATGCTATGCTAATCATCACACTGATAGTAAAGAAATTATTTTTTTAGGACAAAAATGAATGAAAATATAATCATTTAGAACTAAAAATGTCTTACCTTAGTGTAGTGCAAAAGGGAATTGGCAAAGAAGCGACATAATTTAACTCTTTTATGGAATAATTTGTTGTCAGCACTATCCTGTTAAAAATTAAGATGGAAGAGAATAAGAAAAAATACTTACAAAGAGGAGAATATCTTTAAAATTAAGCTTCAACTCTTAGTGAAAATATCTAGAACTTAACATATTCCAAGGAATAGCAATTTTCCACTAGATTTGCCCAAGTAACATAAACAAAGAAATACATGCATTTTAAAAATTAACAGAAAGGCTGTATCTGAAAATCACTGGCTCCTAGAGGATGTGGGAAAATAGGAACGCTAATACATTGTTGGTGGAGTTGTGAAATGATCCAACCATTTTGGAGAACAATTTGGAACTATGCCCAAAGGGCTACAAAAATGTGCATACCCTTTGATCCAGCAATAGCACTTCTAGGGCTATATCCCAAAGAGATCAAACAAATGGGAAAAGGACCCACATGTACAAAAATATACATAGCAGCTCTTTTTGTGGTGGCAAAGAATTGGAAATTGAGAGGATGCCCATCCATTGGGGAATGGCTGAGCAAGTTGGGGTATATGAATGTAATGGAATACTACTGTGCTATAAGAAATGATGAACAGGCTGACTTCAGAAAAACCTGGAAAGACTTATATGGTCTGATGCTGAGTGAAGTGAACAGAACCAAGAGGACTTTGTACACAATAACAGCCATGTTATGCAATGACTAAGATTGTTAAACTGAACCTTTCTCAGCATTATGAGGATCTAAGACATTCCCAGAGGCCTCAGGATGGATAATGCTGTCCACATCCAAAGAAAGAACTATGGAAGTCGAATCGCTATCACTTATTTTTACCTTCTGTTGAGTTTTGTTTCATCTTCCTGATGGTTCCTCGTATTGGTTTTAATTTTTACTTACAACTTCACTAATGTGAAAATATGTTTAATGGGTATGTAAATGTAAAGCCTATATCAGACTGTGCGCCATCTTGGGGAGGGTGGGGGGAGAGGAAAAGGGAGAAAAATTTTCAACTCAAAAGCATATGGAAAAAATAAAAAAATTTAAATTAAAAAAAAAATCACTGGCTCCTAAATAAAGTTTCATGGTGAACAGCAGGGGATAATGCAAATTCAGTTTTAGTACTCTGAATGGAAGGATGTAAAACCCCATCTAGGGGTAATGGTTGTCATATTTAACAGCACTAAATAGATGCATAGATTTAAAACAAAATAGCTTAATTAATAATAGTTAACTTTTCATATATAGAGCCTGGCCTGAAAGACACAAAACATGAACTTGGTCCTATTATGCCACTAACTTGCAAGGTCTCAATAAATAACAAAATCTACTAGCCTTGGTTTCTTTTCATATAAATTCAAAAGGATTAACTAGATTATCTCTAAGATCTCGAGCTCAAAAATTCTATGACCTATATGCAGACAATGGCTTGTACATATAGCAGACTTATGCATAAATGGTCATCCTAGTCAGGTGGCCCTAGGAATTCTCCCTTCCCTAATTCTCTTTCCTTTTTATTTTACCCTAGTGTTGACTGCAGAATGCCCTATGATGGCAAGGTAATTAGGTGGTAGCAAGAAGCAAAATGACAAAGAACCCTGCCCAACCCCATCTTTCCCCCCACCCCCTCCTGAATCCATAACTAATGCCAAGAATCAGTGGGTGGTAGCAAGAAGAGCAGCCCAATCCTGCTGCTGCCCCAGCATTCCTACCATTGTTCCTTCTAAAAATCCTCAAATTCCACTGCTCCTTTCTCATGTACGCACAAGAGGAAGGGAAGAAAATCCTGTCCTGACACCAATATAGGATCCCCATAATCTATTTCTTTCCTAATCACCAACAATACAGGTAGGGCAAAGACAGGAAGCAACAGAAAAGATGGGAAAAACACTAGGCAGGGTAAAACTGGCTTTCATGTCATTTCTCCTTCCATGAGGCCTTCTTCTTTCCCCTTGCCCTTAAAAGTCTTTTTTCTAGCTCTGTCCCCCTTCCATTTCTACCATCTCTCCACACCCCCTCCCCAAAGCCACCTTGAATTTTTTATCTACAGTTGTTCAAGTCTTGATTCACTGGATCTTCCAACAGAGGCCTGGCACTGGAAGTCCACGTCAACCACTCAGCAGATGTGAGAATAGGGAGAGCTTACTTCCAATGAAGTATATTCCAGGGATCCCAAACTGGACTTCTGAATGCATTTTCAGGTGGAAATACTAACACAATCAGCTAGTTGAAGAAAACTCAAATTTTAAATGACCTTCTCCACAGTGAAAATGTGGTTCATTTCCTGCCAAAGAAGTTTTTTCTTGTTTAAATTAAGTATCTTTGGGGCAGCTAGGTGGCACAGTGGATAACGCACTGGCCCTGGATTCAGGAGTACCTGAGTTCAAATCTGGTCTCAGACACATAACACTTACTAGCTGTGTGACCCTGGGCAAGCCACCTAACCCCACTGCCTAGCCAAAAAAAAAAATTAAAAAAAAATAAAGTATCTTTTATCAGAGTAAGTTTTACCTGTGTCTCTGACTGTGTCATCTGTTCAGCTAACTGTAAACAAGAATGGAAGGAGAAGAGAATGTCTTCACTTAAGGCAGCCACTATATCTTTGTGCTTCAACTGACTCTTTATCACAGCCTGGTGCTTAAGGCTCTGCCTAAATGGGGAAAGAAATTCAGCAGGTGATTAACACAAATAAAACCTTGCATGGTGACCTTTCGGTCATAAAAACGTATCTCTTCAAAGACCTACAATTGGAAATCAGGGTCACAGGTATGAGACAACACAAAGGTGCCCATGCTCACCCACACCACCCAAACAGCCACATGGAGCCACCCACCCAAGATCTTAAGTTTCTTATTTTTCCAAGGATGGTTAGATTGTTTCTCCTCTGCTGCTTCAAAGAAGAGTTATCAAGGCTAATGAATAAAGAAAGTGTTGCAATCCAAACTCCTCTACACAGCTGCCAAAATAACATCCTAAGCAGAAATCAGGCCACATTATTCCCTTGGGGGAAAAAAAATCTATCTTTAGTGGTTCTTCATTGCCTCTAGAATATAAATTCCCTAGTCTGGCATTTAAAATCCACCACAATCTATTGTCTACTTACATTTCCAGCCTTTTTTTCCTCTTAGATGGTTACAAGAGTCCAGGCTTTTTTTTTCTTCTTGCTACTCCCTTCATGAAGTATTCTAACTTCATTTCAGTCAAACTGGACTGCTTCCTCAAATTTGGCATTTTATTTCCCAGCAATAAGGGTTGTTCCCCAAGCCTGGAATATACTCTTTCCTCATCTCTGCATTTCAGAACACTAGGGTTAGCTCAGGTGCCACCTCTTCCACAAAGTATTCCAAGACTTGCCTGCACATATCCCAGTGGTTAGTACTCTCTACTTCTTTAATTTACCTTTCATTACACTCACCTGCGCACATATTGTAACAACAGAATATAAGCTCTTTGAAGGCAAGGACTATTTCATTTTTGTCTCGGCATCACCAGGGCTTAGTGCATCTTGTATATAGCAGGCATTAAATAAGTGTTAAACTTTTGAATTAAAGAGAATGTACAATGGCTAGCACCCTAGTAAATATATCTTAAATATCTGATTCTCTAGTACCTGTAATTTTAAAAGATTACATTAATCTCTGACTTCTGCACATAAAGGGAAAAGTCAGAGAATAGTAGCTAACATTTGAAAGTTTCATCAATTCTTTATTTTTTACAAAAATATAAGTGATATCTAAATATTATTGAAGAATAGTGACTAAATTCTAATTTTAAAATCATTTTTAAAGTTACTGGTTTCACTGTTAAAAAATACATGGCAATTTTTATATTATATTATAGTCTTAAAACTATCTTTTTCTGTAATTTTTTTTTCCAATGGCACGGGAATTTGGCTTAGGAACAACAGCAAACTGTTATTTCATTGCCACCAGTACTCTCAAAACTGAGTTGGAGGGGGTAGATACATGGCACAGTGGCACAGTGGATAGAACACCGACACTGGATTCAGGAGGACCCAAGTTCAAATCCGGCCTCAGACACATAACACTTACTAGTTGTGTGACCCTGGGCAAGTCACTTAATCTAACTGCCTAACCCAAAAAAACAAAAAACCCCAAAAACTGAGTTGGAGGAAGGGAGAAAAGATAAAGAGAATTAAGCTCTTCCTAAGGCAGGATTCAATCCCATAAAGGGATAGTGACAGAAAGCAGCACATGCAAATTTAACTAAATTTTACAGATAGTTATCAAGCATTAGTAAGTACGAGCCAATAAGGACATAAACTTGAAAAAATGAGAGTATCTACTCTCAAGGAGTTTAAAGTTTACAAAGCGGTCCATGACCTGAAAATAAGTGGTAGCACAATATGGGGCATATAGCACGGACCTGGATGAATCAAGCAAAATGAGGGCAAAGGAGAGAGATCTGAACAAGATGGTTTAGGAAAATGTGAATAAAGAAGAGGACACTTTCAGCTGAGGTCATAAAGTCCCACTAAGCCCGATCCTCAAAGGAAGAGAAAGATTCGACAAGAACAAGTGGCGTTCAGGGCCTGGAGATGAACGGTACGTACAGAACTGCTCAGCAGGCGTCAGAATGTTTTGAGTTGGAACGCTGAATACTGGGGACTAGTGGGCAAGATGGTCTGCCCGGAACACAGAGGTCCTGAAAGGGAGTAGCAGGAACTTCAAAAAGGCAATTTGGAAGCAGACTCTGGAAGTCAGTCTTGAATGCATGCCATCTGATAGGTGTCAAAATACTATTAGGAGACACGGCCCAGCAAGCAAGCTGTGCCCTGAGCTTGGCATAACCAGGATCCTGAGTGCTCACCCTCTGGATGAACTCAGCCATGGCAAAACCCCAGAATTGTTTCATGTAATTATTGTATCGCCTTGATCAACACCAGGTGTTCTCTGAGATCAGATAAGCACTGGAGAAGTTCTGGTCATGAAGCCCTGCTATTAATCAAGCTTGTCTCCTTGTTGCTGTTACCCCTCAACGTCAGGGCTACAGCTCACTGTGCAACCACTGGTGTAAGGAGTGAGATCTGGCCACACTAAAGCACGTTCCCTCACGTGTGTGTGTGTGTGTGTGCGTGTGTGTGTACATGCGCGCACGCACATACTGGGGCGAGAGGGGTAAGGGGAACTTGCACATGTGTCTAATTTGCCTCCTTGCTGGCAAGCCCTTTCTCTCACTTTGAAATTAAACTGCTGTTTGATTACTGACTCTCTTGCCTCTAGTCTGCCATTCAGCTCCAGCCATCCACAGGTTAGAGGCCAGTTCAGTCTGGCTGACACAAGCAATGGGAAGGCAGTGAAGTTTCTTAAATAGGACAGTGACATAGTAAGACTTGTGTTTCAGGAAAATTATGCTGGCAGTTGTGTGAAGGCTGGATTGGACAAAAAGAGAAATCTATAGTTCAGGCAAGAGGTAATAAGTGCCTAAATTAGAATGGTGGCAGCGTCAGTGGAGAAGTGGGAATGGATACAAGTAATCTTGTGGAAGTAGAACAGGTAGGATTTAGGAACCAACTAGACATGGAGGTGAGGGAGAAAAAGAATCAAAAATGACTAAAAATCCAAACCTCAAAGGTGCCGAGTAATTTAAGGAAACAAGTATAGACTCTTCTTTTTAAGGGTATAGCAGTAAAAGGGAGGAGAAAACACAGAACATTCACCTAAGAGATGTAAGGATCAAGGAAAGGCTTTTAAAAATAGAGGAAACTTTGTTACATTTGTCGACATGGGAAAATTAGGAGATAAGGGGGAGGGAAAGAATGACAACAAATGATTGACGGGGAAAGCATCTGAAAGAGACGTTTAAAAATTCTTCATAAACTATTAAATTAATACAACCTATAGATAAGTAAAAACATGGACTATGGAATATACAAAGAACAAAATACATACTTAATTATAAACTTCCAAGTGTTGGCATGAAAAGCTTGGTCCATATCGGATATAACAGAGCAGATATCCAAAACTGAATGAATAACTACAAAAAAAGACAGTAGAATAATCATTAAATATAAACTTACTGGATAAATTTCTATTCTAGTAAAAAGTATTGCTCACAAAGTTCACCAATTATTACATTAAAAGTAGTTAAGACTATATAAAATGCTAAGTTTTAATTTTATATTTAATATTTTCAATTATAGGAAACTGATCTTTAAGGAAAGGGAGACAAATACAGCTGTTTCACAGCTTTTTTGCTATTCTTAACTTACAATACACTAAAGGAATAAAGTTCTCTTTCTGTCTTCAGTCTAGAGCTATGATTTCATTGGCACAAGTATCTCCTCTATAAGCCTCCACCAAGGCAGATCAACAATAGTTCTGCAACTTAGAGTTGCCCGGGGCACTAAGACATTAGGTGGCTTGCTCAGAGTTACAGGTCTCCTCTATGAGAAGCAGGATTTGAACTCATACTGCCTCGACTACAAGGCCAGCCCTCTATCCTCGACTCCATGCTGCTTCTCAAATCCTTATTCTCAGAGTATTTAATAAGAGGAGGAACAACCCCAGGCAGATAGGATCAAATAAGCAGATAAAGAAATAAAACTAACATTTATACCATTTATGTAATGTCCCATCATTTATGTAATGTCCTTACTATCCCAAGTACTAACTCCTTCTATGGTCCTCTTAGCTCACTCTGTATTATTTTCCTTAGCCCTTGGGACATGGACTAGTTGGGGAATGGCTAGTCCTAAATGCTAATGCTACAAAATTATATTCATTCATCTATAACTACAAAGTCATTCTCTGACAACGTTGGGTCTCCTCAAAATAACAGCAGGGTTCTTAACCTTTTTTTTTTCTCAAAAGCAGTGGTTCTCAACCTTTTTTTTTTTAAATACAACACTTTGAAAGTCTAGAAAAGCCTATGGATCCTTCTCAGAATAACGTTTGTCACCTAAATTCATAATTGAAGGACATTCTAAATTTCAGTTAGAGGTTATTGAAAATAAAGTTATAATTTTTTCCACTATCCAAGTTCATAGACCCCTTGGGGATGGAGGCAAAGAAGAGATCTATGAACCACAGGGCTAAGAATCACTGCTTTAACCCTAACTTCTGTTACATTGATTTTTCACTAGTTACCACCCTAATATTCCTCCCGAGGCCTTCATATTGTGGTCTAGACTGGCCAGCCTTCATTCCCTAGGGTCTCTATCCCTGACTCTCGACTTCAAAACCATATTACCTGGCCAGGTAATGTCATCTCCCTTTACCCTTCGTTTTTCAGCTCCCTTCTGTGTACTGTCTTTCCCCACTAAAATGTAAGTTCCTTGAGGGCTAGAACTTTCTTTTGTACTTGTATCTGCATTCCTGGTGCTTAGCACAGTGCCTGGCACATAGTAAGCTCTTAGTAAATGCTTGTTTCCTTTCTTCTTTTTTCTCATCTCCTCTCTTAAATATTTTTAATCTTTCCTCTATCAGCTCTCTCACATCCTTTCTTATGACCCTCTGCCCCATTCTGCCACTACCTTATTTCTCTCCTTGGTAACAAACTTCTTGAAAAAGTTACATACACACATACATACATACATATATACACATACACATATATACATACATATATACACACACATACATATATATATGCGGTTAAGTTACTTGCCCAAGGTCACACAGCTAGTAAGTGTCAAGTATCTGAGGCCAGACTTGAACTCAGATCCTCCTGACTCCAAGGCTGGAGCTTTATCCACTGTGCTACCTACCTGCCCCAAAAGTTATCTATATTGATACCTCTATTTTGCTATATTGTTACATCTGAAATGGTCTTCATTTTCCTCTTGCCCTGTTAAATTCTTACCAGTTCTTTAAAGTCCAACCCAGATGCCACCTCCTCTATTAAGCATTCTCTGACTAATCCCTCCCAGCTTCTGCTGTCACCAATTCCCTCCCTTCTTCAGACACCATGTAGCATTTGTTTGCTTCACCCTAATATACTTATATTTTTGACATTATAGTCATCTATAAGTGTATCCTGTTCCTCTTCTACAGAGGGAGGGACTGTATCTTATCTAAACTTTGCATGTCTCCAGAACTATGCACAGGGTTCTCTGCATAGTAGCTGAATCGAATGCTTCATTGAATACATCGATTATCACTTATTGCCAAGAAAAATTAATTTAAAATATTATCCCATGATATTTAATTTATTCCATACTTACACTGAGTGTCTAAAGAAACAATCACCTTTATTACAGTGGTGGGCACGGGTGTCACATAAAATGCAATTTTACACTGTTAATACAAATGGACAAATTTTGTCTATGCACCTGATACCATATCTGAAATATCTTCTTCTACCACTGAAGCATCCATACAGACCATATCGAGTAGTTCCATAAAGTGCTTCTGAAGGGAATAAGCCTCCTTGAAAAGGGCCTGAAGAAGATCTGAAACCAGGTGCAATCGTCCAGAGTACACAGAGTCACTATTCTGATTACAAGTACACAAAAGAGAAAAAACAAATGAGAAAAAGTTCCAAGTTCATTTTGCCAGTTAGAGGTTAGTGTAGTAAACAAAGGACTAGCTTCAGAGGTTGAAGACCTAGGTTCAAGTCTAGCCACAGATCTACCGGCTGGAAGACCCTGAGAAGCTGCTCTTGGACAATAAGTCATGGAGAAGGGGCTGACCAGCATAGGTAAAAAGAATGATGCCACCTCTAATCTCTTCCTAGTATCCTGCCAGCAATTGAAAGCATTTTTTTCTTTTCATTAACTCATAGAATGCTTTTTCAGTGGTATAAGAGTTTAATAGGAGGAAGGTGTATGTTTTGCAGTGCTTTTCTCTGTCAGCACAAAAATCCAGCTTTTTAACACCAGCATTTTCCCAGTGATAAATGGCTGTAAATCATAGATTATGATTTTTAGAATTATCAAATTTGCAAATGACCTAAAAGACAATGAAAACATATATGGTGAGTATAAATTGCTTACATAGAAAGTGAAAGGGACAACAGATAGTGCAATCACTGATCTGGTATCTATGACCTCCAGAGAATTAGAATGAAAACTGTCAGGCTGTTTGATTTTCCTTGTATCCCATTACCTCAGGGTCTATATCAGTTGTAGGACTACTGAAGCTACGTGGAATGTAGATATAAATCAAGGAAAGACCATTTATTTTCTTTTGAGCAGGGGTTCTTAACCTTTATTTTTTTTGAGGTTAACTTCAGGATACACAGAAAGAAAAATATATACAAAAATGCAACTATGAATTATAGATATCAACATTTCTGTATCAATATCTACAATTTCTAGGATATATTTGGCAATCTAGTAAAACCTATGGGCCCCTTCAAAAATGTTTTTAAATATATAAAAACACAATACACAGGATTACAAAGGAAACCAATTACAGTATGTTGAAATTTTTTTTTTCCATACAAGTCCATAGACCTCAGGCTTAGAACTCTTCTTGCTTTAGAAGTAAATGTTCTTGATCCATTTTCTCCTACTATCAGAATATAACTATAGCTAAACATAAATCCCTATCATTTTTTATAACAATGAGATTTTTGATGAAATGACTTTTTTCGTCAACATAAATGCAAACCACCCCCCTCAAAAAAAACCCAGCTTGCTGCAAAACAACAGGGCATAAAGGTATCCCATGGGGCATGCATCTAATTTGGCCAGGTTGGATAAAATGCCAAATCCTCATTTTCCCTGGTACATCAGTCACTTCCATTTGTAAAATTCCCAAATTCTAGTGCCTACCCACCTAATGTTTCTTTAGCTAATAAATTTAGAATTCCAGTCATTACCCACCTTGCAGTGTATAAATGTGCTCTTGATTACATGAAGGACTGAAGAGGGGAGGCTGTGTATATTCTCTAGAACTATGGATTCCTGCAGAGTACAAACATGTTGTACACATCCTCTAAGGGCTCCTAACAGTTGCACCATTGACTAGAAATTAGGAAAAAGATTAAATGGTAAGCGCTCTAAATATATGCATGCAGATTTCAAGTTGGTCTTGCTATATATCACTCTTTTTTCAGGCAAGGTAGGGTAAATTGAATCCAGTTCAACAAACACTATTAAATCTCTCCTATTTTCAAGGGATTACACTAGGGCCTAGGAACACAAAGACAAAATTAAACTGTTCCTGCCCTCAATAAGCTTACACTCTACTAGGGGAAGGGAGCAGGGAATGGAAAGTGTATACATATAAGAAAATATGAGGTTAACTTCAGGATTCATACAGAGAGAGAAAGGAATATATAAAAATATAACTATGAATTCTTGATATCAAGCATTTCTGTATCAATATCTACAATTTCTAGAACTAAATTTCAAACTTGGCATTGGTGCTGTTGGTCATAGCAACACACAATGAATATGCATCAAAACAGTTATAGTGCCGAGATGCATTTTATCTGGAAGCTTTCTCTGCAGTCTTCTTACTCTGGAAGATCCCTGTGGCCCATCCTCTGTGAGTTCCTCTCGAGAATCTCCATTTTGAGGATGGGCCTGGGCCAGCCCTACTCTCACTTGTCTCAGCTGTGCTCCTGCCCCTTCAGATTCCTCTTCCATGCTCCATTCAAGTACCTCTGACACCCCACTTGCCTTGATTTTCAACTTCCTTTTATGTGCTATCGTCCTTTATTAGGATGTGAGCTCCCTAAAGTCAGGTACTGTCTTTTTTTGGTTTATATTTGTATTCCCAGTGCTTACCACAGTCTGGCATATAGTTAATGCTTAATAAATGCTTGCTGACTTATCTACATAGTCTCTTAAACTCTTCTCCCTTTAATCAAAAGGATTTTACTTACTTGTAAAATATTCCTTAGTGTGGCTTGGAGTTCTAAATTTTGACTCGATAACTCTCCTGCCTGACTGGATAAATCATACATCATATGATCAAACAATTTTACAGTCTGAAAGGCAAAGAAATTTGTACTGAATAACAGAAATCTCTAGAAAATGACTCAATTTTAAAAGAACATAAAACAGCACACTCTGATTTTGTCTATTTACTTAACACTGACAGCTTCCAAGACAAAAATTTAGGAAAAATTACATACTGCTACAACTCCTGTCTAAGAACAAAGACAGAATCTGAAACTACCCTAGCAATACTCAGATATCTGTTTTCTATATAACCCACAAAACCAAATTTCTAAAATCCAATTTTTATGATGGAGAAATTAAAAATGCTCATTTTTCCACTAGTTCACCCATAATGAAGATACGCATTTAAAATTTAAGATAATTTAAGATACGCATGTTTTTCTCTAATAATGTTTGTGCCAAGCTATCTATCCAACTATTCTATTTGATTCCCTCTTTCGCACACATACGCATTTCTTCTCTGTCTCAGAATGGGCTACGTAATAGTTTCTCATGGGATATTGTGGCTAGGCCTAAGAACATGGCCTCACATTTGCAGCTCTCTAAATGAACTAACTGGGTCAGACTATGTAACAAAAACGAGGCAAGTGATGACTGCTAAAAAAATTTAGATTTCCAGGTGGTATTAAAGAGCCTACTTTGAACCTTACAGCTATATTACAGGTAATCATATATAAAATCCTTGTTTAAGCTACAAATTTACTACCATGCTTTTTGGGGCATGGAAGTATCTACTGAGAACTTAAATCTGTCAAGTGCTTAAATTTTACTAATTTCCCAGCTTTTTTTTTTGTTATTATCATTCTTTTTTTTTTTTTGGTTAGGCAATGGGGTTAAGTGACTTGCCCAGGGTCACATAGCTAGTAAGTGTTAAGTGTCTGAATCCGGATTTGAACTCAGGTCCCTCCTGAATCCAGGGCCGGTGCTCTATCCACTGAGCCACCTAGCTGCCCCGTATTGTTGTCGTTCTTATGCGTTTATTTTAAAGACTGTTTTTCTCCCCAGGCAATAGAATTTCACAATTATCATTAAAATACATGAGAGATAAACAAAACTAATGAATTTAATTACTACGTGATCAGTCCTGAATTCTGAATTTCCATTTGGTTATTTAAACAAGAGGTATAGAAATCCGTCTAAGTAAAGGACACATGAACTGATAAAATAATTTTGTCACTGAACAGCTAATAATTTTTTCTTAATTCCCTGGGGCACTGAGAGGTTAAGTGATTTGCCCAGGTCACACAGCTAATATGGGTCATAGTCAGAATATGAACCCAGGTCTTACTGACTCCAAGGCTGTCTCTCTCATAGTTGATATTCTAAATATAAATATATTCTCGAGTTAAAGCTTTCCTTCTTTTATTTGGTTTATAAACATATAATACTATCCATAAATGTCATACCTTTGGTAATACTTGTGAAAAAAATGACTGTTCCAAGGCTAAGTAGTTGATATGAGGTAGAAACATTTCTGTAAGAATCTTGAGAACTCCTATAAAATGAAAGATTTGCATGCTTTTATGAAAAGATTAATCAAAGTCAGTAAAATTATGACAGAGACTACAGTATGTTAACATATGGAAGAAAAATTCAAGCATAGGTTATATTTTTTCAAAATTACTATTATTGATATCTTTTGTTTTTATATCATCTCTGTTACACGTATATCAATCCCTTCCCAAAAGCCACTTCTTATACGAGAAAAGGGTTAATAAAAAATACCCAGCAAACCTAATACATCAAAAAGCTCTGACATTATATACAGTGTTCCACATCCATAGTCCCCCACTTAAATACAGTAGAAGGGGAAGTGCTTTCTCATCTTTCTTTGGGGCCAAAGTTGGTCATCATAATTTCACAGCATTCAGTTTCAATTTTTTGTCATTCTTCTCTCCATTTACCATTATTGCAGTCATCATGCATATAGTCTTTAGGGTTGTTCTTACTTCATTTTGTATCAGTTTAAACAAGTAAAATACAACAAACATTTATTTAGAACCTACCATATGGCAGGCCCTATGCTAAGCACTAAGAACAAGAAAGTTAGTCCCTGTCCTCAAGGAGCTTACAATCTAAAAAGAAGACAATACATAACAAGAAGTTGAATGGGGAGAGCAGGCAGGGGATAATGATGGGAGGATCAAAATCAAGCAGAGAAGATGGTATAAAATGAAGAGTTGGCCGGGAATTGAGCCCTCTATAAAGGGAAGCAGTGGGTGGAGTCTTTTGCTCTGCCCTTCCAGCCATCCAGTCAGAGAAACAGAGGTAACTAAGGGTACAAATGCGTATGAGTAGGAAAACTAAAAAAATCTCCATGGTGATGAGCTTATTGAGGGAGGGAGGGAGTGATGATACTGATGATGGTGATGATGATGATGATGATGGAGTAGAACCCAAGCAGAAGCCAACAAGCAGAAACCAAACAAATCTTTCCATGATTCTCTGCATTCATCATCTTCATCACTTCTTATGACACAGTAACATTCCATCATTACATTTGTGTATCACAATTTGTTTAATCATTCCCCAAAGGATGGGCATCCACTTTTTAAGTATTATCTAAAAAATACTTTCAATTTAAAATGTCAAGAATAGCCATTTACCCATTCTTAGAAAAAAACACTGTCAAGTAACTGAAACCAGAGCGATGATGTGCCTCTAGAGAAAACGTTTCCTTCGTGTCAAATGGAATTATGCAAGTAAAGAGACTAAACTGGTTATACTTCTTAACCTAGCAATCCCAATACTGGAGATACACCTCAATCAATCAACAAGTAATTATTAAGCATCTACTATCTGCCAAACATAGCGGTAGGCACTGTGGATACAAGAACAAAGAATGAAATTATCCCTAAATAGAAAGGAGCTGACGTTGTAATGGGCAACAAGTAAATATGTAAGTACATATGGTGTAAATACAAAGTAAATAAATACAAATATACACAAAGCAGTGAAATGCAAGGAAGTTTGGGGAGGGAGGGCACTAGCATTTGGAGGATCAGGAAAATCTCCTTGAAGAAAATGGAGTTTCAGCTACATCTTGAAAAAAGAGAGATAGACACCATGAGGCCGAAGTGAGAAGGAAGTATGTTCCAGGCACAGAGGCTCACCAGTATAGAGGCAGAGAGGTGGGAAATGGGCTGTAGCGTGTGAGGAAGAGACAAGTTCGGTTTGGCTGAATTACAGAGGCCAAGAAGGGGAGCAATGCCCAATGAAATTGGAAAGACAGGTTAAGGCCAAGCACTGCAGGGCTTTAAAAGCTAGACAGAGAAGTTTTAATTTTATCCTTGACACAAAAGGAAGCCATTTGAGTTTTTCTTTGCTTTTTTTTTTTTTTAAACCTTTGGAGGCAATCAGAGTTAAGTGATTTGCCCAGGGTCACATAGCTGGCAAGTGTTAAATGTCTGAGGCTGGATTTGAACTCAGGTCCTCCTCACTCCAGCGGGCCATCTGCATTGTGCCACCTAGTTGCCCCTATTACTGAAGTTTTCTGAGTTTCAATATATACCAAATATTCATAGTAGTACTCTCTGAGCTCGCAAAGAACTGGAAACAAAATATACTGAGAGGTCAAGGAGGATTAAGACTTAGATAAGGTCACTGATTTGTAAGCCAGGGAACATATTAGTAATATTTCAGAGAAGAGTTTCAGAAAAGTGGCGGACAAAAACTAAACTATTAAGGGTTGAAGAATGAATAGGTTGTGAGCCAAGGAGTACAGATCCTCTTGGAGCTCTCCATCTTGCAAAGCTAGTACCCTTTACCCCATTCCCTCCTACTTTCCAGACTATCAATTTTCCCCTCTTAACTCTTCAATATCAATTAGATTTAGCTCAGTATTTTATACCATATAACTACAATATGCTGAAAGGGTTATTATATGATCTGAATATTAAAAGTCACACATCATAAAAACATTAGGAGAAAAGATCAGGGTACAACTATGACTAAAGCTATAGATATATCTGAGGAAGAATTCTTAACCAATAAAGAGATACAGGTAATCAGAAAAAATAAAACAGGTATTTTCAATTTCATAAAGCTGAAAATAATTTGCATGAACAAAAATCAATCTAACCAGGATAAGAAGGGAAAGCAGGCAATGAGGGGCAGGGGGGTGGAAACAAAGAAAAACTTTGCATCAAACACCTCTGATAAGGATCTTATCATCATACTACATAGGGAAGTAAATATAGAAAGCCAAGTCATTCCCTAGTGAAGAATGGTCAGAGACTATGAATAAATATGAAAAATTGCTCCATATCACTAATTACTTAAGAAATGAAAATCAAAACAAGTTTGAGGTTACTTTTCACACCCAAAAAATTGGCAAAAATCACAAAGATGACAATATTCAATGTTGGATGAACTGTGGAATGACACACTAAGGCGAGCTGTGAATTCACCAAACAATTCTGGAAAGTAAATTAAAATTATTCTGTAATTAAAACGTCCATAACCTTTAACCCAGAGACCTAACAGCCAAGTATATAGCCTAAAGAGGTAAATGGTAAAAAGGTCAATTATATAGCAAAATATTCCTATCAGCACTATTTGTAGCAACAAAAAAACTTGAAATAAAATCAATGGTCAATGACTGGGGAATGGTTAAACAAATCTGTGGCATTTAATGTAATGGAATATAAGAAATTGTGCTATAAAAAATAATGAATACAAAGAACACAGAAATTCATGGGAAGATTTACATGAACTGATGCAAAAAGAAGTAAGCAGTACCAGGAAAATAATATACACAATTACAATATTGTAAGTAGAAAGAACAAAAAACCAAACCACCATTTTGTGAAATTATAATAACCAAACTTGACATCCCCCCTCCCAAGAGAATACACTTTCCTATCTTCTTCGAAAAGGTAAAGGTCTAGGGTTGTGAAACACTGAATTTACTGCAGTTCTTGTTTGAAGTGTTAATCCTGATCAATTGGCTTTCCAGTGGAGTTTTTTGCCCTTTTTTTCCCCTCTTTGTTATCTGTTTGCTCTCCTGGTGTATAAGGCAAAAACCATTCTGGATAAAGTTATACATACTGTTTTATCATAACAAGAATAATAACAGCTAGAGTTTATACAGTGAGCTAAGGTTTACAAAGCCCTTTATATATGTTAACTCATTTGATCCTCACAAAAACCATAAGAGGCAGGTCCTATTAATATGATGCCCAATCTTGGTCCCTGAGGATATGATATAACTCCCTCCCTAAAAGGGTGGGATTAATGGGGAGGAAGCAATTAAGAGGGGAAATGATTGTACTGTAAAAACAAAAAGCATCAATAAAACTTTTTAAAAATTAATAAACATTAAAAAATCAAGTCATGCCAGAAAACAGCTAATTAGAATCTCTCCCTTCCTCAAATGTTCACTTCTTACCTGAGGCCTTTCCTAATCCCTCCAGCTGTTAGCACTTCTTCCTAATAATTACCTTGTATTTACTTTGTATATATTTTGTATACAAAAGCAGTCTAGTGTAGAGGAGAGAATCACACTCAAGAGTTTGGAAGACCTCGGTTCAATTCCAAATTCTTAAATGTACTGGCTATGACCCTGGGCAAATCACTTAATGGTTGTTGTGATGTGGCTACCCAAAAAAAAAGCTATTGAGATTTTAGGCAGTATTAAGATAGGCACAAATTTGGGAGATAGTCCTACTCAGCTGTGTTCTGGTCAGGCTACATCTGGAGCATTATGTTATGTTCTGTCCTGGGTGCCATATTTAAGGAAGGATGAGGATAAGATAGTGAGGGTCCAATGGAGGTAATCTGAGTAAAACATGGAATTGTCTTCATACTATTTGAAGAAATTGGGGTAAATAACACTGAGAGAAGACTTAGGGAGAACATGATAGCTGTCTTCAATACCTAAAGAGCTGTCATGTGAAAAAGTGATTAGTCTTGTTCTGCCTGGCACCAAACTAGAAAAACGGGTGGAAGTTAAATAAAGAGGCAGACTTCTGCTTGATAAAATAAAACACTAACAATTAAGAGTTGTCCAAGAGTGAAACAGTCTACCTCAGAAGATAGTACACACTTACAAGAGACCTTTAAGCGATGACTGAATGACAATTATGATATGCAGGAGATGGGATTCATCGTAAGGTATGGTTTGGACAAGATGGTCTTTGAGGTCCTATCCAACCCTGCAACAGGGATAGGACATGTAAGAACTCCTTAATGGTGTAAGAACTCCTTAAATGAGGAAACTCTCTCTACCAATGCAATTCAGCATTTTATCTGCAACATGTTCTCTAAAAGAGTTGCCTAGATCACCAAGAGGTTAATTGTCCTCCTCAGGGTCACACAGACAGAACATGTCAAAGGTGATCCATAGTCCTTCTGGTCCTGAGTGCAGCTCTGTATCTACTTCATGTTTGCTCTCTTTCCAACTCTGAATTCTGTAATTTATACAAACTTATCCAGGCACCACATAACTAGAAGTGTGAAAAGAACACAGATTCTGATGTTTTTTAAAAGTGTGACTAAATTTTCCTTTCTAAACAGAGAAAGCACTATACCTTGAGAACTGGGTCAAATACTTTATGTTCACTAAAAGTAATAGTAGCTATAAGAAACTAAAAAATGAGCACTGATTTATTTTCCAGTGAGCAAGCACAATAATAAAAGGCTCTCCACTGAAATGCAAAATCTAGACTTCACTGACACCAAAATTAAGAACCACACAATCAAGACATTCTTACTTACTTATGTGATCCTTCCAGTTATCAGAACACTGATATATAGAGTAAACTAATTAAGGAACACCCACTATAATTTGAAATAACCACCACTTTGAAAATGGGCTTTCCAACAACCTGAAAATATTATAGTCATTTCAATAAGAACCTTTCTTGCAATGCAGTATTATTATAATATAATTATAATTTAATTATAATATAAACAACATATTTATTGAATTGAACACTGGAAATTTTCTTAGTACAGGCCTCAACAAAAATATTGTCTATAAACACATTCTGAACACAATCAAGCCAATTCAACACGAAGTCACTGGTTATTTAGTATACAAAGTTATTTGTTACCTTTCTTATTGTAAGATTTAAAATAAACTCCCGGTTAACATGTAAATCAGAAACATATATTTAGAGCTGGAAAGAACCTTAGCGATTACCTAGTTCAACTCCTTCATTAAACAAACTGAGGCCCAGATGGATTAAATAATTCACCCAAAGTCACAAAAATAGTAAGTGGCAATGTGTAGATAGTTTTATACAGCATAATTCAGATCAAATACCATATGATAACATTTCGCCTCTTCTAGAATCTCTACAAATATTAATGGTGAGCCCCAAATAAAAGATATCCTATATAGTCTTCCCTGAATGAACAAATTACAGAAAAAAAATACCTGTAAGGCACAGGTCCCTTAACCTTTTTTTGATTCCTGGATAGTTCCCTTTAACACTCTGATGAGACCTTATGAATCCCTCCTCAGAATGTTTTTAAATGCATAAAACAAGATGCATAAGATCACAAAACCAATTATATTGAAATAGTTATCAATTTTTTTTAAGTTCAGAGATCACAACTTAAGAATCCTTAGTATAGGGAGACTTCTCTGGGCTTCTCTTTCCTCACCTGCAAAAGAAGGGGGTTGGAAAGAGCACACCTCAAGTCTTTTCTATCTCTAGAAGTCTATGAGATTTTCATATTAATGTTTTAGGGCTAGTGAGGTAAACTATTAAATTACAAGGTTTCCCACACCCAATAATCAAGAATCTGGACTAGGCTTCAAATGACCTGGGTTCAAGTTCTAACTCCAACATTTAGAACCTATGTGACCTCAGGCCAATTACATATCCTCTCAAATTCTATTCTTTCATCTATAAAAAGAGTTAAATACTTGTAATACTTTACAAGGTTGTTGTAAATTATAAAGTAGCATATAAGTTACCATTATCTTCACAGAAATCTTAGACATTGGATCCTAAACTCAAATAAACATTATCCTACCAAATTCTAACATTTAACTAATCACCCAAATACATTTGGTTTTTAGTTTTAAGACTATGTTTTTCTTTTTTTTTTTTTACCTTCCCACATTATAAAGCCCACTCTGGAGAATATTTTTCTGTTGAAAATTTGAAGACATGGTCATAAATTTTAGGGCTCAAAGAGCCTGTGGAGTTCTTAGGATTATATATAGGTGGAAGGGACCTTAAATGCCATCTGAGATGATTGTAACCCCCTCATTAATGAAGAACTGAGACCCGGAGCTAGCTGCTGTTATTTCACACAGCTAAAGAGTTTCTGAGGTGGGATTCCTCACTTCAAACCCAGCATTCTATCCACTATGCCATGCTGCCTCTAATCATCTAGTTCAAATTCTTCATTTTAGTTAAAGAAAATAAGTACCTGAAGAGGTTAAGTGAGTTTTTCAATTGATAAAGGTGGTCATCTGAAGCACTGCCATAATTTTTATTTACATATATAACACATATAATTTATATTTATATAAAATAAAATTGATATTTTTTTTCAGTTGTTTTGGCTGTATCCAATTCCTCATGACCCCATTTGGGGTTTTCTTGGCAGTGATACTGAAATGGTTTGCTATTTCCTTTCCAGCTCATTTTACAGATGAGGAAACTGAGGCAAGGAGGGTTAAGTGACTTGCCCAGGGTCACACAACTAAAAAGTGTCCAAGTCTAGATCTGAATTAGGTGAAACGAGTTTTCCTGACTCCAGGCCAGGCATTCTATCCCGCTGCATGGTATAGTTACTTGGTAAGAAGCATTTAGAATCCAGGTACTTTTGGAAACTCACAGATGTGGCTGAGCGTATCCTAGAATGCCACAGAGCTGACTCGCTTACACTGTGACAGTGGAGGTACTTAAGGCCAGCCCAAATGACCAGCAGCGTGAATTCTCTTAAGGATCAAGGGTCATGTTATACCGTAACAGCAGAGGCAAAAAAAGCATACATGATGCACATGGGAGTCTAGGGAGCCACAGTAATAAAAGAGGATCACAAAAACACGGCGGAGAGAGCGCGGGCGGCGAACAGACACCCCCTCCAACACGCTACTAAGTGGCGCCCCGACATCTCGCCCCACCACCACCGTCGGGCCACGGCGCAAGGCAGCAACACTCCCTAAAACCCTGCCTTTCGTTTATTTCAGCATTGCGCATGCACGAGAGACACGCTCGCGCATTCCCCAGGTAAGGGGTGGGGGAGGGACCCGGACTCCCGCGTCCCTCCGACCCAGCGGACATTCAAGGATATGAGAAGCCGGGGCAGGACAGAAGGCAGCTCCTGACGACATAGGTCCTCGGACCAGCCTGCCAACTCCTCCAGCATTATGGTGGTCGCCGGCTCCGCGCGGTCCTGAGACATTCTCTCTGAGCCGACACAGTTCGGCCGCTTCAAACACGTCCCGCCCTTTCCTAGAGCCGGAAATAATCCTCCACCGTCCCGTCAGGCTCTGCGAACTCCCTCCCCCGAGATCTCCACAGACGCCGGCGTCGGATTGGAGCGGAGCGGAGCGGAGTTACTGCGCATGAGCACCACGCGCGCGCCCTCCCGGAAGTGGAAGAGTCTGAGCGGTGCCAAGCGGAGGATGGAATCCCAGAACTCGCGTTTGGACGGTGGCGGGACGGGGTGAGGAGGGGCCGCCGAGCGGTGAGCGCGGGGTGAGGAGGGGTCGACCCGCTCCTCGGAGTCCTCAGATAGTGGCGGGGCACGGGGCTCGGCCCACGGCCTTAGGGATTGCTTGAGCTCCCGAGATTTGTCACTGGATTCCTCCGGGGCGTAGTGACCCCAAAGCCTGGATCCCCTGCCCCATGACACAGGTAGAAGGGGAGCCCCAGAATAGCTGTAGGCACCTAAGTGGTGCAGTGGATAAAGCGCTGGGCCTGAGTTCAAATCCAGCCTCAGATATTTACCAGCTGTGACCCTGAGCAACACATCACCCCGCCTCAGTTTCCCTTTATGTAAGATGGGAATAATAATAGCCTCTTCTTATCAGGGTTGTTCAATTCTGTCAACGTTTATTAAGTGCCTGCTACTTGCCAGAAACTGTACTAAGCGCTGGGGATACAAAAAGAGGTAAAAGACAGTCCCTGCCCTCAAGGAGCTTACAGTCTAAGGGGGATGCAACATGCAAACAAATAGATAGAAAGCAAGCTGTATATAGGATAAACAGGAAATAATTATTAGTGGAATTAAGAGGGATTGGAGGAGGCTTCCCGTAGAAGATGGAATTTTAGAGGATCGCATGACTTAACAATTGTAAAAGGCTTTGCAAACAAAACGTAATGTGCTATTAAATGCCAGCTGCTATTAATATTGTTAGACTTGGGATTTGAAAGGTCTGAATGCTGCTTCTGTGCTTTGCAGATAAAACTTAACGTGCTATTAAGTGCTAGTTATTATTGTTGTTGTTGTTGTTAATATTAAACTTGGGATCAGAAAGACCTGATCTAAATCCTGCCTCTGACACTTGGATGGGCATGGGCAAATCACTTAACCCAGCTAAACTTTGGTTTCCTTATCTGTAATGGGAGGTTAATAATACCCATAGTACCTATGTATGCAGAGGACTTTACAAAAATTTAAAAATATCATCTAAATATCGGTTATTATAATCTTCTTAGTTATCATGAAAACAAATTAGACCCCTGCTGAAGGTGAACCAGCCTTGGAAACAGAGTCTGCTACCCTTCAGTTGCTCCCTATGGCTCCATGCCTACCATGAGTGAGGCCTTGGAAGTGTATGTATCCTTGCCCTTCTTCAAATGCTTGTAAATTGAGGGATTTTTATTATGGCCTCTAAGATCCCTTCCAGCTCTGTCTCTGTGACCTAATTCATTCCTCTCATTTGACAGAAAAGGAAGTTGAAACCCGGAGAGATTAAGTGATTGACTTTCTCAGGTCCTAAGGCACACAATTGACCACGTCAGTTCCCTGCTCAAAAACCTTCAATGGCTGTCGCCATGATTTGGCTCCAACCTGCTTTTCCATCTGTATTTCACATTACTATCATTCATATAGTCTGTAGTCCAAATGAATTGCCATACAAGTTATTCCCTAATGCTCTATTTTATCACTCATCTATAAATCTTGTACAGATTGTCTCTCTTGTCTGGAAGACTCTACCTGCTCATCCCTTCTTAAGATCCTTTTTTTTCCATTCAGTGATCAGTTTAGATATCAGTTCCTACTTGAAACTTCCCAGAACTCCCCAAGTGTTAGTGCTCTCTTCCTCCTCAAATTATCTTGTTTTCATGGGTTTTTTTTTCTTATCTTCGTAAGATAAGTAGAAAGTAAATTCTTAGAGGGTAGGGATTATTTTTTTTTGTCTTTATAGCATCCTCCAGTATGTTTCACATTGTTTAATACATTTTAAAAATGTATAATTGAATTGCCCTAGGTCACATAACAGGTAAAGAGCAGAGCTAGAGTCAAAGTCAGCTCTTCTGACTCCAAATCCAGGTTTCCTTCCACTTTACCACTCTGCCTTCTTTGTGGTCATAAGAAATGGGACAGTATGTTGAATTCAGGATCTCCTATCTAACCTGCATTTCCCGTATGTAGGCAGTTCCATTTATAAAAGCTACTGTTCCAAAAGTTATTTTGTAAGTCTTTTGTTCAGAGTTCATTTATTTTTCCACAGAGCCAATATCTCAGTGATTAAATTTATATAAAGTAATAGAACTGTAACATTGACAGTTCTAGCCTGAATCTTGTTGGTCTTGGGAGCAAGGTCTTGGGCAGGGAAAAGAAAGAAGCTTCTTCTTGGGTAGAGATCCTGCCTTAGGCAAATTCTGAAACAAGCAAAACAATTTGACTTTGGCATCCTTTCATTTCCCATTTTTCATCTCCTCTCATCTCTTCATGTCCCACTCTCCAGGGGAACGTAGGATCATGTCTTTATACTATGCTGTTTCCATCCCCATCCCCAATACCCTTTCTAGGCCTGGCCTACTGCCAAAGTACTCAGCCTTTCTCTTTCCACAGCCCCCTCTAGTCTGGCCATTTTGGGAGGGAAGCTGTCTGACTGATCCAATTTAAAGTAGTGTGACTGAAAGCCATTCAACCTGGTTTTATCTTTGTAACTCCAAGATTTAATAAGTGTTTGTTGATTTGGGACCTGCCAGAGGTACCAGAATTTGTTAAATAGATCCTTTGTTAAACCAAATACAATTGGTGAAACTTCAGCTAGCATAACAAGTGTTTTTAATTCTACAATTTAAGAAGATTTTTTTTTAGACAGGAACCAAGATACCTATCCCTAAGCTGTTTCTGCTTTTCATAACTTTTTCCTTTGGTGAGGTTCCTAGGAGTAACAGGCAAGGAAGTGGTCCTATAGGCAAATCTTTTGTGTCTTGGGGTATTTATATCATGGGTCAGCAAATTGTGCATTCTGGTTTAGTAAATTCAGTTTTGTTTCTTTTTTTCCTATAGCAAAATTGAGAGACAGTAAAAGCATGCGAGGCAACAGGGACCTCGAGAACATTGCCCTTGTGGCTACAGATACAGATATCTGGAGAGAGATTTTTCACCACAGCAAGCTTTTCAGGAAGAATGTCTTTTAACAAATTCATTGGATGAATGTTGAAATTTCCTCAAATCAGTAGTCATTTCACCACTACTTCAAACTTTGCTTATGGTTACAAAACATACCAGAGTTCTGTCCATTTAATGAAAAGATGGCATTCCAGTTTAATTTTACTATAGACAGCCTCATAGAAAATGAATTACCAGCTCTTGGAGATGAGGCCTTAGGCCTGGAATCTTCAGGAAAGACATCAGTCTTAGAGAGTCAAAAAGGAAAAATGAAAGAGGGAAAATGGTCCTCAAAAGAATGTGACTTATCTAAGGAGCCTTTGTGGGGATGCGAATTGTCAGCAGAAGTTAAAGCTTCTCAAGTCTATGACAACTCACTGGTTAAATCAGATGAAATCGTAAAGGATCCAAAAGAAAAGCAGCCTGGTTTGAAAGTGGCCAAAGAACACGATATCCCTGAAGATTCAAAGAAAGTGGTAGAAAATAAAGTGGTAGAAGTTTTACCAGATCTCCAACATGTAAACTTGTCAGGAGTGAGAATGGCCTCTTTGAAGAACAGCTCTTGTGGAGAAGACATAGTATCCCAAAGCCTTTCTTCTCACTCTGATCTCATCACAGGTGTCTATGAAGGAGGTCTGAAAATCTGGGAATGTACCTTTGACCTTCTAGCTTATCTAGCTGACGAAGAAGTGCAGTTTGCTGGGAAAAGAGTGTTGGACCTTGGCTGTGGAGCAGGGCTTCTGGGTGTAATTGCCCTCAAGGGAAAAGCTAAAGAAATCCACTTTCAAGATTATAATAGCACTGTAATTGATGAAATAACCATTCCAAACGTCATGGTGAACTCCGCTTGCGAATGTGAAGATGTTGACGTAAGCGAGCCCGGTTTGAAAAGGCGGAGGAACTCAAACCCGGCACAAGAACTTTTAAGCAAATGTCGATTCTTCTCTGGGGAATGGTATGAGTTTTCCAAACTTGTCCTAAGCAGCAAAAAAACCTTTGCAAAATATGACATCATTCTTACCTCTGAGACCATTTACAATCCAAGCTACTACAGCGCTTTCCATCAGACTTTAGCTAGTTTGTTGGATGAAAATGGACAAGTGTTTTTAGCCAGTAAAGCACATTACTTTGGTGTTGGAGGTGGTGTTCATCTCTTTCAGAAGTTTATAGAGGAAAGGAATGTATTTGAAACGAGGATACTCAAAATAATTGATGAAGGACTAAGTAGGATCTTAATTAAAATAACCTTTAAGCATGCCCATTAAAGTCCAAATGCAGTACCTTTTTTTCAAAATGTATTAAACTATTGACTAAAAGATTTTTGCTCCAAGAATCAATATTCTGTCTCATTGGTCTCTTTATGAAATTATCCCAGTGTTACCTTTCTTTTTTCCCTTCTCTACAAAATAAGAGGTCATCTAGCGTGATGAGAAACAGGAACAATGAAAAAGTAATACACCTAAATACTCCATATTGATTGATTGGGACCAAATTCTCTGTTCTCCATTCTCATTATGTTAAATGAAATTATTCTTCAAAATATTTACCATCTGTTATCTGAATTTGCAAGCTTCCTTCCCAACCTTCTAGACCTTAATTCAAAGGTAGTATCTAGTCAGATGTGCTTGGTTTATTTTTGTGATTAAAATAAGCATCAGCAAAAAGGTTCCAGAGAAACATGAAGAGCAGCATGCCCCAAAAGTCCTAGTGCAGTTTAAAATTTTAATAACTTCAGAAATACTACAAACTTAGGGGAAAAAATTTGAAATGTTGATTATCTAAAATATTAAAATACTGATCTAGTCAATTTTCAAACTCTGTAAAAATTTTAATCAGACACTGTTAAGTGACAGGAAGGATTGCATTTGTCATGCTAGCCTTAAGATCATCCCCCAAAAAGGTTTTCATGCACACAGGACAATTTTGATGTGACCTCATGAGAAGAAGTCTAATGGAGCTAGATCACGTGGACAATCAAGACAGCATCCTCTACTGATCCATTGGTCTGAGAAAGTGTCATCCAAAAAGTGTCAGACAGACGATGTGAGATGACAGGATGTTCCATCTTATTAAAATGTATTATTCAGAAAACTAAATTGGTATAAAGGAAATTTTAAAAAAAACTTTCAAATGATGTTTTTGTAAGTTTGGAGCATTTATATTTCTGAAGTTATTAAAACTTACAACTTTCCCCAGATGTTGGGCCACCTTGTATAGAAATTCAGATCTATTCTAGCAATTTTTTAAAAAGTTTTTATCTTAAGCAGTAGTTATTAGGTAGTTAAACGTTTAAATGGTGCTAGAGCTTGTGGAGAAAGGGAGGGGAGTAAGAAGTTATGCAACTTTTGACTGATCTGATGGAATTTGGGATTTCTAAAGGTATTAGTCAAGCATTTATTAATTATGTGCTTACAAATACAATGAGTGAAACAGTCTCAGTTTACTGGGAAGAAAGAAGGGAATAACCTTTTCTATGGAGCCTATTATGTGCTAAGCACAAGTATCTCCTTTGATCCTCACCACAACTCTGGAGGTAAGTGCTATAATTGTTCCTGTTTTACAGTTGAGGAAACAGGTAAAGAAGTTAATGACTTGCCTGGGGTCACAAAAGTGCCTGAGGCAAGATCTGAACTCAGGTCTTCCTCACTTTAGGCCCTAGGGGTACTTAGAGGTTGTTTCTTGCCCAGGGACTCTCAGCCAGTGTCAGAGATGAGACTTGAAACAAGGTATTCTAGATTCCAAATATATACCTTGTTTCCTCTCTAAATTTGCAAAGATAACCTAAACAGTTCTTTTCCTCAATCAGCATATATTCCACTGGGGAAGATGTAGTGGTTAGCATATACATGAAAATATACGTGTGGGGTGGTAAGGGAGGACGAATAACCTCTGGTGTGAGGGCTTGCCAAACTCTTAGGGCTGCTCATCTGCCTTTGGTGACCAGCCAACTCTCACCTGTGGCTCTGAGAAGTTGCAGCATGCACAACAGCCACACCCCAATAAAAACCATTTCTGCAGACAGGTTAACCCAAGTTGAGGGTAACCAGCAAGCCTGGAACCTATCTGAGTTAGAGAGATGTCTAACCCAAACACGTGAAGACTTTTCCCTGGTGGAATGGGCGGGTAAGAACAATTTAGCTTAGTGCTTGGTTAGTCATCAAAGACACCAATGTTATCCACTGCATTCTGGGCCATTGCCAGTGCTGACTTTTGTCTCTGGACTTCGATGGCTGGAGGAGAGAGTGAGGCTGATGCCTTTGTGCAACTTTATTTCACTTCGATTCAGGATCTAGTCAAGACCTTACCTTGTGATGTCATCTTGGAAAATGAAGGACAAACAACAGTACAAAGTAAATGCAAAGTATATAGCAAATACAGAACAGAAATAAAGTTATACAAAGTAAGAGATAACTGGGAGGATCAGGAAAGGTGAGGGCCAAATTGTAGAGGGCTTCATATGCCAAGCTGAACAGTGTATTTCTTCCTATATGTGATAGAGAACCATTAAAAATTTTTAAGTAAGAATAATATTAATTTATGTAGAGGACAGATTGGAAAAGATCAGATACAAGGAAGCCAATCAGGATATTGTTTCCTTAATTCAGGAGAAGAAGAAAAATAAAAGACCTGGAGAGTGGATGAATATAAAATAGGACTAGCTATCCGACCTGTTGGGGGTGGAGGGTGGGAGCAAAAGGAGTCAATGATTCCCAAGTTGTGAACCTGGTTGGCTGAAAGGATTTTACTATCAGCAAAAATGTAACAGTGGTCCTCAAACTTTTTCATCTCAGGACCACATTATACTCTTAAAAATTATTGAGAATCCCTCCCCAAAGAGGTTTTGTGTGGGTTATTGTCTTGATATTTACCATATTAGAAATTGAAACATCTTAGTATTATGAATATAGTTTTGATCTTATGGAAGCCCTGAAAAAGTCTTGGGGACTTTTTAGTGGTTAATTGAAAATATAAATTTCATCCACTGAAGTCCAGATCCCATTCTCTTAGCCAATTTGTTCACTTCCCAAATCAGTTTTTCTCTTTGGTATCCCCCGCCTTCAGGCAACAGTCAAGAAAACATGACCTAATCCCCTATGGACTTAGTTTCTTGCCCAAAATTTCTGTCTAAAAAAACTTGATTCATGAACTTGGGAAGAGGTGGAAGAGTGTTGAGACATTTGCAGGAATCTTATATAACTTCCCGTTTCTCTGAAGAAAAGATTCATCTTTGTTCAATTCAGGCAGAATAAACACATCCATAATCCATTCCTTTATATCATGGCTGGCTCAGAAGTCAAGACGAGGGGGAGAAATTTCATTGTACTCTCATAAAAAGGCCAGGAAATGACTTTATATTATTAGGTGTAGTGTTTGCACGCTTTTGCTGTTTGCTGCCCTGGAACTCTTATGAGGAATCTCAATTAAGTTGTAAACTCCTTGAGAGCAAGGACCATCACTATACTTTTTATATCCCCCACAGCACCTAGCTCAGTAAATCACACATAATATGTTCTCAGTAGTTCTTGATTAATTCAACATGTGACAGTTCCTGCCTTCTGTTCTACTGAAGGGATATGAAATGTACACAAATATAAAAGAGATCTGACAGTGGTCTTTTTTTAAAAAATAGTATTTTGTTTTTTCTAATTACATGTAAAGACGATTCTTAATATTCACTTTTTTAAAATGTTGAGTTCCAAATTTTCTTCCTTCCTCCTTAAATTCCACCCCCTCCCTAAAACATTAAGTAATTTAATACCAGTTATGTATGTGCAGCCATGTGGAACATATTTCCATATTACTCACGTGAAAGAAGAAAGACCCAAAGGGAAAAACCATGAAAAAAATAAAGTGAAAATAGTATACTTCATGAGTTCTTTCTCTGGATCTGGATAGCATTTTCCATCACAAGTCCTTTGGAATTGTCTTGGGGCATTGTATTGCTGAGAAGTGCTAAGTCATTCATAGTTGATCATCGTACAATGATTGCTGTGGACGATGTTTTGGTTCTGCTCATTTCACTTTGCATCAGTCCATATAAGTCTTTCCAGGTTTTTCTGAAATCTGCCTGCTTGTTCCTTATAACACAATAGTGTTCTGTTACATTCATATACCACAACTTGTTCAGCCATTTCCCAATTGACGGGCATTCCATCTATTTCCAATTCCTTGCCACCACAAAAAGAGCTGCTATAAATATTTTTGTACATGTTAGTCCTTTTCCCCTTTTTTTATGACAATTATCTCTTTCTGGGAAAGAAAACAGAGGCTTCAACATGAAAACAAATGGGAAAAAAAAAGCATTTGAGGCAGAGATGGATCCTGACCTGTGCCAGAATTTGGGGAGGGTGAGCAAAAAGGGATGAAGATAGATCATTAAACATTTGGCAGTAAGCAACAGATTCTTCCTGACAAAGAGGGAGCTATACCCTCTGGAGAAGAAGTAGCTGCCTGTCCAGGGAATGATGGTGTGGATTCACAGGTGTTGTTAAGGGAAAAAAGCATTCAGTAAGGGTCATGGGAAGAAGAGACAAGTAGTGCTCATTGGAATCCTTGCTGATACTTCTTGGCCTCATGACAACAATAGAGGGGATTGCTATCATCCTGGTGCATACATCCAGGAGATGACAGAGAACTTCCCCAAACTTATCAGACCATATTACTACTATATACTTCTGGTGATATTTTATATGAGCACTTGAGACAAATTATATTGCCAGAAGGAATCTAGGAACCATTGCTAGTCTAAAGTCTAAGGTAAGAAATGAAAAACGTTTGTTCCATAGGTGGCATTTTCATCACTATTTTGAAAAAAGGCAAAGAGAAAGGCAGAATGGGAGAATGAAAAGGTGGTATCTGAAAATAGGATTTGGATTTCTGCACCATGCCTTAAAATATAGTAGTGATGAGCTCTTAGATAGGAATAAATAGAGAGTAGCTACAATGTAGGAAAACATTAGTAGAGGCATTTAGAAATGGAAATACAAATCCATAGGAGACAAGATAAAAGAAAGGAGTTACAAACAAAACCCATGGCTTCAGATGTTTATATATAAACACACACTAGCAAGGAGAAGTCAAGATGTTGGGGGAGAAATGCAACTTGGGGGCAGCTGGTGGTACAGTGAATACAGCACCAGGCCTGGAGTCAGGAAGATCTGAGTTCAAATCAGACACTTACTAGCTATGTGACCCTAGGCAAGTCACTTAATCACTATTTGCCTGTAAAATGTGGACGTACTGGAGAAGGAAATGGCAGGCTACTCCAATATCTTTGCCAAGAAAACCCCATAGACAATGTCCCTGGGGTCGCATAGAGTCAGACATGACTAGATAA